GAGAAGGCTGATGAAGACTGTACTGCAAAAATGAGGAATATATTTTTCTCTGATGAGGCTCAGTTACTTAAGGTTCTATCACAGAGACACAAGAGGGTCAGAATCATAAAATAAACCTCTGCCAAGAAATTTAGGATTTGCACAGATAAGCCTGGAGGCAGATGTTTTGACACTAGTTGTCCTTGAAGTGTAGGTCAAGATAACCATGTACAAAAGTAACCAAATGTTTCCTGCTATGACATTTTCTGTTGCTAATCATTATAAAAAGCTAAACATAAATTCACTGTGCATGATGACTGTGGCAGCTTGTCCTCATAGGAGATGGGCTCACTCTAAAGTGCTAGTGTGCTCCTACAATGAACAGTCTTTTTCCATACATAAAACGGCTCACTGGTGTGGCCTATCTCTGAAGTCAGACAATGAACAAGTGGGATTTTTGTCATCAGAAAAGTTGGGTATAAATATTTTAAATAAATGCTTGTTCTCTAACCAACATGGTATTGCTTGTTGTTGTACACTTGATTCTAAAGCCCTAAATATATATGGCTCAATACTTTAAAAACAAACTCTTTGATTTCATTGCTTCAAATGATGCTTCTACAAGAATATTAGACTGCTCAAAATGCTAACGATGACATTGATCTGTGTTGTTCTAAGAGCTATTTTAATGTTCTCTTAAATGTTTACTTCAGCTGATAAAGCATTTCGTGACATGAAAGTACTCAAGATGAGTCAGTCGATCATCGTGTCTGGAGAGTCGGGAGCTGGCAAGACAGAAAACACTAAATTTGTTTTACGGTTTGTATCTGAAATTGTTTCTACTAGGAAAAAACCCCCCATTGTATATAGTCATTTTAATATCTCTTCAAAAATGTTAGACCTCATAATGGGCACATCTTAGATCCATGCAAACAATGGTAAGATGAGATCAACAAGTACCACAATTTACAGTTCTGAAGAGGCTCCAATATGTAAATGGAATTCCAGATGTCTCATATCCATGTGATTGCTTTTGTCATTGGGAAATGTTCTGAACGCGCACATGGATTCTTTCACTGCTTTAATCCTCTCTCTCTCATCCTGCACTTTCTGCAGGGTACTCAGGACCGTGTACATGGGATTTCCTTCCTTTTATTTTATTTCCTTTCTTTGAGGTTGGTTAGGCTGAAAGATGGTGACTGCCCATGTTTACCACTGAACCTCATAAATGAACAGTACTTGAGAAATCTGAATTCACCCAGGTGTTTTTTCTGCAAATGTTTAGTTCAAAATTTATGGTAGGTTCTGCTCCCTTTTTACAAACATTTGACTTGGGCTAGGAGAAGCAGCTGTCTTGGTGCTGAGATGTGCTAATTTTCATACATGCAACCAGCAGTTTAAAATAGCATTATATTATTGGGGAAAAGTAACAATAAGATACGTGCCGATACCTTCCACAATTCAGAAGCAGAAAAAAAAGTTAGAACAACTCTACCAGCAGAGGCCCTGTCCGTCCTCCCACCAAAAAGAAGCTCTTCTGGAGGTGAAATAGAAGGCAACATAGAATACACTTGCAGACCCCCCAGGAGCAGGAAAAGAAGCTTCCTGGTTGGTTGTTAAAAGGGTCATTTACTCTTAATCTATGTGGCTTCCTTCTGAGACCCCATTACTGACATTTTTACTAATTCCACAGAAATTCCAAACCCGCCAGTTTCTCCATTCTTTCGTACTGTGTGTTGGGAAACATCCCTAAAATGTTACATTCACTGCAACCTATTCTCTTTTCCAAAGTACAAATTACTCTATCTCACAATTTTACCTTGATACAAACTAGGCAAAATTGAACCCGTATTACCACTCCTTGAACCCATATTACTGAATCAATATTTTATCAGGCCTAGAAGTACTTGGTTCTCTGAGCTATTCTATATTAAACCTATCTTATGTTATCTATAGTACTCCTATATATAAACAAAAACCTGATGACATGTTCATATAACCATTTGCCTTAAAATAAGTTCACTTACAATTCATTATAATATTCCAGCTCATTCAATTGAACTCAGATCTTCTTGGTCCAAGACCATTATTCTAGCTGCTTCATTGTGCTGGTTAACTAGATAAAGAAATATTTGGTTAAATAAAAAAGTTTTGTAGAACTGTCTCTTCAGAGAGAAAAAATGAGATCTCAAAGATTGAGTATAATGGAATATTTTAAATTACTGGTATTCAGAATACTCCTTGGCCACCTTTTGTGGAAGGGTCTTGCTTTCTACAAAAGCCATCAGGAACCTGTCTTCATCTGACCCCCACATAAATGGGGATGTATCCCTGGGGAGCAGGTCCCTTTTCTTTCTCTAGTGGACGTGACCAAAACCTCAGAAGCACAACCCTTAGCTTGAGCTCTACTTAGCTGTCTTACTTGATGTTGATCTGCATCATAAACCAAAGTATCAGTCTTCATAAGATGTGGGAGTAGCACCTGCCCACACAAATTGCTGAATCCAAACTGGAACAACCCTTCCTTTCAGAAAAACTCCCAATTCCACCCTAAGGGTGGGTTCAGCTGCTTTGTGGACCAGATGGCAAGAACATTGGATACCTCTTAATTGACCTGCTCGTTTCACCTGTTATTTCCTGACAGGGTCAAGGAACTCCCCCCTCCACCCAGTTCCGAAATTTCTCTGTTCTTTTCCAAGGTGGGCTGGCTGTCACGAATCTGAGTATCTTGAGTTTGCAACTGGGAAGCTGCAAATTTGTTTGCCCACCTCTGCTCTTCCACCTTCTCCTCTGAAGCTGAAGAGTCCAACTTGGAGAGACTGTCTCTTAGGAGAGCCCTTTCTCTGCAGTGTCCAAAGATGACGTGAATGGAAGGGATGTTTCTAGCCCTTCTTCCTCATTGCAGGCCTTGAGCCCTCTGGACATCAGCATAAGGCTGGGTTATGAAGGAAACCCTCAGTTTAGAAAAGCTCTGCCTTCGTTAATTCCTTTATTCCTCTCTTTCATTGCACCTTTAGTGCCGGAGGGCCCTTGGATCTTCTGAAAAGGCTGCAGTGGTGGAAAGAAAAGGAAATCCCCATTGCACAAATGGCCATTCTGTGTTGTAACCTGGGAAGACAGTGTTTTTTGGAAGGGTGGGACTGGGGGATCCGTGGTGTTGCCTTCAAGCAAAGTAATGTTATAGCCGTAAAGGTAAAACATGATTGATTTTCTTTTTTGCCCCTTGCAGGTATTTAACTGAATCCTATGGTAGTGGGCAAGATATTGATGAAAGAATTGTTGAAGGTAATATAGCTTGCTTAATCAGGATTTCTTTGGTATGCATTAAAAAAAGACAGACTGAAGTAAAAAGCGACATGCTCCAGAAACCTGTTTTGCGAAAATGCTGCTGAAATACAGAACATTGCTCAGTTTAACAGACACATGCTGGGATATAGATTGTGCCCAGTTGACTTACCAGTATACGTGACGATGGAGGTTTCTGACTCGTTCAAGAGCTATAATACTTCTGTCAAAAAATGATTGCTCCTTTTTAGACTTGTTCAGCATTTGACTTTACAAGGCCCGCAGGAACAAGGGATATGCTTCCTTTCCCTTTTCAAGCTGGTGCTGCAGGGTGACATGTCCCCAGCAAAGATATGCAGGGCTTGGGTGTAAGGAATCATCAGCAGGAGAACAGCATTCTCCTATCCCATGGACTCCTGGTGCAAGAGTGGCTGGAAGTCTTTGCACAATGCTTTAAAGTGGCAGAACCATGCTACTAGCAGCATTCCTCAACCTTGGTGCTCTCCAGATGTGTGGGGTGTCAACTCCCATGATTCCCAGCCAGCATGGCCACTGGGCATTATGGGAGCTACAGTCACACACCTGCCTAGCCCCAGGCAAAGGGAAGGCTGTGTCAGATAATAAACATTGTTGACAAGGCTGCACTTAGGGAGAAAATGCCTATTAGATCTCCTGGAGCTTGTGAAAGCGGAATGTCTTGGGGCCTGAGGCCTTCTCTCCTCTAACTGCTCTTCTGCTAGAGCTCCATTTAGGTGTTCTCCAAGGACAGAATCCATTGTGGGGAACAGGGCAAGTTCCAGCCCTGCCACTGGATGTTTGCACAGGCGTGTGCCAGGGCAAGGCCGCCCACGAGCACCTACCTGTGCATAGACGTCCAGGGGTATCATTCGCAGCACACTTCAAGTCAGGGGCAAGGGAGGCTTTGTGGGCCTAGTGCCCCATTCTCCATAAGCAGGTTCTGACTGGGCCTTTGGTCAGAAGCTACCCTCCTGTGAAGGATAACCAATTGAATTCAATGTATGGTTACTAGTTATCATTGGTCCAACTTTGATAACAGTTTTAAGGCCTTGAAGAGAGGTGGAAAAGGATATCATGAAAGAAAAGTAGATTCTTTCGACATCCCACTTCCATTATGATATCTCTTTGTATTTTCATGGCAACTTTATCCTTCTTTTAATATGCTCATTATGAAGCACAAGAGGAAGATTCCCATCTTCTGTTGGGCTATTAAAACTCCCCCAGATGATGTGACTGCTGATCAGCAAAGGAAAGCAAGGACGGAAGAATGGAAGGCCTGCTAGTCAGATTTCCAGTGTCTGAGGTGCGATGCCTCTCGCTACTGTGGGGCATAAGCAAGAGTGTGCTGTGCAGCGCATGTCCTGCTTGTGGACTTCTCCTGGGCATCCAGTTGGCCACTGTTGGAGCAGAATGCTGGACCACATCATCCATTGCATTGATGCGGCCTGTCTCTCATGCTCTCATATTGCGTGTGCCTTTGCAAAGGGTGGCATTGGATTGGGGCCGCTGGATGATGCATCAGCTTGAGCCTCTCAGCTGCTGTTTTATGGGTTTTATTGCCAGTGTGAAACTTGGAGCAATGTTTCCATCTTCAATGGATAATAAAATAACAGAGGATGATGTTGCTTAATTACAGCTGAATATATAAGTATTCCATATCCATGGCATCTAAGAAATTGGCCGACAGCTGGACATACTGTCTGAAGCTGCCTTCTCTATCAGTGGTACCTGGAGGTATACTTCTCTCCATCTGGGCGGGGTGGGGAAATCCACGGCTTATCTAGCACAACCTCTGCTGTACACTTTTTGCACCCAGTTGTGTTTTCTCATTGCAGTTCTTATGCACATCTTAACATGCACGTGTGCAGTGTGGCTGGACTGTTGCGCAGAAGACCATACTCACAAAGCCTTTTTGTAGTCTCTGGACAACAATGGTTCTCCACATTTGAAATACTTGCAGACATTGAGTCTTTGTTGTGATCCTTGTGCACATTTGCCTGATGAATTTGGTAGTATTAAAGGTCTCCTGCCAACTCACATTTTTGAGTAACAAGCAGCTACAAACAATATTAAGAGAGTTAAAAAATTGGCTGAAAACACTGTTTTATCCCTGCTCTTACCTGAAAGCCGAATAGTGCTTTTTTTAAGAGCATCTTTGCTTACAGTAGCTCAAATTCCTTTGTGATGCCAATTCCAATTTGTTTTATGTCCCTTAGTGAAGCGCTCCTAACATAAGGACTAAATTAACATGACATTGGTATTTTGTCTTGTGTCATACACGATTTTTAAGCGTAGGGTTAGTCAAAGTATGTGAATAATGCAGAATTATTAATTCAGATAGGATAGGATCTTCCATGGTGCCAAAACATACGTTTCAATTCAATTTCAGTTCTACCCTTTGTATGAGTTTCCAGAAGTCTTTGATGTGGCTGCTTTCAGAAGCAGAATGCTGAGCTAGGCAGATCATGGTTTGGTCTAGCAAGTCAGTTCTTACATCCAGATGAGCAATGCATAATCTAGGTAGCTTTGTTGTGTACTAATAACATTTGTGCCTGCTTACGCTCTATGTATACTGTCTATATGTGCTGCATGGTCTTTCTTACAAGTGGGAAGCTATAGTAAGTGCAAATGATTAGATGCTTCAGCTTGGCTATTGGTGATTTTTTTGATGGGTCCTCTGGTGGCCGGTTCCTTAAGAGTGTCCTCTTTGCTGGACAGTGATTCCAGAGCCAGTAAGTATCCAGGCATTTGCAAGATTCCCAGCTGATGGCTGTATCTGTGTTTGTGGCTGTATACTATTGTATTGGAACGGCATTCTCCTTTTTCATGGCATCGTTGCCCTGATGTGTAAGAGCAGTTTGCCAGCTTTGTGCAGTCCCTTGCTCTCAAAGAATTAGATGATTTATGTGCTTGGGGATGTCTGTTCTGTTGCATTAAACTGTTTAGTGGGCTTGGGATTTGTTTTTTAACTTGTCCAATCAAGCTTTTGCACACCTGCAGCCTGATACTGTGCAAGTGCATTCTGGAAGACCAAAGCAAATGTTTAACTGATTCTTCTTGAGGTTTTGTTTGAAATGTATTGAGAAGAGGGTGGGTGGGAGAGGTTAAAGGAAATACGTGTTTTGATAGTTTCATTAAGGCTGCAATCCTCTGCATGCTTAGACAGAAAAAAGCCCTGCAGCTCTTAATATTCTCCAGCCAGCATAGCTAGAAGGCTTCTATTTCAACATGCATGGGAGATTACACTTTTCTGATGTACTTGAGAAATGTTGATATCTTATTAATTTAATGTAAACTTCCCCAAAACAGTGTCCTGTAGATACTCGCATCATCCCCAGCTAGCATGGCTAATACATCTGGAAAGCAGTAGTTTAGGGAAAGTTAATTTAATGCATCTGTAAACAATACATTGTGATGTTTAAGTTTTGCTAGGAAAGTATTTACTGAAGAATTTCCACAGCTGTTTCATATGCCAATACAGAAACATGAACCTTAAATTTTATGTGGAAACATCTCTAGGAAACAGTGGCCAGGATCCAAAGAGCTGAATTAAATGCAGCTGCCAAGTGGGATTTTTGATGTCACCCTCTGCACTCAAAACATTGGACCTTCTTTGAATAATTGAATGCTGCTTTGGATCCCAGCCTAAAGCTTCTTGCTGTAGTGAAAATACAACTCATTCAGTTTAATTTAAAAGCAACACATGTCTCATGGTTTGGGTTGTTTTAACTATGAGATTTGAATCCAGTGTTTGCTCCTTACAGAACTTCCTTTGCAGATCTTCCTGAGCCAACCACTGCCACCCAACTCCAGCAGGATGGGATGGGGTGGTGTTTGCTGGCTGTCACCTTCCCCTGCAACTTCCAGTGAATTTTCTTGAGTTGTACTGGAGGACTCCCTGAAACCCATTGAGTGCATATTTAGGATACATAGGTGGTTGCAGCTATATATAGTGGTACCTTGGCTCATGAACGCCTTGGTTCATGGCCAAATCGGGTCACGAACAAAAATTTCATGAAAATTTTGACTTGGGTCTGTGAATTGGGTCACGAACTCTGTATTAGGTGGCAACCAAGATCATGGCCAACCCCCCCCCCCCCGCCCCAAGTGGGGAGATGGCCACGATCGCAGTTGCGTTCGTGATCATGGGCGTGCTCCTGCAGGAAAGATGGGCACAGCACAGCTGTGATCACGCATGTCTTCCCTGCACCAATGCAACTGCGATCGTGGCCATCTCACCAGTTGTGCTGGTTGCCCGGGGGGCGTGGGGGGGGGGAGATGGCTGAGATTGCACCCATCTTTCCTGCAGGAGTGCGCCCATGCCAGGATTTCTTTGAGAAGCACCACCCCAACACAACTGTAACGAACAGAGCGTTGAATCTGATGAACGATAATGTGGTGTCTCATTTCCAGAGGGTTATGCAGCGCAAGAGAAAACAATTGACTATAGACAGCTTTTTCACCCAAATTGCCCCTGCATCTCTCTCAGCTAAGAAGAGAGAGCCTGCTTACTGTACAGTACTTTGTCACTTTGTTTCAGATTTTTCTGATTAAGGTTAATCTGTTCTGTAACTATTTTTTTATTTACATTGAACCTTCTGGGGAAATTTACTTGGCTCATGACCAAAAATGGCTCACAACCACATTTGGAGGGGCCAGAATGGATTAACCTTGAACCTTATGGGGAAATTTGACTTGGGTCACAACCAGAGTTGTGGAACAGATTAAGTTCGTGAGCCAAGGTAGCACTGTATAGGAAAGCCTGGAAAAAAACAGGAAAATTTCAGGAGAAAAATTTGCTCTTGTTTATTCAAGAACTCCCCTTGCTGCCCTGAAAAATTGGACAAATTGAACAATTTTGGATAATTACACATTTAGATTTCTAATAAATTAAAAGGTCAAGACACGGTGTTGATGTATCACTATATTGCAACTCGGCCATTACTGAAAATAATTTATTGGTAATAGGGAGATTTCTTTTAAAAGACAAAGATATACAAAGTAGAAAGTTTGAAACCAGGGATGTGTAAAATTCCTAGCATCATAATTTTTTCTATCCTGTATTAAACGTTTGACATCTAAAGACTCACTTAACCCACACTTAGGGGTGCTCCAAGTCCTTATGATCAGCATTTGACTGGAATCACCATGTCCTATCATAAGAGGAAAATGTGCATTCTTAGTAGCTTAGGTATTGTTCTCATTGGTTATGTACTAGTTTTGGTCAGATGCTGCAGCAGTCAGTGAATGTAGTTCTAAAATAGAAATGTGAAAATCCTACCGCTGCCTTCAAATGTACAGCACAATGCACTGGTTACCCCATCCACGTGTCTGTCTTAAAAGAAATGGGTGTATAGAACTTCATTTTTCTATACATTTTTCATTGCCATTTGGGAATGTTGCTTTGGCTAGAAAAGCTTTAACCGCTGCCACCAAACCAAATCATCTGTATGTACAAGCAACCCAGTGTACTCTGTGGCATAGATATGGGACCGATGCTGCTAATAGAGATGGTCTTTTAGAAGAATAAAAAATCGGCATGTTAATTAAAGCAAGCTATTGACAGAATGCTGCTCTTGAAATAATAGACTTGAAAGGTTCTTAAATTAAATTGCTTAGAGTGTTTTCCCAAGCTAAATAATCGCTCAGCACCTTTTCCTTCAGGCCTAATTTCACTCAATTCTACCCCAACCAGTTCTTCACAAACAGGAAAGAATGCAGTAAGCCCGGGCTTCCTCTGCCTCTAGCTCTCCCTGCTTCTTGTGGCTTCTAGAAAGCTTCCCTTGTTTCAGGGACTGCTACGGACACCTAAAATGTATTATATATAATTTAGCTTGTTTGTACAATGGCCATGTTTGGTTATATTACATTTTAAAGTAGAGTCTGGTTAGACAATTACAAAATTACAAACGAAGCATGGTTTTCTATACTTATAACTGGAATGCTTATTTTATACAGTTTTATGCTTCTGTAAAGTCACAGAGTACCTTTAGATGAAAGACTGAAAGTGCTACAAAATGTCTGTTCATCCACCTTCACATTTCCAGTTTTTCCTTAAAGTCCCCATTTGCTGAATAAACAAATCTCCCGACATGGTTGCAACATTTCGGGGAGTTTGAAATCTCTAGCTGCAGGGAAGGCTCTGCCAGCAAAAATTCTGTGCTGGATTGGAAGCCTTCTGTAGACGGAAGGCACTGTGTATCTACAGAAGGCAAATCCTGGATTCAAACCTGTGTCTGGCCTTCTCTGGGCTTTGCATATTAAACCATATGATTCTCTGTCTCACCCTACTTTTTGCTCAATAAAATGCTTAAACCACTTCATTTGTTCATCTTTAATAGCCAATCCACTTCTAGAAGCATTTGGAAATGCAAAGACTGTTCGTAACAACAACAGTAGTCGCTTTGGAAAATTCGTGGAAATCCATTTCAATGAAAAGGTATCGGTACTTTCTTATGTAGGTTATGTATGCAGGAATGCAGATTGTCATTCAGCAATTTTACTTGGAAAGTCCCTGCCTGTTGAGTCTCCTCCCTTCTCTGACTAACTTCAGGGGGCATTTTTGTGGCCCAATTTGATTATATTGCTTCCATGTTTGGATAGTGATGATTTTGAATTTATCAGGAGCTGCAAGTGCATATGTGTACACCAAACATCTAAAAGCCAAAGTGCTCTTTTAAGAATGACTGTGGGCATGGGTTTACTGCTAGTCATTTAATCTTATTTGTTAGAATATTCTGAGTGGAAAGGGACTAGTGTGGTACAGTCCTTTCAGTGGATTATGGAAGCTCAAGAGTATAGTACCTAGCTAGAATAGAAACAGTCTGTTTGCCTGTAAGGTTTTCAGATATCAGAGAAAATCTGATCCAGTATGCCAGAAGAAATTCCTTCCCTTCATGCTTTGATTCTGAGCTGTGTGCATCAAGAAGCTCACTGCATCAAGAAGAGTGTATCGGCTTGGTCTTGAGGGAAAGCGTGAGCCTATCATTTTTGCCTCAACTAAAATATTAAGCTGTCAGATTTTAAGCATTCAAAGTATGTAAAAAAGGAGGGGGGAAGAAAGAATTACTTCACATGGTTGCTCTACTAACTCCTCTGTTCCCCACATATAATATTTACTTCTAGTGAGTGATGATGCTGGATAGGTTAAAGACACAGCATGATAAATACCATGCCAGCTGATTTGTTAGGATAATGGTTTAACTGATGGATTATCAACTATGCAGCACCATCTTATGCATGCTCATCCAAAATTAAGTCCCATGGAGTACAGTACCAGGTTGGGTCTTAAACAACCTGGTACTTTCCAGATAGGTCGAACAATTCCCAGCAGAGCAGGAAGGCAGAAGACTGGGGAAAGCTAACTCAGTGCAAGGACTGCAGCTTTACTTCCTGTTTGGGGGGTGGGGGTGGGGGTGGGCAACAATGCACAGATGTATCATGGATAAAATAATCAACCATTCTGATCCTTCAAATCATCTTCCATTTATGAAGATCATTTAAAGAATGCCCTCCAAAATGTTCTTTCCTTGATAGCAGTGCTCAGCTCTTGTAAACTCAAGGCTGTACCTTCCATTATGGAATCAGGCCATCTCATAACTGGTTCTCCTCTTTTGGTTTCAACTTTTCTTAGCATGATTTTTTTCTCTGGTGAGTCTTGGCTTCTCATGATGTGTCCAAAGGATGAAAGTCATTTTTGTTTCCATTAAAAGTTCTGGCTTGATTTGATCTAGGACCTACATGTTTGTTTTCCTAGGGCACTCAGAAAAATTAAAAGAAGGTGCATTTTAACTTTTTGTAAACCTGTGCTTGCAAAATGATTCTATAGTGATTCATGGGCATCTTTCATCCTCTGTCAGTCAGTCTGATTTGTAGCAAAGAAGTCATTCTGAGCAACACAGTCATACTATTGTATCTTCGAACGTAAAGTTTTTTTCTCTCTCCAAGAAAGCACCTTTTGTTTTCTTCCTAGAATTCAGTGGTTGGTGGGTTTGTGTCCCATTATCTGCTGGAGAAATCCAGGATCTGTGTTCAAGGCAAAGAAGAAAGGAATTACCATATCTTCTATAGGCTGTGTGCTGGAGCACCTGAAGAAATAAGGGAGAAATTGTACCTAAGTTCACCAGATAATTTTAGGGTGAGTTGACATTCCTTCTTCCAAAATACTTAGAGTGGGCTTGATCTAGAATTTACTGTGCTTAAAGCAGAGCCACTAAAATCAGTCAGATTTAAGTCAGTCATTGCTAAAGTAACCCATCAACTTTACTGGATTCAGCCTGAATCCATTCATGTGAATTTGTGCTGGAACATGTAGTAAACCTTGTATTTGAGCTGCAGGTGGTTAAACTTTGAGAAAACTACATTATAACAGGATATTAAAATACAGCAATCGGATATTTCATGCAAATGCTATTTCTGTTACACTGGCAGATAGCTTGTAGTCTGGAATCATAGAATAGTAGAGTTGGAAGGGGCCATGAAGGCCATCGGGTCCAACTCCCTGCTGTTGCAGGACACCAATTTGCACCATCCCACTCAGTTGGCTGTCTGGTTTCTTTTTGGACGTCTCTAGTGTGGGAGAGCCCACCACCTCTCTAGGCAACTGGTTCCACTGTTGTATTGCTCTGACAGTGAGGAAGCTTTTTCTGATATCTTGCCAGAATCTGGGTTGCCACAGCTTGACTTGATTATTCCGTGTCATGCACTCTTGTCTAATGAATAATAACAAAACCTCGCTAAACTGAAACAGTAAAATTTAGCCAAAAACTAACCTTAATACAACAAGCCAAATTAGGTGGTCTTCTTTATGGTTGATTGGGTTTCTGGTTCAGCTGAGAAGTAGTGGACAATTGAAGACAAAAGGAGAAGGGGACAGCAGAGGTTGAGGTGGCTGGATGAGGTCACTGGAGAGGTGGGTGTGGGGTTGGGTGGACTCTGAGGGATGGTGGAGGACAGGAGAACCTGGAGGAATGTTCTCCATGAAGTCACAGAGTCGGGCATGACTTTGTGACAACAAGAAGTAGTGACTGGCCCGAGGTTATGAATGGACACTGCAAATCAGCAGTCAGGTCTTCCCATTCCAAGCCCATGACCCTTGCTGCTGTGCATGCTGGTTTACTAGACACAGAAATACTTGGTCCAGTGAAATTTTGATATTCAACAGTTTCTCCAACAGCAGATTTCTTTGATAGTTTCTGTGTTTCGTTGTACATTCTCTTTCTTCTTCTGTTACCACAGTATTTAAATCGTGGCTGCACTCGATATTTTGCTACCAAAGAAACGGATAAGCACATCTTACAGAATCGTAAAAGTCCTGAGGTATGACAACGACTTCATATGTTTTGTCTTCCTGTCCTTCCCAAAGCAATGACCTTTGCTGCTAGTATTTTTTCTATATCTAAAATGTGGTTCTTGTGGAACGCCTTTTGTGTATGCAAGCTGACCCCTGCCTGGGGAGGGGGATTGAATCCCAGTGTTACTTCTCCAGACTAATGATTGGCACTCTCACAACTGACATCAACCACCTGCCAGTCAGGTGGATGGGCACAGAGCCTCACATGTGCTTGGAACACTTATCCACTGGTGTGCAGGAGTGGCTGTGGCCAGGAACCCTTTAGAACAGAGGTAGCACTACAGTTGTTGCTGCCAATCTCCGATGGCTGGCCATGTTATTTGAGGCTTATGGGAAGCATAGAAACAGAGCGAGTCAAGAAGGGGTCCCCCAGGCCATCTAGTCTGACCTCTGGCACCAGCCAGCTCCGCTCACAATATGCCCACCGTGTGGACGTCCAGCCTATCTTTGAACACCGATGGGGCCGCCCCGATGGGGCCTCAACGACCTCTCGTGGAAGCCCATTCCACACCCTCAGGGTCCTAACTGTCAGGAAATGCTTCCTAGCATCCAAATGGAACCTTGGCTCCCTGAGCTTTGCTCCTTTGGAGCGCTTTCTGCCTTCCTCTGCAGGGGAGAACAGGTCTCTACCCATCTCCGTGTGACATCCCCTCACATACCTGTATGTCGCCAACATATCCCCTCTGAGCCTCCTCTTCTCCAGGCTGAAGAGACCCAGTTCCCTCAGTCTTGCCTCATACCCCATCCCCTGCAAACCGGCCACCAACCTTGTGGCCCTACGCTGCACTGACTCCAACCTGGCTATATCCTTTCTGTAATGAGGGGCCCAAAACTGAACACAGTACTCCAGTTGCGGGCGCACCAGAGTCCTATAGAGTGGTAGTAATACCTCTCTCGATCTAGAAGCCACACTTCTGGCTACGCAACCAAGTTAAAGTTAAAGTTCAGCTGCATCTGGAGGGCTACAGGTTTCCAAACTCTGCTTTATAACGACAACTTACTTGTGTGACCATTCTGAATCCATAGCAGCAGTTTGGCTCTTAAAGGGGCTAACTATGGGCTGAACCAGGCATATCAGGTGAAATCCCATGAACTTCAGTGCAGATTGGCTTCTGGCATACTATTGCCACTGATGGAACATCATTGCCACATGGACATCATGTGAAAATCTCGAGTAGGCTGAAGCCCTGCAAATGAGCTTTGACTCTAAAGTTGAAGAAATCATTGAAGCCAGAGAAGATTTACCGGGCAAATAATTTTCAGGGTTGGATCCAGTGTTGGGTGATTGGAAAGGCAGTGCTGTGCAGCTGGTCTTTCTCTTACCTTCTCTCTTTGCGCACACCCTGTGCAGAGGCTCTCCAGAGGGAATGTGAACTGTGCTTTACAGGGCTTGTGGTAGAAGATGGGGAGAAATCATCTGGGATGAGATGTCTTGCATAATGTTTTCCACCCCAAATTGTTGGTTGGACAAAGTAGCCTTACATTTGCACAGCACTGGTTACAACCATGGCATTTGATCACAGAATACAACAATTTTCTTGAAGTTTCACCCATATCTGAGGCTTCTAAGAATATAATCTTGCTCTTCCAAACTAGAGGTTACTCTTCATATTATCAGCCTCTTCTATTGTAGAGGTCCCCTCCCTCTCCCTCTCCCTCTCCCTCTCCCTCTCCCTCTCCCTCTCCCTCTCTCTCTCTGTGTGTGTGTGTGTTTTAAGCATTGAACATGTTGAATAACTGTAATTGAGGAGTAATCAATTAATGCTCACATTATTTTTGTCCTTTTCCTGTCAGGAAGATGAGGTGATCACTTTGTATAATTTGAAATTTTAATTTCATTACATTTTGATGTGATGTGACTTTCTTTAAATGCATGTTAGCACTTCTGTTTTCAGATTATTAGATGGTTTTTGCCCTGGTTTGGATTACGATCTGTGAGACATATTGCATCCTCTTTGGTTTTATACTGAACTCCGAAGGTGGAGACTTATTTTGTGCATGCTTTCCCCCTCCATCCCAGCCCACCCTAACCTTGCATGCAGTAGCTTGTTTTTTAGTTAAATTTTGAGTTGGTAGTGGTGTGTGGTGTTAGAGCTCAAACAGCCGAATAACCAAAATGCCATGTGCGATGCAGCTCAGTCATGATCTGAACACATTGTTGTGTCGCACACAAAGAAATGTTAACACAAACTGAACACTCGCAAGCAAACCTTTTTGGTTCGAAAGCCATGCCTTAATGAGATCCAAAATCTGGCAGGGTGGAGCGCGTGCTTTCCATGCAGGTAGTCTCTGCTTCAGTCCCCAGCTGCTCCAGGTAGCAATACGGAGGACTCCACTGGCCAGCAAAGGGCGGGGGTGTGCAACTGTTGTGCTCCTAAGGCCACATCCAGTGGTGCCCGGGGGCCATGCGCACACGCAGTATACATGAGACTGCCCTAGCTGAGCTCAGTATGATGCAGCTTTCTGCATTCCTATTTGTTAATGTATCTACCCACTTACTGAATAAACAGGAGCTTTTCAGGTACTTTACTGAGTCCAGAGGACTTCAGCTATCGCACAGTGTAGAAATTAATTAAACTACTGAGGGGCTTTTTTGTTCTGTCTATGGAATCCCAAGCAGTTGCAGGTCATGTAGCCCACCTGGGGATACTTGTCTCTGCTTGCTGCCACCCTGACTGGTTTGACTTTTTGTTTTTGTTTTAAAGAGAGGGTGTTTCCCACGTCAAGTGTAAGTACTATCAATCCCACCATTTTGACTTTGCCCTAGTCAATGCTATTTCCACGCACCCTCTCATTACATTCAGTCAGAATAATTCTGCCTCTCACTCTTTCTCCACATTTTCCAGAGTCATCCACAATAGTAGGTTTTCTTCTTTGCTCAGCTAGAGTCCTTCCCTGGAGCACAAACCCTGACATTTTAGGGGGTGCCAATTTTTAAGGTGCAGTTGCTTGAACTTTGTTTGCTTTGGCTGTAACAGAAAGCTTGGTTTAAGCTGTTATGAAAGTGCGTGTACTGTTTGTTTGTAGTACCTGAAGTCAGGCTCTCTGAAGGATCCACTGCTGGATGACCATGGGGACTTCAACAGGATGTGCACTGCCATGAAGAAGATCGGCTTAGATGATGGAGAGAAGCTGGATCTCTTCCGAGTGGTGGCTGGTGTTCTGCACCTGGGAAATATCAATTTTGAAGAAGCTGGCAGCACATCCGGTTAGATCTGTTATCACTAATATTCTTTTATGTAGCAGTAGAGCAATGCTGCTGTTTCAATATGAAGTTATTGTTTTTTAGTGAAAGGAAATAGCTGAAAGAATTAATCACTGCTTGGGGAATCTGGACTTTTAAGGATTTGTTTTCTAGAAAGGTTTAGAAGGAGCATTCATTTGATAATTTAAAAAAATCAACACTACTATTTGGCCCATATTTCCAAAGGCTTGTAGCAACTGCGTGATTGATGTTTTTACCATGTTAAAGAGAAATGTTCTTTCATTTGACGGGGCTGCGGGCAGGGGAACTTAAGTACTTTAGGCAGAGATGATTTCTTTGCCCGGAGATGATGTTAGGCAAGTAAATTAAGGCCATAAAGTAGCTCTTACATTTTTTATTAGTTTCTGGGGGCATAAGAACAATACAATTGATGGTGTTGGGTCTCTTATTCATTCATTCAATTTATCAGCCACTCAGTAATAAAAGTTCTCTGGGCAATGTACAAAGAAAACCAAATTAAAAATCAAAATTGCAGGAAGGCAACTTAAAAAGCAGCAAATTAGACAGCTGTAAAATCAATATATACTCTTACGCAGCATGGTTTGTCCATGAAATTCAGTTCTTGTTCTCGGGCCATGAAGTAAGCTCCCTGTCACATGCTTCAGCGTCCAAATACAAGAGTACAGTGCTGTGCCCTCGAAATGGGCAGCCAGTGACTGACGCGTGCAGAATCAAATGGGAAAGGAAACATGGGCTGTGCTGTCCCCACTCTGTGTAACTTAAAGTTTGAGCCTGTACATTATTCATGTTAGGTGCCCCAGGTAAGGAATAGAATGTGCGGGCAGTAGCCCTGTGTACAAGCAGGACCTCTTATGTATGCATGAATAGGCTAGTGTGTTACAAGCAGCACCTGTGCAAAAACATACAGCAGCATCTGCCTGTTGGTATTAGCCATTGCTTTGAAGCCATCGCTTCTATTTGGCCCACTCTGCTGGTTTGGGAAAGGTAGAAAAACAATGGGAAGAGATTGTATAGTACATTTATGGGTCAGACCAGTGAGCAGACTTTTGTTTGATGATCTGATGGAGTAACTTACTTACTTACTTACTTACTTATTTATTTATTAAAACATTTCTATGCCGCCCCATTCGCCGAAGCCTCGGGGCGGCTCACAACATAAAATTAAAATACAAGAAATAACAATATAAAATAAGCCGCCCTGGCCAGATAAAATAAGTAAATAATATTAACAATTAAAATGGCGCTTAAATAAAAAGGTCTTCGCCTGGCGCCGAAAAACAAATAACGACAGCGCCAGGCGGACCTCTCTGGGGAGCGCATTCCATAGAAGTGCAAACTTACTGGTCGTTTGCACTTCTGTGGATTCTAGTCAGTGTCCCATCAAGGCATCTGGCAAGCAAACAAGAAGCTGTCTTCTTCCAGGCCAGATAGCTTGCCCAGCTAGCTGCTGGGACTTGTTGGCACTAGCAGCAGCTTTCCAGAAATCCAGGCAGGGGCCAGTCACATCCTGTGCTACCTTATTCTTTCTTTTAGATGCCAGGGATTGGACTTAGTCCTTTTCTGTGAAAAGCCTATCTTCTCCCTGTGAATGCTGGATTCTGCCTGAAGTCTAGCTGGAGCTTACTACCTTGGCTGCAACAGCCTGGCCAAGCTAGCTTCAGCAGCTGATCCATAATATGAAAATATGGGGAACCTCTGCGCCATACAATGACTAAGTTTTACTTTGCTCAGAGTAAAAATCATTCTTCTTACTCTTTGTTTAAGATGAAGGCATCCACATTTTTGAAGAACGGCAGAACTGTGGTTATTTTCCATGTTCCTCTTTTCTGTAGTTTTGGAAATAGTTTGAGATGTGTTCAAATTCCAGGTTTCTGCAGTTGCTTTTAAGGACAGTTGCTGGTTGCACATTGCAGTGAAACAGTTTTGATCCCATGTTACCCGTGGCTTCTTTTTAATTCAGGTGGATGCACGCTGAAGAATAAATCCACCCAGTCCCTGGAATACTGTGCAGAGCTGCTTGGTTTGGACCAGGACGATCTGCGCGTTAGCTTAACTACACGAGTCATGCTGACAACAGCAGGGGGCACCAAAGGAACGGTGATCAAGTAAGTTGCTAGGGCCAGAGCAAAGGAGAGCAGCCTATTTTCCCTTGCAGGCCTGCCTGCCTTCTTTCCCATTGCCCCAGCTTGGCGTGTTGTTTATTTTGCAGCTGAGGTGGTAAATATTGATTATAAAATTCTTTCTTTAAGCAGTGCCGGAATGCCTAACGTGCATCTGTTTATAGAAGTATAGAAATACAGTGCCACTCTCTTTCCCTTCCTCCTTTTGCTTTGTTCTCCAAGATGGATGGCACTTCCCTTAGAGTAATAAAACATCTGTCGCTAGACCAAATTTACTTCTGTGCTCTTTCATCCCAGCGTGTGAGAGGAAATGTATCTATGTAATAACAGTAATGGGCTGGGATGGGGCTGGAATTGCCTGACAGTTTCGTTAATGATTCAGCTGTCAACTGTTGGTAGGAGACGTGAAAATGCCCTTCAGCATGTCTCAGCACAACTTGAATCCATATTCATATAGCAATAATTGCTTAAAAGCGAAGAATAACATGATGTTTGCTCTGAGTAGACAGTGTGCAAAGTTACTTGGAACTTGTTAAAGATGGGAATGGAAAACTCAAGCTTTCACATGGTTCTTTAAGTACTATAACGTACTCCTTTCTATGTGATTCCTAATCAGCCATAATCTTAGTAGCCAGCGTGGTGTAATGGTTAATAGCATGGGACCCCAGGACTCAGGAGAACTGGGTTCAAGTTCTGGTTCAACCACGAAGCTGAGTAATTTCGGGCCAGTCACAGACTTGCAGCCCAACCTACCTCACAGGGTTATTGTGAGAATAAGATTGAGAGGAGGAGGAAAATAATGTAATTCTCCTTGAATTCCTTGAAAGGAAAAAGAGTAGAACTATAATAAATAAATAATAGGTTTATATGCCTGAATTATTCATGTAGCCTGCTACATCAGCTGCTTGGCTTCTGTCTTGTGGTCTGAGACGTGGGCAAGTTCTGTTCCACTGCTTCCATCATTAGCAGTTCGTATGCAAGCTGTTCTGCATCTATCAATAGCTGGTGGATCTACTGTCATCCTCATGAAACCCCTTTTCTTGTTATGTTTTTAGCAGGTTCTATTATGGGTTTTCATAATACGCTAAACTTGCCCTCCATTTTACTTTGCTATTATATGTTTTCTATGGTTAGATGTAGAAATTATCAATTTCTTAAATTTTACAGTTAGAATAAGTTACATACTGTGCAATGCATTAAGTTTTGTTTCTAGCCACTATAATTTTACATATCAATGTTAATTTGTGAGCTTTTTATGCACATATCTTCCAAAGAAACCCATGTGGCATCTGGCTCTTGGTAACTTTCCAGCATGACAATGTTCAGCTGCTCAGACATTAAAAACTCCAAAGTAATGCTAAGTATAGTTCAGATTGGCAATTTACTAATTCACATAGGAAAACACATTTTATCCATTATTGCACATAACAATCATTGGCTGAACCCAAGATTTTAATGTAGCTGTTGAACATTGCAATCAACAGCAAAAAGGAGCTGTTATTCCTTTTGACTTGTTGATAAGCATTAAATAAAACATTAAATCAGTTTAAAAAATTGATTCCAAATGTAATCTGTTTTTGCCATATTATGAGTTTATGTGTTCAGTTGGGACTAAGAGTAGCATGCCACAACCCTGCAATTTTGTTCACTGCTATTATGCTGTGAACAACAGAAAACACTATTCTGATCTCTGAACCTGATGGATAATAACAGTATTCTAATAAAGATACTGACACTTTCTTGATCTTGATTAATTTTTCTTGGAAAAATGCAGTGCAGGCCAAAATCACAATAGTTAATTCAGTAGTTCAGAAATGTTCCTTTTTTGTTCTCTGTAACAATAATATGCTAAGGTTTTCAAGTGGGGCTGCCAATAGCCAAGATAGCCCTGCAGCAGATAGTCACTTTTATGTTCTCAGGCCATAGATAAAGTTTTGGTGGTTCAGCCCAAATTCAACCATAGAAAATACCCTTCAATTTTTATGGAAGTCTATATATCTTTGTATAGCCCACTCCTGGCTCAATTTAAGTGCTCAGCCTTATGTTTTATTGATTTGAATGTAGGCATGTCAGGGGCATGGGAGTTGGGAGGAGAACCTACGACCTACTCTGAGCCTGGTAAAATCTGGCTTTGTCTCATCCTTTCACAGGCAACTCTTCTTTCAGCACTGTGGAGTGAGGAGGTTGTGTTGACTCCAGAAACTGGCCCTCTGCTTGGGGGTCCAGCTGTTAACTCTGTGATCTGGGCTACAGGTAGCAAAGGCATGCCTTTAGAATGAAACAGCAGGTCACCTCTAAGCATATTCTGAATTTCTTTTCAGTATCAAAACTAACCTAGTTCATGAAGGTTTCACATGTTCAGTCCAAGCTTTGATTTCAGTACCATAATTTAGGATGGTGTAGCAGAATCATTTTGTTAAACAATGGGAATCAGAGACTCCTGCCAGTCTACTGCAAATCATCCCAAGATCTACCAGTAGGTCTGTCTTCTCCTCACCCTGGTCTAAGATAGTCAATCTTTGTGCCTGGACCTCAGAGATGCATTGTGCTAAACTGGGGATGGCCACTTGTGTGTCAAAACATTTGAAGGGCCACAAGTCCCAATTTCTCTTACCACTGGCTATACTGGCTAGGGCTGATGGGAGCTGCGGCCCTCCAGATGTTTTGTTCCACAAGTAGCCCACCCTGATGTAAAATATCTATATCAGATATGCCCCTGACCAAGTGGTGGTGCAGGCACAATGGAGAAGAAAATTTTCCCTGCCTTACTCACATGCAACAACAGTACTCTGGTATCCAATTGGAAATGGTGTGTTTTTAGATGTAGGGAAACTGTAGAAGATGCTGCTCCATTCTTTTCAGTTTAGGGGGTGAGTGCAAATACAAAACAGTGTCACAGATTTATTTTGAAAATGGGTTCTGTTCTTCATCAGGCACATGGAGAGATTAGCATCTCTAATCTCCAGGGCCAAATCCGCTCCTTCCCTGAGCATCTCTCAGCAAGAGAAATGTGGAGGTAGCACTGACTGCGAAGACCTTGGGAAGCTAGCTGGCAATAGGTGGTTGGGGAAGGCGCGGTTCACAACCCTCCCCCTTTTCTGCACCTCCTGTAGAAACCTACCTTCTGATCAGGGCCTATTGGATATTGGGGTCCTTTAAAACATTGCGATACTATGATCAGTCCTCTTGATTTGCTGAACAGTATAGTTTCCCGAATCCACGTATACTTCAGCCAGTAGGTGGTGTGCATTTTCTTAAGGTTCAGATGAGCTAACACTTTAACTACAATTTTTGTTGCTATGATATATGAAAGTCAGAGCTGTGTATGAAATGACATTGGGACTAGATTATTTATTGTGCCAAGTATAGAGCAGGTTCTTAACCAAGGAGGTTCCATTGTGTCATACTGAATGCTTATTTTGCTCGTAAAGCAAGACTTCTGGAGTTTGTGCTCACAGGTGTGGGGAGCTCCAACACTAGCAGCAGCCACCATAGAAAGGTTCCGTAAAGTGCTGATAGATTTCATTACTGGAAAATTTGGGGTGGAATTTATCCTATAAAAGTTATGTTCCTAGAATATAATGAACTGCCATAAAAAAAGTTACATTTCCATATGTCTGGATCATTTATCGCTACTTCTGAAGGTATATGTGAGTGACGTGACAGGAAAAAAAGATATTGGTATAAAGGCCCAAATAGGAATGAGGTTTGCAAGCTAACTCTGGTTAGTATCGCACAAATGAAGGCAATGGTGAACCACTTCTGAAACAACTTACCTTGAAAACCCCATGATGAAGCAATCCAAAGTGAAACGAGAATGCCAGAATATGAGATCCCCTGGGTTGGAAGGCACTAAACAAGCTACTGGGGAAGAGCAAAGGACATACAGTGTTGTTGATAATTATGCAACTAGATCAAAGACTAAAAGGTAGTCTAGTGGCTGACATGCACAGAGGAGAAAGGAAAGACTGATGTTGCACAACATACACAGTGGGAACATGGGATGTTAGAAATATGAATCAGAGCAAACTGGAACCAACAAGTAGGAAATGGAACAGTTACATTTCGCAGTTCTTGGTGCAAGCAAACTAAAGTGGACCTGGACTGGGACCTTTTCAGTCAGATCAACCCAAAGTGATTTTTCTCTGGAAATGATGAACTGGCTCTAATAGTAAGGCAAGTGGCTCTAATAGTAAGGCAAGAATTAGCACTGACAATAAGTCTATATTGCAAAATACAACCAAATATCAATCAGAATTGGTGGAAAGCCTGTTGACATAACCATCAAGTTTATGCTCCAGCAAGAGATGTTGAAGAAGAACGTAGGTGCTCATGAGAAAATGAGTAACACAATTTATAAATAAAACATCACACACACACACACATTCAACATATAAAACAAGATATGCTGATAATCCTAGGTGACTGAAATGCAAAGCAAGAAATGAAGAATTGAATGTTGTAGGAAATTTGACCTAGGTGTAAGAAATATAGCAGGAGGATGACTCGTAGAATTGTGAAACCATCAGTCTAACACAAATAAGTACTTCCAATGAAGTGACTGTATACAATGGACATCACTGGATGGCAAATGCAGAAATCAAATAGACTACACAACTGGAAGCAGAAGGTAGAGAAGTTGTATTCTGATTGCCAGAAAAGACCAGGATTAGATTGCAGTAGTGATTATGAACTCATAGCAAAGATCAGAGTCAAGCTAAAAAAAAAGAAATACTAACAGAAACCTAGTGACAAAATACAATTTCTGTAACATCTCCGAGGAAGTTAAACTCCACATAAAGAACAGATTTTCATTACTCAGCAAAACTGACCATGAGCCTGAAGAACTGTGGACTGAACCCAGAAACATTGTTAGGGAAGAAGGCCAAAAGACAATTCTTCTAGCAACAAGAAAGAAAAGGTCTAGTTGATTGACAGCCATCAAGGACAGGTGAGAAGCATAAGGTGACAGAAATAGGGCCAGAATCCTGCATTCCACTTTTCCATGAATGTCATGCAGAGACCAAAAGAACTGTTACAATGACCATTGCAAAGAAGTAGCAGAGAACAACAAAAGTGGAAAAACAAGAGCCTGCTGTTAGAATAGAGGATGGAGAAGCAGAATGGTTTTCCACAGGCAAAAGGTGTCAGAAAAAGGTGCATTTTATTTCTCTATCTGTTCAATATCTCGGCAGAACATAGCACAAGAAAAGCTGGATTAGGATCAGAGGTGGTGAAAATTAGTGGGAGACATCAGTAATTTAGGTTATACAGTTGATACCGTATTACTGGCAATGCAGCAGCAAACTGAAATGACATCTGATAAAAATGGAAGAATCAAGTGCGGAAGCAGGACTGTAGTTGAATATTAAGAAAACAAATCATGACCATAGAAGAATTACAGAACTGTATTGACAACAGTGAAGCAGTCGAAATTGTGAACTGCTTTATATTCCTTGGCTCAGATACCAGTCCAGATGGAGACTCTAGCCAAGAAATTTTGAAGAAGATTGAAATTGGAAGAGCAGCAATGAAGGAACTAGGAAAGATAAAGTGTAGGGATGCTTCACTGGAGACCAGTGCCAAGATAATTCACGCTATTGTGTTCTCAGTTACTATGTATGGCTGTGAAAGCTGGACAGTGAAGAAAGCTGACAGGAAGAAAATCGATAAATTTGAAATGCTGGAGGTAAAGGAAAGGTGTATCCCTCACACATGCATGCTAATTGCATCCAACTCTAGGGGTGGCGCTCCTCTCCGTGCTGGAGGAATGCTTCGCAAAGACCCTGGACCAACAGAAAGATGAACGAGTGGGTCCTAGATCACATCAAGCCACAGCTTTCCTTTGAAGCAAACTGACAACTTGAGCACATAATGAATCCTAGAATAGAGTTGGGAGGGGCCAGAAGGCCATTGGGGCCAACCCCCTGCTTAATGCAGGACTCCAGGTTAAACCATCCCTCTCAATTAATGCCTCTATGGTTTATTTTTCCTGGGTGCAAAACTTAGCACTTGTCCCTGTTGAATTTCATTCTGTTTTCAGTTCAGTGCTGCAGCCTATCAAGATGAATCTTCTTTCTGACTTTGTTTCCAGGGTATTAGCTATCCCACCCATTTTTGTGTCATCTGCAAATCTGTGCAAATTTAATTGTTCCCTGCATTTTCTCATCCAAATCATTAACAAAAATGTTGAAGACCACTGTGTCCAGGAGTGAACCCTGCTGCACCCCACTTGTAACTTCTCAGTTTGAGAAGGTGGCATTGATGAACACTCCTTGGGTCTGATTGTGTAGCCAACTGTGGTGGATCTACTTGATGGCTGTTCCATCTAGTCCACCTTTTTGCTAGTTTGCTAATCAGGATTTCATGGGGCACTTTGTCAAACTTTGCGGAAGTCAAGATAGATGATGTCCCCCAGCATTACCACAATCTATCAGGGAAGTTACCCAATCCAAAAAAAGAACAAACTAAATTGACTAATAGGAAATGGAGGTAAACTCAGAGTTAAAAACAGGTCAATTATGCAGTTACAGTGCTGCATCGTTCTTGCTTAAGACTGTGTATCAGGACATAGCTTTGTACCCCATCCCATCTTCATTCTCCTGCTGTTTGCCCCCAGTGTTTCTGAGAATGCCCTGTTATCTTGAAATGGGCACATGTGTATAGTTATGTGCTGCATTTAAAATACTAGTGAGTATGGAAGACGAGCTGCACTGCTCATAAGCGACAATGGCAAAAAGGGGTGCGGCAGCTGAACGGGGAAGGGAACGGGACAGTGTTTCGGATTTCCAAACTGCTTTGGAACTGGGTTGCAGTGCTTTTGATAGAAGAAGCAGACCGGGTTGTGTGTGGGCTTATACCTTTTGCCCCAGCTCTTCCAATACGTAATGCTTCAAGATTGTAGTGGACAATATGTTGAGCAGGGGTTATTTATAATCTTGTACAAATCACGAGTTATTTAAGTTTTTATGCAATTTCAAGAGTTTCAGCTGCATACTTGTTATAAATTGAATGACTATAGCTGTTTCTGGATTCAGATTAATAGTGCTTCTCTTTTCACACCTCTATTTCTTTAATTAAATTACTTTTCATTAATTTTAAGCTTACATTAAGCTAAAATTATGATGTGCATAACATCTTACATAAAAGATTGGCAGTTGACATTATTGGCAAGGATTATAGTGCTGAGCTCTTAAACGTATCAGAAGGGGAATGTAAAGGAACCTTTCCTCTATTTATAAGATAGGATTCCTGTCAGTACACATTACTGTAAGATAAATCATGAGATTGCACATTAAGGCTAATTACACTCTAATGTAACATAGATACAGATATTCCTATTAAACAGGGCCTCTGTTTCCTTGCAACCTTCCATTTTTGATAGAAGGGAATTCCAATTTACCAGATACAGAGCTGTTTAACACTAGTTTTTCCCTAAATACCTTTTCACGGAGTGGGGAAGGTCCTGCAAGGGAGCGAAACCATATTTAACTCTCCAGAGTGCTGTAATACTGGCCTGCTGCCCTGCAGGCTATCATTCTTCTCAGCATTGACCTAGAGAAAAACACATGTAGGGTCAATAGCGACTGTTAATCTTTTCCTCAGATGGTGTCAGAGTATCAGTTCAAATGGGATTGTGCATTGCAGCAGCTAAGAGCTTAAACTGGCTGAAGCAGTTCAGATTCAGTGTACACTTAATTCTTCTTGCTGTGCCCAGATTAATTTTGGAATCAATATTCATTTCTCTAAGATTGGGGAAGGGGTTGAGGAGTAAGCATTTTGAATTGGTTTGTTTATTACAGGTGATAGCAGCTCTTTCCAGTGGCCTATTTATTTGTGACTGCTTTTATTTTCAATCCACATCTGTATGCTCGTAATAAACTAAGAGCTGAAGTGGAGAAATGCACTTTGCAGAAAAACCATACCTATCTTTTGGCAGTTTTTCAGGAGGCACATATGTGTGGCCATTTACTCATTCGCGTGTGTATGTGTTTCTGAGGCAAGCAGTCACACACAAGTTACCCACATGCAGCTTTCAGCACCCTGCAATCTTCCCCAATTCCTGACCTGAATGCCCCTTGGTTGAGTTTCTTTGTCAGCTTTTCATGTCAATAGTGACATCAGCATGTTGGCCCACCAAAGCTGCTTCAGAATGCAGGCAAAGCTTCCTGAACACATACTGCTTCAGCCTGATTTGCATTTGGTGCTACATAGGCAAATTTGAACTCTGTCATGAGGTAGGTCCCTGTTGCTGGGAAGAAGACTGACTTAAAAGCAAATGGTAAGGCTGCAGCATGCAGTCTGAGAGATAAGCCGTGGTCAGAATGATCCTTTAGTGGATCTTCATGAAAAGTACTGAATGAACTATAAAGCAGTTTTTTGCATTATCTGGGAATCTTAGTCTAAAATCAAAATTTCCTGGAACAGCCTTTCCTTTGTCAAGTCATTTCCCATCACTCCTTCATGTTTTCTCTCAGGATTTGGTGTTTCAGCATAACCTTTTCTATTTCATCTTGCATCTTCTTGCACAGGCACCTACTTCCTCCTTTTCAAATCTAATCTCTTTATATGTCCCCACAATTCCTGTCTTATCTGATATCGATTGCATCATTTGCATCATATCTGTATAACAGGTAAAGATAGTTCCTAGGTTTTTCTGGTTATTTTGAGTCTTGTGCTGTTTATTATTTTGCATTTTATGCTTATAGGTATTTGTATGTATTATATTTTTAGCTATGACATTTTTAAAAGTTTGTAATCACCTAGACAACATTAGTTATAGGGTGGATTAGAAGTCCAGTAAATAAAATGCACCTTGCACACTCGTGCCCACATACACCATAAATTTTTAAAAATCCTTTTGTAGGAATGCCTAATCCTGTGTGATTAGGATGGGTGCAAGCGAAATTGCTGCAAATGTGGCTACCCTGATATTCATGATGATGGGGGACACGTCCAGGGAATCACACTTGCTTCAGCAGCTCCGTTAGGATTGCAACGTGCTCTTGTCCGACCAGAAGGCAGGTTTCCCACTTGTGGAATGCCTTCCCTCAGGAACCCAGCTTTGCCCCCATCCCTTGTGAAGCTTAAGGGAGCACTCGAGATGATATTATTGTTCTGCTCAATGTTTTATTAATTTTATGGTTGATCCTCTTCATATGTTGTAGTTCATGCTATTTTTATTCTATATCACTTAATTATGCTAATCTTTTTCTTAATTGCAAGCGATCTTAATCAGGCTTTCCCTAAAAAGTGGGGTAGAAAAAATTAATCCTAATATTCTTTCCTCATAGAGTACCACTGAAAGTAGAACAAGCAAACAATGCTCGTGATGCTCTGGCAAAAACAGTCTATAGCCACCTCTTCGACCATGTAGTCAACAGGGTAAACCAGTGTTTTCCTTTTGAGACATCATCTTGTTTCATTGGGGTTCTGGATATTGCAGGTTTTGGTAAGTGTTTGCATTCTTATTCACATTATTCACTCTTTATTTTATTTGTATTGCCCACCTTTCTTCAGTCACAGAACTCCTTCTAGGTGGTGTCTGTGCGGTTTCCCAGTGGTCCCCCAACTAGGCAATGATTGGATCCAGATAGCTTCAGCAGGGCAGCTGCGTCATGGACCCCTGAATTATGCTGTGAGACCTAATTGGTTATCTGTATTCCTGCTTCTGAGTGTGCATTAAATCTATAGTTGCTTAAGGAAAGACATCACAGGTGGTGTGAGCATTAAATAGGTAATTCCTGTGTTCGCATGATACCAAATTGTTTCAGCAGAAAATAGGACAAAGGCCTTAAAATGGCTTGCAGTTTTTCACATAGCTGGCTGACGTATTTTAATAGATTAGAACAGTGCCCTAATCATATCTGGCTGACAGTGCTTTTGAATTCAATAGTGGGTTCAATCTGAAGCTTTGTGCCTTCATTGCCTTTTAGCCAACATGTCCCATACTCCTGTGCCTACTAGAGGGAAAGCTTTATTTCCAGATTGTGGTAGAGGGACACATGGAGGAATGTTCTTGGTGGCTCTTGCTAGTGTTGGACTTGCCCTTTCCTTGAAACCTGCATGTCTTGTACCTATCTTGGAAACCACCTCTTGTCCGTTGTCCTCTATTATTCTATTGTAGACCACGCTGTTTGTTCTGATTATCAAGCTCCTTTCGGCTAGATGTTCCTCAGTATGAACTGGGATTTTCCAGTATAGCATTGTGAAACAGAGTTGGGTTTAGTTAGAACCACTGAGAAGCTCTTGAAGTTCTAGATCTTATTCCCATGCATTGTGCTTGAGACATTGTGCTATTCTGGATTCTGTGTAGGATACCCGTCTTGAGCTTAGCAAAAGCTGGGGGTCAAATCTAAAGAAATATGGAGGGTAAGGTGTGCTCATTAAGTTGCAGATGTAGGTGTAATGCCAATGGTGCCGTGTTGGCAGAAGGAACAAGATCTAAATCTGTTTCTATCATGTCATGAGTGGAGCCTGGGGTCAGACTACATGGTCCGGGAGGGTCCCTTCTGGCTCGCTATGTTTCTAAATATGAGGTAGTCTATGCAATTAGCATCAGAAATGTAGAATTCCATTACTGCATCAGAACTTCATGTTTTACATTAGAACAGTAGGGGCTAATCTGTGTCCTCTTCACTGAATTGCAACTGTACCTTTATTAGAAGACCTGATCTTGAAGGGCTGTGCCTCACATAGGACAACAGTATAAGTGCATTCTATGTTTCACTTTTTTCCTTTTTAAATCTATTAATCACTTTGTCTTACAGAGTATTTTGAACACAACAGCTTTGAACAGTTTTGCATTAACTATTGTAATGAGAAGCTGCAGCAGTTCTTTAATGAAAGGATCCTCAAAGAGGTAACTTAGAATATACCGTGCAATTAACAGTGTTCTAAAGGGGTTTCCCCACCCCAAATATATTGCAGTATTTCTCGTATCTTATGTTGTAGTAGCAATTTGTTAATTTCCCATCTACTGACATTAAGCTGTTTAGGTCAACTGACTGACAGAGCTCAACTTATAAGAATGAGTTACTTGGCTTTCAGAGAATTTTGATCATCCCCCAAAAGTTGCATATTTCTGTGCAAGATAACTACTTATCTTACATACTTTGCATATAAAACATCTTGTCCTTATACAGTGACTTGAAAGCCCTCTTATGCATATAGGAAGAAAGCCATATCAGAATTAACCTTATTGTCTGGAAGTCCAACAGAACTTAAACAGTGAAGGAAACTTGGACATGGCAATAGGAAATATCCAAAGCTGCCTTTGTGCTGGTGCAACAGGAATCTAGCATGTCCTAGAATGCCTGGAAACTAGCCAAAATGCATATTTCTAGAACAGAACAGTCAGCGGGTTCTCCACAGGGGGCTCCACTGACCTGTTCCATCCAGGGTTACCAGTTTCTGAGGTTGCTATACAAAGCTAGTTGGTGCTAGCTTCCTGTTGTGCTAGCAGTTATTCCTGCTTACTGCAAACTGATAAGCACTGGCAAACTCCCAGCTTTGGATACTGCCCAGTATTATTTTCGATAATACTGCACTTCTGGTACACATGAGCAGAAGGATGTAATGATGCAAAAGGGTTGCAATGGTGGGTTCCTTTGAAGAGGAAGAGCTCAAATAGCATCTTCAGCAATCTGACAGAGCCAAGATTGTTGACGGTAACTGATCGTCATGTGCCAGAATAAAACAGATGAGATAAGAGGTCCTTCTGGATCTGAGAAGAATATAGGACTGCCATGTTTAGAAGCCCACACAGAAGAGTTTTAGCTGTTTCATAACTGTTTTATGCCCCCAAGCTCAGACAGTATAAGACTGTGTAGGAATATACCACTAGGGACTTGCTGGATCTTTTGTGGCAGGAACAGCTTGAGTGGAAATACCATCAAACCAAATAAGAGGCTGACACATGTACTCAATCCCCATGGAAGGCTGTGCAAAATTGGGCAATAAGCGATATTTTACCTACGTGACACTTTCAATGTTTTTATTATAGGAACAAGAACTTTACCAGAAGGAAGATTTGGGTGTCAATGAAGTTCACTATGTAGATAACCAAGACTGTATAGGTATGTGTGTTAAAGTTTCTGTCTCACTCCCTTCCTCCTTCTGTGTGTGTGTGTGTGTGTGTGTGTGTGTGTGTGTGTAATTGCATTGGAAATGAATAGCAGTATATCCATTAGTTTTTCTTTCCCCTTTGGAAATAGTGTGTATGGAGAAATAGACTCCCATTTTAAGTTATTTAAGGGTCTGACTTGAATAAAATCTGAAGCTAAATTTCTCCAGATTTAATAGGTCCATGTTTGTAGTTGGAGTCAGGCGTGGTCCAAAATCTGGTTTGTTTAGCTAACCTTTAATTTTAAGGTCTGAACTCTAGCTTACACAGAAATCTGGTTTGTTTGGTGCCAACAAACCAGAATGAGAAACCACAGTTTGAAGGTGGTTTTATTAGCATAAAACACTTTATGCTGATTATAGTTTACTGCTAAATCTGAATTCAGAGACCACTGACAGTCCACAATTAGGCCACATGACTTTGGCTCCAGAAGGAGGTGCACCATGGAAACAGATTGATGTTGAAGGGATTTTCAAAAGTAGGTTGTGTCATAGCATGGGAGATGGAGGAAAGGTAGGAAAAATATGCCTTTCTTGAACCATGACCAGGACTGATACGAGAACATAAAAACGGATTGGATGGAATTCACTCCAAGTTAGCACTAATTGATGCTAGAATATTAATTGAATAATAGTAATTAAAAGCAGCTGCTATTTGAGGTTCTGGTACATATAACTAAAGGCACTTCTAAGGTTCTCGCTTTTCCTAGGCACTGGGACCTGTAGAATTCTTAGCCATGCTTCTTGAAAGTCATGAGTTTATTCTTAAAATTCTACATTTTTTAAAATTTTAAATGGGATACTGCTTTATATTATGTTTAACCAGGATTCTGTATTTTGTGGTTCTCAGTGTTGTGAACTGCCCAGAGTAATTTGGTATTGGGAAGCATGGATTTCTTTCTTGCATAGAAACTGCTTCCAGCTTATTCTTATTCTTATAGCTATTTTGGTTCAAGGGTCTTACTGTTGATAATGTGTATTCTAGCTTTTTCATTTTACAAAATGTTTCCATATTTATTGATTATTATACTGGATTTTATGTCAGTTTTTGATGCAACAGTTTTAGGTAGCTTTAAATAATCTCAGTTGAAAGGAAAGGGCAAACAAATTCAGTCTTAAGATTAGTTCTTGGCAACAGAGAATGTTGCTTAAGCTGCAGAAAATTACCGTTAAATAACTCAATATGTCAGTTAATGTCTTAGAACTTCTGTGAGATTATCGCAGAAGATCCAACTTTAAGACTAGAATAAGTCTTACTCTTATTTGGTATGATCTTTTTTGTCACTGCAGATTGTATCTTAATTAGTGCACTGGTTTCTGTCTCAAACAGATTTGATTGAAGGAAAATTAATAGGTATTCTTGATATTTTGGACGAAGAAAACCGCCTTCCTCAACCAAGCGATCAGCACTTTACATCAATGGTACACCAGAAGCACAAAGACCACTTCAGACTCTCAGTAGGTGACGCTTGTTACTTCCTAAGTTAAAACGTGGGCATAAATAGAGCAACTGTACAACTGAGATTCTTTTTCTGCCAGTGTCTGAAACGTGGCAAAACAACTGAAGCTGCCAGAGTTTTTAATTAGTCAGCTCACTGATTAGAACTCCTGTATTCGTAATACTTGAAGCAAGCCCGGACTGCTGTCTTAGGAATTTTTGATCAATTTTGGAACTGAATGCAAGATTAGAACATGCACTGTCTGCATCTAAACAGTGCTGTTTCCACACATGCCCTGAGTTGGTTGGTTTTAACCCTTTATTTGATTTGTGAGCATTCAGTAAATGAGGGCAGAAAGAAATTTCAAGGTTGACTGTGGAAGAGGTTTTTCAGGAAAGGCAGGTTAATATGACCAAAAGTTCAGGCAAAGGGCTTTGCCATGTTATACCATTTTACTTCCTTGTTTTATTTATTATTTTTAAATCCCACCTTTTTTCCTTCCAAGGAACTTAAGATGGCTTAATTATTTTCCTCCTCTCAATCTTATCCTCACAACAACAGTGCTGTGAGGTCGGCTGAGAGTCTGTGACCAGCCCAAAGTCACCCAATTGGCAACATGGCTAGGCAGGAACTAGAACCTGGGTTGCCTGAGTCCCACTCCTGTGCTCTTAAGCACTGCTTCCATCCTATAGTTTTTTAAATATGACAAGTGGTATATAAATCTGTTAAAGAAAGAAAAGAAAAGAAAGCACATGTCTTGTTCAGATCATGCACCGAGGCCGTTTCTAAAGGGTACACGAATCCTTTGTGAAGGGTCCACTTTTAAATAAATGAAAGGCTATTTTTCTGAGTGCCCATTAACCCCATAGTTTAGGATCTTCACATGACTGCTGCCAAGTTATACTCTGTGTTGGCCTGTACATTATGTCTTCCCTCTGTGGGGAAGTTTCTTGTGGTAACAGTTGTAGCAGCTTTCCTCTCCACGTGCCTTTAGAGCAAGACAACAACAGAATTCTTTGCTGATTATTGCCGCATAGTGACCAGGTACAAAACAGCATTCAGTCTCTGGTTTTTGGAGAAACATGATGTACTGCTGGCAATAACAGCACAACTGAGCACTGTCTTGGAAGTTTCCGACCGTTATTTGTCCTTCAGTCACATACAGACTCAGTGTTCTGTGTGGGGCTTCTTGGAAGGCTTCTCAGAAAGCCTGCACTCAAAGCCTTTCTTATCGGAGCTTCCGAAGAGCCTCCTCAGGTTTCACAGCCATTCTCTTGCACTCTGGTGGCCTTGACTCCTCAGCAGGCACTGCTGCTTCATACCAGTCTGAGTCAGAATCTGTCCCCAGATGTGCTCTTTCCCAGTCTCTACTGTTTAAGATACTCCTTTTTCCGACGGCTGTTGCTAGTTGTATTCGTTTTGTAGTTCCTTTTCACAGTTTCACATGTGTATTCAGTGTCCTTTTTGTTGTTGCTCTCCTTACACTATTTTGGTTACTGGTGATTAACATTTTTATTATTTAGGGTTTTTCTACTTAAACTGTATTGTTGTTCTGATCATCAGTTTTATGTACACCACTGCTGAAACAGTATATGAATTTGCATTAAAATAAGTAAAATAAACACAACAATTTTAATAAATAACTTTTTAAAAGTACAGAACCCACAGTACCAAGGCCAAGATAAGTTACGTACATTCAATTTTCTGCTGTTGCAGGAAATCAAGATGGATCAAGGACAAGGAAGAGCTGCTGTCTGCTCATGCTGCCAGTTAATGTCCTACCACATTTAAGGCACAATTCTGTGCATGTTTACCCAGAAGAAAGTCCTATATTTCCCAGCATTCCCCAGTGTGGCTGGCTGGGATGTGCTGGGAGATGAAGACCTTTTTTCTGGCTAAAATGTGCATATGATTGCTTCCTTAATCTCTGCTGGAAATTAGCATGATGAATGCTGTGCAGTAAACTGTAAGATATAAAAGAAGCGGTAGATTTTTTCTATTTTCTTTATTGTTTTTTTGCATACTTTAAATGCCAATTTTTCTTTTGATTTCAGATACCCAGGAAGTCCAAATTGGCTGTTCACAGAAATGTCCGAGATGATGAGGGCTTTATTGTCAGGCATTTTGCAGGAGCAGTGTGCTATGAGACAGTAAGTGAACAGGGCTCACTTAGTACACTGAAAGCATTTTATATGTAGCAATGGATTTTAAATAGCCTGCTAATGAACTGTTATGAAAGGGATCATGGTGGGCATGGTTGAGCTGATGAAGTATATTCAACAGCATGGTGAAAGTGCAAGAAGGTTACATTGATATACCAAATTATTAGTCCATGTATTGCATTTTATTTGAGCTTTCTATAAGCTTTTGTTATGTTCTGATTTTTTTTTATTCTGTCAATACACCCAATTTTGGGTCCACAATATCCCTAATTGAAGTAGAATGTAATACTCCTCTGGGTAGTATAATTAAAACAGCTCAGAGCACATTAAACTGGAATATGAAATGCAAGCCTTTGTTTGCTCTCTAAAGACCAGTCAGGAACTGGCCATATGTAGGTCTTGACAAAGCTTTCCTCAAAGCATCACTTAAACCCCCAGCTCTTGAAGATTCAACCTTTGCTCTAACCCCTATCAAAAATGCCATGCTAAAGAGACTGCATTGAAATCAGGCCTTTTCTAAGTTAATTTCAAACTTTATGAAAGCAACTGGTAATCCCTATGGAAATAATTTACCTAATCCAGTAAAATAAACATTGGTTCATTCTGTTGATAAGCCAAAAGCAATGTTTATATCTCATGCTTAATGGATCCCTTATTTTCCTCAGACCCAGTTCGTGGAGAAAAACAATGATGCTCTGCATATGTCTCTGGAGTCCCTTATATGTGAATCCAAAGATAAATTTATCCGGCAGCTCTTTGAATCCAACACTAACAACAACAAGGACCAGAAACAAAAAGCAGGAAAACTCAGTTTTATCAGTGTGGGAAACAAATTCAAGGTATGGCAAGAGAAATCTACTGACTTTACAGGGCTGTTTTCCAGTTCTTATGAAACCAGTGGGACTGTAGAAGTAGGGAAGCAACATAGTGGGTTCAACACCTAAAAAGGTTACTCAGAAGTAACTCAAAAGGATGTACTTTTCAGCGCACATACTCAACATTGCAGCCTTAAGCAGCTTTCTGCTACGGCTAATGTGGCCCATGCACTCTAACCTCTGCAGTACTGACTGGGGCACTGTCTTTGCCCTTCTTTCTTGTTCAAATAACCTTTCTCCATGTGCTGCAATTACAAGGGATTGGATCACTGTTCTTCTGGGGCATTGAAGTTTCAGGTTGTTTGTGAAATCTGAAGATCGCTCTAGCACATGCCCTTATTCCCGGTTTTCTGGTGCTCTACCAGCATCCTTAGGCCATCTTCTGCAGCTGGAGCATAGACCTGTTTTGACCTCAAAGACTAAATTCAGTGTTGATGAAGCTCTTGGGGTGCTGCATTCCAGTCATTGTCGGACTGAATGCAAAAGGGGACAAGGCTAAAGGCAGGTGGGTAAAGCCAAAATACCAACCATACCAGCATATTTTAGCTGGAATCTCTTGTTGCTAACGAGGCCTTATGAAAGACATTGCACCTTTTTATAGTGGGGAGGGGGGGACCCTGCATAAATCAGGAGACCACCAAATGATTGGTGCTTGGTGGAAAGGGGTGGCACCAGGTGAAGGTGTGTGTCCATCTGGGGACCATCCACAGTGGGATCCCAGGCAGGTGCATTGAACCCCAGGCTTGTAGATTTGGTCTACAAGCCTGGGGTTCAATGCACCTGCTTTGCAGGTTGTGGACAAGGTGAGCTGCTGCTCCTCTTTCTCATCTCCATGTGTAATACTTTCTGTGGGGCTTTTCAACAATGTTTTCCATCTCCCACTTACACATGCACACATTTCCACCCCTCTGTTTCCTATGGCTATCGAAGTTGTGATGGAGAGCTCACGGCTTGTAGATCTATGACATTTGCACAGGGAATTAATGATATAATCTGTATTAGCTGATGAATTAGCTGTAGCTTCTGCATTAACTATAAATGCTGTAGCAGTTTCTTACCAAAGCCGAATTGGGCTGTGCTTTGACTTCAGAAGCTTTACTTTCTGTTAAACTTTTTGTACTTGTCAAGCTGTCCCCTCGGTTGACAGAACCTAGCCATGGATGTTCCATTTAGATGGTGAGGTGCTATTTCTGGTTGTATACCAATCATTCCTCCTTTATCAGAGGCTTTGCCAAACAAATTCTTCTCAGGAGCTAGGCATCCCCTTTCCCTTTTTTCCTAACTGACTGTACTATCTGATGCTTTTCCTATTTTTTCCTTTTGTTCTTAGCTGTAGATCTGACCGCTGTGCCTTTTCTTCTTCGTATGTTAAGCTTCTCTGTTTTTCTGCTTCCTTTCCCATTCATCAATCTTTATTTTAGTTGGCTTTTACCAGCTCTGGATGGCTGGAGGGAGCTATAGGGAAGTTGAGAGGAAAAGCAGGCAAAGGCAAAACCGAGGGCTGCAGGTAAATGTATCACCTTCGTGGACTCCTTGTTTATCAAACTGCTGTATCTTCCGCCAGCGCTTTTATTTTCAGCACATCAGTTCTGCTTCACGTAGCACTGGGGAAATATTTCTATTCCACAGCAGGGTTTTGATTTCTGTACTGATCTTGTGTATCAAGTACCATGAATGAGTCTGAGCAGAGGATGTGGGATCGGGCATAGCTCACTGGTTGAGCACATAGTTGAATGCAAAAGGTCCCAGGCATCTCCAAGCAGGGCTGGGGGGGGGGGTGTTCCTGCCCGAAAAAAGCTGCTGCTGATCAGTGCTTCAGAAGCTCTTGGATCAGTCTGGTGGAGGCTTGTTCAAAATAGCTCATCACATGGCAAACCTGTTCCAGGATTGTGCAACTTTAGGCTGTAGGTGGGAGAGTGACTGTTGTAGTAATTTTCCCATAGGAGGAAAAACATTCCCTGCACACAGAAAATATGTATTTGCTTACTGCATTTATTAGGTGCTTCTTCATCACTGATAAAGCTGTCTATAGATTTTATAAATTAAGAATTAGAAAAATAAACACTTATTTAAAGGAATTTGATTCAATAAAATCAAGACTCATCAGCAGATGATATGAAATCTCACTTTTCTTCAAACACTTGGCCAAATACAGAATCTTCTATCCTCTACATGCCAACAAGAAAGGTACCTATCAGGTACCATTCTCTAAAGACAAGATTCATGTGCTCACATGGTGTTTCCTATACAAAGCATCACTTGTCTTCTCATTCCCTACCCACAGTTGTTTGTGGGTCCTTTAGATGACATAGACACAGGAGCAAAACTAGAGTGTGACAAACAGGCACTTTCAATAAGATTTTTTTTTTAGAGAAGGGGTAAAGTGGTGTTTAATTATGCAAGTGAGAAAAGCAGGCTTCCCCTTGTATTATGCTTGCTGTACCACAGTGCCACTTAGATTTTATACAGCAGAAAAGTGGGAAAAGAAACATTCCCCATGTTGTGCTTAGATCTCCTTCCTTCAGTGAAAGCAGAAGTAGATACAGCCTTGGGTAGAAAGTCCTAACAATCCTGCAACTCATGTGCAGGTAGAACTGGGCAGAGCTTCACCTAGTGATAGGAATGACTAAACGAGAGGAGGATCTCTCTAATATTGGTGCTAGGCTAGCTAGAAGGGGAAGGGGTTGGGCTAGCTTTCTCTGTTATGCAGTGACAGGCCATGCTGTGTCTACACAATGGGAGTTGTAGTTCCACATATCTGGAGTGCACCAAGCTGGGGAAGGCTGCTTTATGTCTTACTGCCTGTTGTGGTATAGTTTCTGCCTCTCTGCATTCTCCCATTTCTGGATGTACCATATGATGAACTGTCGGGCTCTGCCCAGACTGGGCCTCAATTCTGCATTTGCTTTCCTTTCTCCCTGCCACCCACTGTACCAGCCTGTGTTTTACTTCCAGTGTTATGTCAAGACACTCCGTTGTGTTACTAACGTTCAAGCAAGAATGCTAAGTGAAGCTGTTAGGTATCATTGGGGCAGTGTAGACCCTGTGTGCATGTTTGCTTTTTCCACCTCCGTTTGAGTAACCAGTGCTGTGCGCAAGGAGCAAATGCTGACTGATGCATGCAAATAGTGGTGTGTCTTTCTATGCACTTAATGAGCAGTCCTCCATGTTAATGCAAGTGCTTTCACTTTTACAGACTCAGCTAAACCTGCTGCTGGAGAAGCTTCGTAGTACTGTAAGTAACATATTCCTCCAGATTCAGTGTCTTCTATTCTAACTGGTCATTTATCAGTATTTCAACACTTGATCAGCTATTAATTTCAGATTGGTTGCTGGAATAAGTTTGCTGTATTTGTAAACTGCATTTGGTAGTGAGACAAGTTGCTCTGCTTGTAGCACAGAGGTTTGAAATCCATTTCAGCTTCTTAACTATCAAGGGCCCAATTTAGACTTGTATTCTTTTTTAATGCAATAATTTATCTGAGAATTAACAGGATGTGACTTGGTGGTGGCTGATATGGTTGAAGCCATTTTTTAAAAGTATTATTTTTGAGGTATGGTCATATGTAAGTTCACTGAGTGCTTCTGTGTCTTGATGTAAGGCAGAATTTCTGGTAGGCTCTGGCTCCCTATGGTATATACCAGCCCTCCTCAAGCCAGTGCCTTTCAGGTAGCTTAGGCTGGCATTAGCCCTTAGAACATGACTCCTGGCATTGGACATGTTGGCTAAAGCTGATCAGAGTTACAGTCTAGATCATTAGGTTGGGAGAAGCTGATAACAGTATCCAGAGAATACTGTGACTTGGGCTATGTCTTGGGACACCACAGCTCAAGACAATTTAATGTGTTTATCTTTTATGTTCATACTAAAGTAACTCCATAGAAAGTTAAGGTTATATTTGATCTCAGTTCACTGTGACTCAGTCCGTAGTATTCAAGCTGTCCACAGCAGACAAGGTATCCAAACATTCATTTAAAGAGTTTTGGCATTGTTCTTATGGAACTGTTAATCTGCAGAACTCACCTACGTGAACCAGCAAGCCTCTCCACACATGAGACAATGAACACTTCAGAAGTAGTAGCCCAATGCTATTAATTTCCAGCCTGGCGCAAGGAGACAGCTATTATGGGTTACTTCCTTCCAGCCCCCAGGACAGCTAAGGAACAGGTGGCCAGGTATTTTGGTCCTGGCTTCTGTGCTTCCTCCCAGCTGCATTGTTGCTTGCTTTCGCCTGGGACAGAACTTGTCCTTATTTGTCTTCAACAGATTATCTTCTTAGATTTCTTTCATTCCGTTTTTTTCCTGTATCTTACTTTTAAAAGCCTTAGAATTTTTTTTTCTTTCCTTATAGTTTTTCTTGCCTTTCTCTCTCAGAAATCAAACAGTGCTTTTCCTTTCCTTTCCTTGCTCTTTTGTTGTTTTACCACAAGATGGCCCCAAGTAACAAGAGCTTGAAATCAGAAAAAGTAGAAGATCAAAGTTGGTTGTGCACAGCAGAGTTGCCCAGGCCAAATCAGCCACTCAAAAAGCTCCACATCTACAGCTGCCTCTGATTGTGAGGAATGTAATGAGGGAGCCTGTCAACTCGAAACAGAACCAGTGGCTATCCCTGTGCAGGTGGGGGCATAGCTGGGCCACCAGCCAAAGCTAGTAGAAGGCATGCCATGCCACTGAGGCCACCTGAGCGATCGATGGGAGGGCAACCCCATCCAGAACACACTGAAGATCCCCCAGCTGGTCAGAGGAACTACGCACTGACCAGGTGCATCTCAGTCTTAGCTGGATTAAGTTTCACTTCATTGCCCTCATCCTGTTCATTATCATAGCCAGACACCAGTTTAGCACATCTACAGCCTTGTGTGCTGATGATGAAAAGGATAAATAGGGTTGCATGTCATCAGCAGGTTTCTCTGTAACACAGTCTTGGCAGACAGCTGTAGAGAAGCCTCGTGGTCCACATGCCGCACATTCATAAAACAGCCTTCTTGACATGGTTACCATAGGCCATTATTCAACCTTAGGGTTGGTTCTCCCTACAAGAACAGTATGGGTCAATAGGTTTTACATCACATGATGGATGCCTCATCACACCATAAGTGAAAGGAAAGCTGTGTACCTGCCCTGAAGTTCCAGTCCTGTTTGGTACCTAGGAGACATCCATTCCATATCTTCCGGCCAGCTGGCCATCTATTCTGATCCTATTTACTATAACTTTTTTCTTATACAATATGCCAGTCCTGATAGAAAGGATTTCTTTTTGCTTTTCTACCTTCATTTTTCTCTTTGTCTTCTCCTCATTATATTGGCTCCTCAGTAACTACTCTGTTTAAATATATGACTAGAAAAAAACTTGGTAGGAGAAGCCATGGAGGCCAAGTCCAAGGTAAAAGAACTTGGTACGAGCGAATTCTTTGCCTGTCCTGGGCACAAGGAGGTGTTAACCCTTGATGACGGTCACTGGCATGCTAAATGGCACAGGACCTCACACCGTCCTAGTCGGTGCAGAAGATGGAACAGACAGTTCAGAGTGGTCTCCTGTCTTTTCAGTCAGTGACCCCAAGTGGCTCATGCAAACAGCCCCATGAAGTATTACATCCAGCTCTGTCAAATGCACTGATAAATTTTACAGCATCTGCTCATCATTACCTGACTGTTGCCTAGATATAATACATACGTCAAAATCAGACGAAAACACAGGAGGTGAAAAACGGGATTGCTAGAAGAAGAATTGTTCTTTATACTTTGTGATTGCTTTTTGACAATGGTGCTCATTTACTGCAGATTTATTTGCTTTTTCATTTAGTCCTTAAGGGTGCCTGGAATAAACATCTGGCAGATTCTGACCTTCTATACAATTATAAGATGAATTAAGAGCCCCTCAGAAAGACCTTTAAGTCAAACTTGTTAACTTATGTTTTTATTAAATGCAGTCTGATAAATGAATATGTATTGGCTCTTTGGGATAAATATTCATAGGCTCATGAAATCTGGAGTACTGCAGACTCATCACAAAATTTCTTACTTCGATGCTGTCTATTTTAAGTGATCTACCTAGAAATAAGAGGTTTGATTTTTTTAAAATCCCTTTTCCCCAAGTTTGACAGGCTTTTGAAGAATTGTCATAATGAACCTGGCCCTTCTCATTTTATTCTGAACCCCATATGGATGCAGTTTAATTACCTACGGATACCAGGTGTCAGTATGACCCAGCAATTCATAAATTTACAAACCACAACTAATAAAATAACACAAATTTAAATGTACAAAATTTAAAATTATTAAATAGATTAAAACTCTTTCAGCAAAGACACCGGACATGTTAAAAAGACAGCTGTCATAAGTATTCCATTATTTGCCATTAAATATGATTACATGCCTGTGAGTAAAGGTTGGTCTTAACATGGTGCCAAAATTATTGTACCATGTATGCCTCAGTGGGGAGATAATTCTGCCATCAGAAGGCCGCCACGGAGAAGCCCCCTCCCTTGTGGCCAGACTCTGAGCCTCCCTTGGAGGAAGCACCAGATGTTGATCATAATAGTTGGTTAGACTCAGATTGGAAGAGACATTACAGGTATTACAATCCAAAGCTATAAGGAAGGTCAGAGGCAGAAACTCTTTTTTCCTCAATTAGTAGTATGTATGAGAAGAACACAAACAAGAAGTTGTATATTTAGTTGTACATTCTTCCACAGCAGATTGCCCTCCAGTCTCAGTACGTGGTACTGAAGGCATTTCTGAAGTTCCAGTGTTTCCACTGGTGCAGAGTGTCTTCTAGTTCTTCTTTTCCAGGGAGTTTCCTTCTCATCTTCTCTTACCTCCAGATTTTTCTCTTCTGCCTCAGCTTGCTGTTGTACTACTCTTAGCTGTTGCAGTTCCACTGCTTTGCCTAAGAAAAGTCATCTTTCATTTCCCTGAGGGTGGCACTTATTGCTCTAGCAAGTAGTCAACAAGGTTACTAACTTGCATTTGCTGCATGCGTAGGCCATGTTGGCCTCAGGCAAGGAAACAAACATTGCATAGACATTGGAGGTCATCACCACAGGGCTGTCTTTTCAGTCCATTGTTTCTGCTACCATTTTGATTCTAGCCTAGTGGACAGTGCTTTCTCTTGTCTCCCCTAAAAGTTAACAGCAGTGCTACTGGTAAACGGGAGTGTGTTACAAAGAAGGAAACGGGGGTGGGGGGGGGACTTGGGAGGGGCAGGGGGAGAAAAAAGCTAAGGACTTTCCCTTTGACCTCCACTGCCAAACTTCTTTGCTTGCTCCAACTGCTTGCTCTCTGGGAGCTTGCCTGCTTGCATCCAGAGTCCATAGACCAGCTGGGACAGCTTCCCCTGATCTGCTCAGCGAGGCATCAGGAGCCAGAATGAATCTGCCCACCCACACAGCTGCTCCCTTGCAGTTGCTGCTCTCAGGAGCTCTTGGTAGAGACTGTGTCATCCCCTGCCGACTGCTGCTGAGCACAGACTCCTCCTATAAAGTGAGGGCTGATATCTGAGTTATTTCTCTCCTTCCTTTTAGATTCAGTAATTGCTTGCTCGATTTAAGAAGTGCATATAAGGAAAGTGAAATTTAAAAGCAAATAAAACCTGTATGTGAAAATATATAGAGAGAAAGGTATAACACACAATCATTTTATAGGACCTTTGTGTGATATAAGGAAAGGGGTGTGTGCATAAGGGAATGGGAAGTAGGGGTATAACTTTTACTGAAAATGCAAGGAGGAAAGCACCTGATGATAAGCTGAGAGAAGAAAGTTGCTATTAGCATCCTTTCCAAATTCTTAGATGATCTCAGAGCAATTGGAGGCTAGAGCTTTGGGAATGTCTTGAAAAGTTCAGGAAATCCTTGCAAGTTTTCCCGCCGCTCCAATCTGTCTCTTTGCACCAGGATCATAACTCTGGAGAAAACAATAACATGGACTGGTGCGGCATAATCAGAATGCAGTTTAAATACTGCCTCTGAGGACCACCATGTAGCTGAGTTGCAGGATCACTCGCACATTGAGGATGCCTGTGGAGAGACAGTAAAACCTGGAAACTATGATTTTACTTTTGGATGATTTTCCAACACTTTTATGATATCAGCCTTTTTGTCTTTTCAACAGGGGTCTAGCTTTATTCGCTGCATCAAGCCTAATTTGAAGATGACAAGTCACCATTTTGAAGGTGCCCAGATCCTTTCTCAGCTCCAGTGTTCAGGTAATTTAGAGTGTCTTATTCAGAGCTTCAGTACCGTGGAAGGACTAGTGCAGAGTAAGAGCAACAATGCTTGAGATATACCCTCTTGAATGGGAGAAATCTGATTCTTTTAATTTTTTCAGTGTTCTGTCAATACAGTGAGATTACTGGGCGTAACAATAAGTGGCTGACAGAATGACAGAATGGATTCTTAGTTAACAATTTTTCAAAAGATGTTGAACTTAAATATAGTTTCTGCATAAGCATTTAATATAAAGTGAACTTGACATTTCATGTATTTCAAAAAGGAATGGGAAGGATCTAACAGTGAATGCTAACAAAATTGCACTAGTGTAAACCAACATATAATTATCACATGTCTATACTGCCTATTGCTGACGCTTTCTGGGCTTTTCACAACATTTAAGCTACCCATCCAGATTCATGGAAGACAGGGGAAGTGGCAGATGACTGAAAGGGGGTTAATGTCGTCCTTATCTTCAGAAAAGGGGAAAAGAAGATGAACCTGGGAACTATAGATAATTCAGTCTGATATCAGACCCTGGAAAAATATTAGAGCAAATTATAAAACAGTCTGCAAACACTGTGAAGACAATGCAGTGATTACTGTAAGCCAACATGGACTTCTTGAGATTAGTCTGGCAGGGTTTGTTCTTATTTCATTTTTTTGCCTGGATAACCTCCCAAATGTACTGTAGGAGTGTTGTGTACGTTATCTGGACTTTAGCAAACCCTTTCACAAATGCCCCATGAATCCTGATTGCCAAACTAGCAAAAGACAGGCTAGATAGTGCAACCATTAGGTGGATCCACAACTGGAGGAGTGCATCCAATTCTGGGCTGCACATTATAGAAGAGACATAGCTAGCTTAGAATCAGTCCAACGCAGGGTCACAAGAATGGTAGCCGGGTTGGGAGGGATGACATATGAGGAGAGATTGAGGCAACTGGGTCTTTTCAGCCTGGAGGAGACCCTGAGGGGATTTTTAGTAACTATAGGTTTGAGGGGATGTCATTGGAAGAGGGCCATGACCTGTTAATCCCTGCAGTGGAGGGCAGGGCACATTCTAGTGGGGCAAAGCTCAAAGAACCAGGCTTCAGGCTGGATGTCAGGAAGTACTTCCTGAGGGTTAAGGCCCCTAGGATATGGAATGGGCTCCCAAGGGAGGTGGTTGAGGCCCCATCAGTGAGGGCGTTCAAGGAAAGATTGGACAACCACATGTTGGGGGTTACATGAGTGGAGCCGGCTGGAGCTGGGAGTCAGACTGGATGGCCCAGGAGACCCCTTCTGATTCGCTTTGTTTCGTTCTTTCTCTGGAAAGGCGCAGTGAGAGGGCAGCACAAGGAAAAGCATTAAGTGGCTGAAGAGCTGCCTGTGGAGACGTAGGGGTGGAAGTACAAAAGCAAGGGAGTAGATAATCAAAGCTACGCATTATTGCAGGGAGCAGTGTAGGCACACTGTAATTTACTTTGATTCATGTGAATTACAGAGCTAGTTTCCCTTGTAAATAGTTTTCATGCCAAAATCCCCAATGTATTCAGAGCAAAGCTCTCCATACATACACACATGGAATGTATTTTATTTCATTTCATTTCCATACCACCCATAAACTGAAGCTTTCTGAGCAGTTCACAACAATTTTTCAAGCACAATGAAAAGAGAAATAATAAAACACAATGTAAAATTCCAGTGTTCAAATTTAAAACAGACTAAAATGCCAACGCACAACATTTAAAATGGTTTAAACCACTGAAACTATTTCATTAAAACCGACCTAGTTAAAACAGCTGACATAACACATCATGTGTTGTTAAATGCCTGGGAATGGAAGGCAGTTTTAACCTGGCACTGGAAAGATGGCTCTGTTGGGACCGGGTGGGCCTTGGTAGAAAGATCATTCCATGATGGGTGGGCCATCACTCAGAAAGCTCTCCTACTGCATTTCTTCTTTCTGAACCTCCCTCAGAGTTGGCCCCCAGATTCAGATCACAGGATCTGGGTAGAGGTTAGGAGGGGAGTTTCATCAGCTACTGTGGTTCCAAGCTAGTTAGGGTTTTATAGATTAGAACCAGCATCTTGAATTGTGCTATACAGAAGCATTGATCCATTCAGTGTGGGTAGGCCAACAAATGGGGTTATTTGGGTCTTCTCGTCCCAGTTATTAATGTGGTTGCTGTATTTGCACACGCTGCAGCAGTCTTCAAGGGCAGCCCCACAGAGTGTGTTGCAATAATCTAATTTAGAGATTACTGTAGATTATTGATCACTGGTGGAGCACAGCTGGAACACCAGCTGAAGGTAGAAGGCACTCTGAGAAGGCACTTCAGGGGAATTGCAGAACAGGTTGAATACTGTCCATCTAGTCAGAGGGTGCATCCTCTAATAGCATCTCAGTATGCCTGGTTTGAGCTTCAGTTTAATAGCCCTCGTCCCATCTGTTGTCACAGCCAGCCCCCACCTGCCCCCAGTTCACATCCACAGCCTCACCTGATAAGAATGTAAAGGAGAAATAGAGTTGTATGTCATCAAGTACTGATGGCAACACATGCCATAACTTCTGATAATCCCATGCAGAGGTTTCATAGACTGAGCCATGGGGAGGTTTAGAATTCAGCTGCCAGACAACAAAGGAGCCAGTGCATTAAGTTTTCTTCCCCATGTGTATACTCAGCTAGGTCTGGGTCTAGATCTACTTCTGTGCACACCAATGTGTTCTTAAGTTCATTGGTGTTTAGCTTTTATGTGTGTAGCTTTTGATATGTGGCTTATAAAGTGACTAATAAATGATTTAACTAACTCAGTCATAAGCATGGCTAAACCCTATTGATTTCAGTGGGACCCAGCATCACGTAAAAGTGCAATAGGACTGTGGCTAAGGGAGCAAAGTAGCTTACCTACCAGTGCATCCTAAGCCTTTCTTCCAGGACAGAAGGTGGGAACAGTTTTGCTGGGCTTTTCAGGCCAATGGTTCCTTTTATTTTAACCTGGCCTTCCCCTCCCCAAGAAGCACTGGGGGAAATAGCTACATGTTGGTTTCAGGCTTGATATAATGTAAAATGGCTCATCTCAGGGGAACAGAATGGCTTTCGATTCAGAGCCAGCTCAGACCTACAGACCTCCTCCTTTTGGGGGCGTTCATACTACTGCTACAGCTAGCAGAACCAGGCTTCTTGGATGGGCAGAGGATCTTTTGCTGTCCCTGCATCCACAAGAAAAGCCAAACTCTTTTCCAATAATGGGAGGATCTGCCTCATGACCTTGCCAGCTAGATCATTTCGGGGGTATAGCTGCTTTGCCCAGCTCTGACTGCATGAACAAAGCATTCTCACCAGTCCTTCAGTGCTGGATAATTTTGCCAGTATGCATAGTTTTAAAATGGCTGCCATGTGGGGAACTAACAGAGGTGTGTATTGGACATCAGAAAATTTTGGGCTCCACGTTGGTGTAAAGTCAGATGGCTTCAATTGCTCCTGAAATAAACCTTATTTCCAGTTTCTGTTAGCTGCCACCTTGGCTTTTCTCTTAATTCCTTGGTAATTTTAGCATACCAGCAGGCCCTGAGGCTTTAAGCATCTGGCTCATCTTGGCAAGTTTCCCTCTTGCTTCTCATGTCAAGTTACATTTAAAGTTTAATTTAGCAAATCAGTCACAAACGCTTAACAACTTGGCTTTAATTAGGGTTCTGTTGACACCATTTTTGGCTGATCATCTGAAGGCTGATCGCTGTTGGCAGTACTGGGAGAGAAGCAGGTCGCAGGGCAGTAATGCAGCACCTCATTGCTCTGTTATTCGTGTGGCATGGTTTATGTTTCATTGCATTCTGCTTTTGTCTTCTGGTCAAGAAACAACCCCATGCCAAAAAAAATGCAAAAAACAAAAGACTTATTACAGAGAGATTAAAATGCCATGAATGTCTCCCAAGAAGTAAGTACACCATGGTGTACCTTTTTAGAAAGGACTGTTCTTTGCATGGCAGAATACACATCACACACTTGAAATTCTAAACATAAAAATCTGAATGATAGTAATATAGTGTACAACATATCAAGTAACAAATGTTGCTATATCTAAAAAGAAGCTATTTAGCATGTGTGCACACTACTTACTTTCTGTCCCATTAAATGATGATCTGCACAATAAAAGTTTTACAGGGAGTTCAGTGACTCATTCAGGATGGAAATTGCCAGATGGCTTTCTTGCTTGAAAGTAGTCCCTGCTCAACATGGCACCCTGTCAAGCGCTTGGGAGGTAAAAATCTTTGGCAGCTTTGTCTCTAGACATCCCTTCTCAGAAAAGGTCTTGAACTTGAGTGATCATGAGGCCATGGAGTTGAGCTGTGGGTTGTAGTCCAGTATTCCTCATCTGCCCTCCAGATGTGTTGAGCTGCTTGCTGGGAATGTTGGGTCGCATCTGGAGGGAACCAGGTGGGGGAAGGCTGGCCTAGAGTGTCAGGCTACAGCGAACCCAGGAAGCCACTTTCTACAGGACTGGAGCATTCGTCCATCAGACTCAGTGTTGTATGGCCTGGAGCAGCAGCTCTCCAGGGGTCCGGCTATATGTTTTTCTTGCTCTGCCTGAAGATGGAAGAGGGGGATCAGACCAGGGACCTTCTCTGTTGTAATATGCATGTGTTCTCCCACTGAGCCACAGTCCCTCCCCTGAACAGAGAGGTATGGCCCAAGTTCATGATCCTGACTCAGCCATGGAGCTCCCTGGACTGGTCACTGTTTCTCGTGATGAAAATGCAACATTGGTGAGGTGTTACGCATTTTGTTTTAACCAGTATTACATTCCTGACACCTGCCTCAAAGCAATTGAAATCTATATCCCTTTAACAACACTGATTGATGTTTTTGTTTTGTTTTGTTTCTTGCACGTCTGCTACTCTAGGCATGGTGTCTGTTCTGGATTTGATGCAAGGTGGCTTCCCATCCCGAGCCTCATTCCATGAACTGTATAACATGTATAAAAAGTATATGCCTGCAAAGCTGACCCGTTTGGATCCTAGACTCTTCTGCAAGGTATTAAAGTCCAGAGTGATAAAGACAATGCTCTTGTATTTTCCTTGCTATAGTAAATTTTAGTATTAATTGATATGTTTGTTCTTTCAAAGGATCTTTGTAAAAGTGTATGCTTTTCTTTTCTTTTCTTTTCTTTCAGGCACTCTTCAAAGCTCTTGGGTTAAATGAGAATGATTATAAGTTTGGATTAACCAGAGTGTTCTTTAGACCTGGCAAGGTAAACATTGTAGATATCCAAGAGGAACTGATGAACATGAATTGAAATGTTGAATATGTTTTCTCCAACTTTTTCAAGTAATTGATTTCCAAGATAACAGTGCTTTACTTGAAAGTGGCATCATGGGAAAAATCAGTTTAATTTTGTCTCCTTTGATGATTCACATGGGTTGGCTCTCTCCATTTTTTATTTATCTCGTTTTTAAAAATATTTGAGTTAGAGCACTCCTTGTGTTCAGCGTAGTTTACAAACAGGTTAAAAACATACATTTCTGCAATGTTAATATGAGTAGTCCCACAGTTGGCACCTAGGTTTAACCCCTGACAATCAATCATAGGGCTTTGTACATTAGCAAATGAATAGGCCTTACACCTTTCCCTAAAAGCCAGGAGAAATACTGAAGCTATCTTCAGGCCAACTCATTGCATAGTAGCAAGGTTGTGGCTCCAGAAACCCTGACTTCTTTTAGTCCATCGAAATAGGCTATCAGAGGTCTAAGGTATGTGGTACATACCAGGAGATAGACGTATCCCAGATCCAGGTTGGCTTAATTGTCAATAGCAGGATCTTGAAAGGGTCCCGAGCTACCCTGGCAACCACATACATTGTCATGGTTACAACATTCTGTTTACCAGAAAGCCCTTGATCCCTCACAGTCCATAGAGGCTGTCTTCTAAATACCCTTCCCTCATGCAATGCTGGTTTCCATTGTCAGTTTGCAGAATTTGATCAAATAATGAAGTCTGACCCAGATCATCTGGCTGAGCTGATTAAGCGTGTCAACCACTGGCTCATCTGCAGTCGCTGGAAGAAGGTTCAGTGGTGTTCTCTGTCCGTTATTAAATGTATGTACTCAAAGATCTCTTTTGAGGAGGGGGGAATCTTGTGCACAGAATTCCAAAGCTGTAGTCACTTGAACACTCTTAGGTGGAACTAAGTGATGAAATTTCGTGGATTCAGTATTTGCACTCCATGCAATACATTACTCAAGGGAATGCATTGCTAAACACATGACGGGTACTAGCTTATGAAGTTCAGTGGCTACTACTTAAAGGGGATTCAGAGTTCAGAGACAGCATCCGTCTTGGAACTGGTTGCAGATACACACCCCTGATTTATGGAGGGTAGGAGAGCCTGCCACTGGGTTTTTGATGAGGGTGGGTTTATTTATTTAATTTTTTTTAACGTTGTCATTTATTCTAGAGAATCTCGTGATGGTTTATAACAATTTGTAAACAATTTACCCTCATTTGTGAGGGTATTTGCCATTCATCCTTATATTTTTCAGTGAAAAACAAAATAAAATACAGAGCCAGTGCCTGCATTAAGATACAAAAGACGATTCGTATGTGGCTGTGCAAGAAAAAGCATAAACCACGGTAAGAAGCAGCAGATCTGTTTGTATCCTAGTGTTGTGAATTGGGCTCTTTCCGCTTTTTCTTGCATTAATCAAACTCAGGATGAACCCTTTGGAATGCAATTCTTTTGCTGGAACTGGACAGATTGCAGAACAGTTTGAATTTGAAATGATCTTCCACTAAAGTTGAAGGAGAAGCATCTGTCCAGGCGAAGAGTTGAATTCAAACTGAGAATGTTCCCTCTGTCCTTCCCTTTCAGTAAAGCTTCTTTGTTCACCCTTAGGGTGGCTTTTGCTGCTTGATGGCTAGATGACAGGGATGCTGGAGTCCCTTTCCTGTCGGCTCCTTGCTGGGTCAAGGACTGGGTATTGCATTTGTTCCCTCTCCCACCCTGACACCCTTCTCCTGCTCCAAAGCAGGCAAATTCTCACACTTGCTTTGAGAAACTTCACTAGGTAACTCTGAATCAGGGAACTCCAGCACTCCTCCTCTCAGAAATCCAATGGGCCTCCTCTTTCTATCCAGTCTTAAATACATTTGTTAGTGTACTTAACAATCTCTTTGGCAATGGTGCTGGTAAAATCTGCATCTCTCCTCAAGGCTTTGAGGCTGGAAAAAGGGCTCGGAGGGGAGCTGTTTCCAGCAGGTATACAGCTTCTGCTCTTTCCAAGAGTGAGGAGAAAGTGCAGAGCAGCTGTGTCCAGGCACAACCTTTGGTGAGATGGGCAGTGAATGTAAGAGCCCACAAGTGCATTGAAATATGTGTTGGAGCACTGTTAAGGCATAGGATCAGGCCTTCTGCCCATTCATCTCAGTGGTTCCTTACCCTCTGCTAATCTGGAACAAACGTTGAGCTCTCTGGGACGTTATCTTGGAGCCAGTCCGCTCCATTTCATGGAGCCTAGTGAGGATGCTCCTACCTTTCTTGCCCTGCACAGATGGCATGTACACAGTCCACCTAACCTGGTGCATGTCACCTGCCCTCTTCACCTGTGAACACGTAGGCAGACTTGGGATATGCTATTAGGTGCACATGATGGGGTTCAGGGGACAGGCAACAAATCAGACTGCCCAGATCTTCTCAACAGACATGTGTGATCTGAAATAGCAAGGCCAAGTACTTCTGAACACGTTAAGTGTGTTTCCACTGGTACTACGCTCACTGTTGTTGGCGTTTGATGGAGCACTGAAAGCTCATCTCTTCCGTCACACTGGCAAAGTTTGCTTGATCACTGGGTCTTTAATAAGGCATGGAGGCTTGTTAAGCACCTTGTATTTTCTGGTCACATGCCGGGGGATTGACCTCCACAGAGTGGCTTGTCATCTTGTGCAAATCCAACAAGGGTAGTTAACAGATAGTCTTAGGTAACAAGCCTCCAGGTATCCATGGCTTCCTGCTAGGTTATGGGTGGTGTGTTACCATGGCAACAAGCTACCCTGGCTGATTTTGTTGGGGAAAAAATTGATTTTTGGCATGACGCGGCAAGCCCCACTGCCGAAGACAGTTCTTTTAATTCCCCTGGAATGTGGTCAGTTATGTAGCCATGTGAACCAAGTCAGACCCTTGTGTGGAACCTTAAATGCAGCATGCGATACATAAGCTCTCTTAATTACCTTACTTTGTTTTCTTCTTTGGGGTCATGGTGGCTTGTCCAAGAGTAGGTTGAGGGCCCAGTACAGGAGTACAGATATTTGCTACCTGCTTCTTGCATGCAGGAACCTATCTGAAACTTAAAGAATGATTCCTTTCACAGCATAGATGGCCTTATAAAGGTTCGCACACTGAAGAAAAGGCTCGATAAATTCAATGAAGTAGTAAGTGCCCTGAAAGAGGGGAAGGCAGAAATGAACAAGCAGGTCAAGGACCTTGAAATGTCTATTGATGCTTTGATGGTCAAGATCAAGGTAAGAAGGCATTTAAGTCTTCAAAAAACAGGAGTGTATTACTTTTTAAGATCTTGTCTTGAGGGTGCCTGATCACTTCAGAATCAAATCACATTGTTAAGACCAGAGGAAAATACACACTATTAAAGCAGTTAAGAGTTCTGTATCTCAGCTATCCAAATTTAGTACTAAGAGAAGCTGAACTGTGCAACCTAAAATTTAAGCCTGTTCACGTGTTCTCTCTTGCATGACAATTCTATATTTGACTAGTTTTGCTTAACTTTTTCTGATTTTGGCTAGCCATAGGAGCAGCAAAAATACAGGGTTTTCCCTTTGTACACTACTGAAAAGCCTATTTGGCAATCTCTGGCTTTTGAAATTTCAGCGATCATCATCCCAAAGTGCCCATCTCAGGCACTTTGTAGTCATGAGTGCTAGTCAGTTTTTTAACTGATACTCTCCTAAGTTTTACACATAACATGAAACCAAGATTGACATATTAACAGTACAGTGGCCTATTCATATACATTTAACTTATACAGCCCTAAATTAATGTGCTTACCTTTCTACTGCTGTGGACAAGGTGACTTTTCCATACCATGTCACTCTGGAGTTTGAAGATTTCTTAGGTGTTAGGAAATATGTACATTGACAGCTTCAGACACACACAGGAACAAACTCTCCTGCCATTATACTTAGTGGTATAACTTGAGGCTCTTGTGACAGCATTTTGCAACTGAGTTCGGAAATTGAAATTGTTGATTGAAGCCATATAACATCTAACAATCAGCTGCAATGAGTATTACCTTTGATATAGAACAGGGAACAGGTAGCCCAGGAGAATGCTGTAAAAGATGCAAAGATCTCTCTCTCATAAATAGAGCAGTTTGTCCCATGTTGTTTTAATTGCTTTTAATTAGGTAAGCAGAAAGCAGATAAAATATAAACCAAACACAAGGAATTGAGCACATATTTGCACAACTGAGTTGTAAACGAAGTAGAATTAATTAATGTCTTAAAATAAATGGTGGCAATAGATGGTAAACAACACAATCCTCTTATGCATGTTCACTTAAAAGTAAGTTCCATTGTGTTCAATGGAGCTTACTCTCTTGTGTGTTCTGCATTGCACCCTAGGTTTGCAAAAATTAATAAATGGTGACTGATAACTAAAAGTTTCCCCAGTTTTGCTTGCTTTACTTAACTGTTGTAATGATCTTTTCCAGAAGGGGAAGGTGAGCTTGGTTGACTTGTCCCATTCTGGAAATGAGCCTCACTACTAATTCCTGTTGTGGTATGAGTCCATCTCGGTTGGCAGGCAATATCAGAAGTACTCTAATGTATAAATGCCAGATGTTAATCCAGTTTATATTCTACAGTGTTTTGTGAGTGGGCATGTCTACTGCATATGGTGGAAAACCCCTCTCAGATGAATGAAGTATTTCCAGGTTCATACCCCACCATCTTGGCTTCAGTCTAGAAAACAGTCCTTTCATAAGCATTTGTTCAAAAACAGGAGCTGATTTGATTTGAACTACTTGTATATCTTTTAATATCATAACATCTCAGCTGTTGACATAAAATATAGAATATAAAAACTAGTTTAAAACAATGATAGATAAATAAACTACAATAACAGTCAAACAAAGCCATGCAATTAAAAGCTAAGAAAAGCCTAAATAAATAAGGAATTCTTGAAAAGGCTTCTTAAGCTTACCACAATTTCTGCCTCTTGAACCACACACGAGAAGGTGTTCTAGAAGGTGAATGCCACTACCAGGAAAGTCCACCTACGTGCTGTTACTTGACAACACATGGGTGGTCATGGGATGACCAATAAGAGCTTATTGGAAGCTCTCAGGCGTCATTTGGCTGTTCATAAGGGAAGGGGCCAGATATCCTAGTCCCAGGTTGTTTAGGGATTTGAATAAGGGTAATAAAACCTTGAATGCAACTACTAAGCAGTCAGTGCAATTATTTAATTCAGGTTTAATATTTGTGTAGCAAAATACTACTCTGAGCTTCTTAGTCACTGCAGTTTCTGAACCAAGTTCAAGGGTAGCCCTCACAGAAAACATTACTGTAGCATGGGGTGCATCGCAATACATGGGTCACCATGATTAACCCAGCCTTATCCAGGAATGGGCATCTCCATGGGTGACCAGCCACACTCACTCACATCCTCCCCCACCCCAACTGGACAATCCACTGCCCCACATTTTGACATTTCCCATAAAAAAATTTCAGGCCACTGAGATGCCGAGGCAGCAGATACAAAAGGAGTATGATGCTCTTGTTAAAAGCTCCGAACAGCTCCTCAGTTCGCTTCAGAAGAAGAAGCAACAAGAAGAGGAGGCAGAGCGGCTGCGACGCATCCAGGAAGAAATGGAAAAAGAAAGGAAAAGGCTCGAGGAAGAGGAGCAACGTCAGAAGAAGGAAGAAGAGGAAAGGCGATTGTGAGTATTTGGTGAAACAGTTGCCTAGAGTCAAGGCCAACAGAAAAATAGCCAACTTTTAATACCTGAAAGCAACTTTTAAGACTTTTGCATAGTGACGTAAATATTTCCATCTTAGAAGCAGATCCAAGCTAAAAAGAACCAGTCTTTGCCGAAGATGACAAAAGCACTTCTACTTTTGCAGCATATCCAGTATCCCGGGTTCAACCTGCACCAGAAGCAAAAAGATGGTTGTCCCCTGGGAAGGGCATGAGTCTTTCCCCAGATAACTCGTGTGCATCCACTGCTGTGTGATTGCTCAGCAGTGTTGCTGCCAGTTTATTTACACAGTCTCTGTCTCAAGGAGGTGGGCTGTTGAGTAGAACACTCAACTGCTTGCTCACCAGTTCTCTTCCTTGGAGTGGCCAGCTAGCAGAAATAACAGTGTGGAAGAAGAGGAGGGTCTGCTGAGTGCAGAGATCCACAGGAGAGGGATCCTGAAACCTGGATCCCGTAGTATTTTTTTGATATATTCGGTGTTTAGCTGCAACTTATGGACTGACACGGAAGTGCTTCTGAGCAGGATGTTGGGTGATATGGACCTTTAGTCTGAGCCAGGCAGTATATTGTAAGAAGGAAATGGATTACATTTAGAAGCTCCATGATAAGAGACAATAACAGGAGAAATTCTGCAGCTCTCAGATGCTGTGGCTCATCGAGATGACTTGTTTCTGTTAAGCACTGTAAAATCAAAAAAGCTTGGATATCCACTCCATTTATAGGCACATTTAATTTGTATGGGTTTATTGTAGCAAAAAATACTGCATTTCCCAAGTAACAAAGCATCCTGAAATTGCATCTCATGAGCCTCTTCCCCAGCTCCTTGCCCTGAATTGTTGAGGTCTAAACTTGTTTGCTACAGTAGAAATGGAATGAAGAGAAATAAAAACATAAAAGAGAGAAAAGGGAGAATATAAGGGTTTCTGATGTTGCCTTGCCTTCCTCTTTTCCTATGAATATCCATTTTGTTTTTCTAGAAAGTGTGAGATTGAAGCAAAGAGGAAACAGGAGGAAGAAGAGAGGAGAAAAAGGGAAGAAGAGGAGAGACGAATCCAGGTAGGGGCTTTCTTGAAGCTGCATACATTGTTCTTTTTCTGTCTCACAGTAACGCTCCGAAGCTTGCATTATGGACTAGCTACCATTTGGGCTGTTCAGATGTAATATTAAGGGGAGTCACATCAGTTGTGACAGGCATGGGGTGGATGACGAGGGCGAGTGGCCAAAAGGGGCATATCAAGTAGCCTCACGTGGGGCAGGCCAGAATTCCAGGCCCTTTCAAGATCTCACTACATGGCGGGGATGAACATTCATTGTGACACAGACATCTGAGTCACACAGGACAATGTATCAACAGTTTCAAGTCACAATGGCTATATATTATTTCCACTGTCAAAGGCAATACACCTCTGCATACCAGTTGCCAGGGAGCATGGGGCTTGTTGCCCTTAGCTTTCATGTGTGGGTTTCCCATGGGTGTTGGGTTTGCCACTGTGGGAACAAGATCCTGGACTAGTTTGGTGTCCTGCCTGATCCCCACACATACACATACAGAACTAGGCTTTGGGCTGAACTTTGCACCCTCAAATTGCTCTTGTGCTTACCCATTACTAACATCAGGATAATTTGAGAGAGATTACAATGCCTTAAAAGGAAGAGTATTTGCTAGAAGGAAAGTGTCAGATTTGAAACTTGACATTTAATGACAAGGCTATTGCTACTCACAGGTATGACAGAATAATGAAACCATTATTTAGATGTCAGTTTATTAAAATATTCTTTACAAAGTAGCACTCATTTGCTGAAGTTTTATGTTATTCTGTTATGGAATCATAGTGATAAATGGATAACTTTATAATTGAGTTAACCATTTCATTAAGTATCCTTGTTGTCTTTTTTTTTTTTTTGTAATGTGACTGCTTATTACTATCCTATTAATTTTCATCGTATCAACAATATTTTGGTTTTAATATACTGTCAATAAAAGGGGGTACCCTGTAATGGGTCACTAACTGGTTAAAGAAAAAAGATAGAGGGTGGGAATAAATCGCAATTTCTTCCAGTGGAGAAAGGGCTCTGTAGTGGAACCAATGCTTTTCAACTTACTCCTAATTTTATATCATTTATGACTAAGTAGTGAGGTGGCCAATTTTGCTGATGACACCAAAGTTTTTAGGGTGGTTCAAACCAAAGGGGAATGTAAGGAGCTCCAAAGGGATCTCGCCATGCTGGGAGAATGGGCATCAAAGGGGTGAATGCAGTTAAGCATTAGCAAATATAGAGTAATGCATCTTGGAGCAAAAATACCCAACTTCAAATGTACACTGATGAGATCTGAACCAGCAGTGACTGAGCAACACAAGGATCTTGGCGTGGTAGTGGACAGCTTTTTGCAGATGCTGGCCCAGTGCTCAGCTGCTGTGAAGAAGGCAAACTCCATGCCAGGCGTAATTAGGAACAGAATGGAGAACAGAGCTGCCAAAATCTTACTTTCCTTATTCAAATCTTTGCTTTGACCAGATTTGGTATATTGTGTTCAGTTCTGGTCTCCTTACCTGAAAAAGGGCATTGTTGAGTTGGAAGAGCTCTTGACAAAGAGTTATATGCAGAGAACATGCTTCATACCCTTTATCTAACCCTGTTTCATATCCTTTTCTTTCTGCACCAACACGTTGGTACTCTGGGGGGTACTTCATATTAATGACCAAGAATACAGTGAATATACTAGTTTGCTTGTGCCAAATGAACTTGCAGGAAGGCATGCCTGACACAGCTGTTGAGATCTAAATGGTTTTAAGCAGAACTTTTCAATTCGTGCTGTAACGTGTCAAGGGCAAAGCATGAGTGCCAGTGACCTACTGATCCTCTTTGAGCTTTGCCATTCAACCCACATCCCTTTGTGTGGTTTCCTTTCATGGCAGTGAAACTCGCATAGGTATGAATGGTTATGCCAGTACTGTATGTCCCAGCCTTAAGATACATGGTTGCTTCCTTGAGCTCCATCTGTAACCTTTCAGTAGATTTCCTTTCCTTTTGCCATAGTTGCTGAGCAGATGTCCCTTTCAGTGGAGCTTTCCCTTAGGCCATGTTCAATCAGCTTTCCCTCTGATGACACTGCTATGGGATAATCTAAAGTAGGGATCTGCATGAGAAAGTCTCCATAGCAGAAAGGAAGATTACTTGGTAATACCATAATCAGAGTGAGTGCTGGGAGGAACTTCCTGGTCTAGACTGCATGGGTAAAAGCCTGTTGGCACCTACTGTCTTGGGTCTCAAACCACAAAAAACTGGCATAGAAAATAGTTTTCATAAATTTGGTCAGAAATATAAAGGCTGCATATTTTGGTAAGGATATTGCCCATGTAAGCTTTTTCTAAGTAGAATTTGTCCCACTTAGAAAACCGTAGCGGCTCTCTAGAGGTGAAATCAGTCAGGTATTAACTGTTACACTGGCTGGCATTATTTGAGACTCTTCTTGCCCCTTCTCCTCCTCCTCCTCCTCCTCCTCCTCCTCCCTTAATAAGGTAAGATATATTTCTGTTACAATTTTCCTTCAGCTTTTAGTGCAGCTGCTTTCTAATTCATTGCTCCTATCTAAAGTCATTGGTTCTATCATTAAAACGCTGGTCTCTTTTGGAATTTGAAGGGCTTCATGTCTCTGAATTTGTTCTACTTTTCTCAGCTTATTGGCTGCTTACCTTGATCCTCATGGTTCTGATGCTCTTTTTCTGAGTATGGTTGCGGTAGTGAGAGTGTTAGACTGGGAGCCAATGTGGCATGGTGGTTGAAGGGTTGACTTGAGTCTCAGCCAGGAAAACTCACTGGTGAGTTTGAGTCAAACACTGACTCTGAGCCTAACCAGGGTGGTTGTGATGATACAATAGAGGGCCATGCAAGCCACTTTGTGTTCCTTGCAGGAAAAAGGTGGTTTCTAAAACAAGCAAACAAAATATGTGTGTTAGGTTGTATTTTCTAAACTGTATATTTTTAGACAAGTAATCATTTGTTTTCCAAACTACTTTTGAATAATAGATGGCCTTGTAAAACAAAAGTATACACACTGACTTTTTATCACTTGGCAGGCTGAAGTTGAGCTACAGCTGGCCAGAGAGCGCGAAGAAGCTAATCAGCAACAGGCAGTTTTGGAGCAAGAGCGCAGAGATCATGAGCTGGCCCTGAGAATTGCCCAGAGTGAATCAGAGCTTGTTACTGATGAATCTCAGCAGGACCTAGGATTGCGCAGGTATTGGATTGTGCTGGCTTTGCTCTTTGAAAAAGGTATTTCAGTGCTTGCTTGTTTCTTTTTTTTTAAAAAAGCCTTGTCTTGAAAACAAAAACAAACAAACCTGTTCTAGGTCATCATAGAATGTCAACGTCCATCCCTGTGGAAGCAGGAATTTGCACATTGCATGGTCTTAGAGCAGTGCTTGGATTACTGGGTGGAGGGTAGAGAGGCTCTTGAAACCCATACACTCAAATCTCGGAGCGAGACACCCTCATTCATTTCCCAAAGGAGTAGCTAAGGCTGTTACAAAATGTAGGAATGCAGAAGCCTTGCAAATTTGAGCACTGACTAAGGCAGATGTACTGAAGAAGCTGAGCTGTGTGCCTACAGGAGTGGCACTTGTGGGACTTTTACTTTTCACTTTTAGCTTCCTTGTAGGAGTAACAGAAATGGCAGCAACACGTAGGCTGCCTGCCCTTCCGAAAGAATATATAGTTTTATAAAAGGGGCTCTTTACAATGAAATTAGTCAGTGCATAACGCAGGAAAAATTATTTCCTTTCTTCCTCAAAATGGTATGAATGTCAGACATGAAGTGGTTTAGTAAAGCTGTTTGTTTTAAACACACAAAGGAAAAGGGGCTTAAGCAAAGATGGCCTATTGTAGGATAATGGAGGGTTTTTCTGGAGGAAGAGCACTGTCAATTGCAAGCTCCAGGGAAACAACAGCTGCTCTTATTAAAATTGGTTTTGAGGGGTAATGAAACTTGAGGCTTTGCCACATTACTTCGGGGTGCGAGCATCACTTTATCCTTACAGGGATTAAGGTTTCGCTTTGTGTCAAAGTACTTGGTTCATTAGGCCTTGGACTTAGAGATGGCTGGCAGCTCATTGGTGATTCTATTCTTTTTATGTACTTTTTGCCTGTTGGGCAAAGTGTATAAAAAAAAGTGGCAGTTTTAGTTCTAAGTGCCTAAGTGATGATCAAATTACTCCAATGACACCAAATAAATGGAGGTTACTTGGTGATGCATACTAGATAGATATAAAAGTATAAAATAATATATGAACAAGATAATTTTTAAATTAGTGACAACATTGCAATAGAAACCATGTTAAAGCAAAGCAGTGACAAGTCACAACTGGTCAGAAATCGCCTCTGTAACCAAGTAGATGCCTGGAGGAATGTTGTCCATGGGGCGCGATAGGTCGGACGCGACTTCACAACTAACAACGACAACCAAGTAGACCTTCAAGAAGTGCTTAAAGCCTCCTGCCGTTTCTGGCCCTCATACATGGGAAGGTTATTCCAGAGGATGAGTGCTTGGCATGCTGCTATGGCTAGGCCAGGTCTGGGGAGATCCAAGCTTCTGGTCTGAACCGTGCAAGGAAGCTCCCTGGATGCCTTAGGGCATGGGTCCTCAAACGACGGCCAGCAGGACGGATTTGGCCCGCCATGGCCATCCATCTGGCCTGCGCCACCGGCCATGCGTGTGCTTGCAGCGCGGACGGGGAGGCGGTGGCCTGCTCACTTGGAGATGGTTTTGTACTCACTGGGAGATCTCCAAGCGAGCGAGCCACCACCGTGCGTGCCTGATGCCACCTCGCACGCACCCGATGCCACCTCGCATGCACCTGATGCCGCCTCACTGGCCCGCGGCCCCAGGCACCTCACTGGCCCACGATGGTCACTGAAGCCTTTCAACTGGCCCCCTATTGAAAAAGTTTGAGGACTGCTGCCTTAGTGCGCCCCTGCCCCCAGTATGGAGCAGCTTCTTTGGTAGTTGTGAAGGCAACAAGGAGGGGAGAGCTAGAAGCAGCCAAGCATACACCCCAGGGCACATAGGACAATGGAGGGTCAAAATATAAATGGCAGATAAATGATGTTTTAAACCGCATAAAGGAACTAGACTTTTCCAGACTGGACAACACGGACTATCTGTATCGATGAAGCTGACTTGATCATGTTGCAAATGGGTGCAAAACGAGTTAGGAAAATACTAGACTAACCTGAATATCTTCTGTTTGCAGACGCAATGGACCAGGCTCTCAAATGACTGCGTATGGCATTATTATTTTTCTCTGGGGCATTTTGTACCAATCAGGTGTGGGTGTAATGCGAGTAATTTTCCTGTTATAAGCCATCTTGTTAAGGAATGTTCTTTATTTCCATTCCTCCATCCAAATATCCATAATTTGAGTGTGCAGTCAGTACATGTCAGTCTTTCAGGCTGCTTACATGTAGGCAAAATTGGTTGTAATCTAAATGCCACATATATCAAGAAGGTCTGATAGGCAATGTGGTTGCTTAATTCAGTATTCTGAAATCTATTAAACCAGAATTAATTATCACCTCACCAGGGGAAGCCTAGATTGGTGTAATGCAGTGTACATTTTAGGACAGGATGCCTGTTTGCTGATCCACTATTAGATTTTGTAATGCTACTAGTGTTACTGCATTAGAACCACTTTTAAGCATTGTTCTATCTAGCTATCCCCATGGTGTACACTTAATTTTGAATTCTTTTATAGGGAACAAATGGCCAGAGAAATGTCAGAAATGTTATCTAGGTTGGTGTAACAGGTTGCTTAAAATAAATCAATCAAATCACCATATGAAATAATCATAAGCCAAATAAAAGGGAACAGTTCCATTTAAATTACCATGGGGAAAATGAATGAATAACTTCTAATCAAGACTCATTAATTGCATCAATTTAGTACCAATTTGCAACTATCAGATTTCTTTCTCTAATAACATCACACTTAGATTTATGAATTGCATGAAGAGGAATTAATTTTCAATAAAGTTCTTTGGTAAGAACATGATTTTAGATAATCTGAACAAATCTCTCACTTTAAGCTTGTATTTGAGATCATACATTTCCACATTTAGAGTTGTCTCAACAAATTGTCTTTTTTGTTGTAATGTTCATGTCTCTAGCTTTTGAAAATAATTTTTCATCTTGGTATCCTGACACATCTATGTTAAAAAATGACAGGCTGTGAAGGTTACTTTGCTGCCAGCTCTTCTAACATTAAGAGGGAGACATCATATATACAGTAATATTGTTTTTAAGTTGGAATGTGGAACTCCTTGCTAGGAGTTGCGCTGCAAATTTAAGGGCCCATTCTAAACTCCAGGAAAGATGTAGCCTAACAGCATTTGTTACCTGATGTTAAGATGAAAGATTTTGTTTTTTGGAGTGCTGTAAAATGGTTTTCACAAAGTGAGTGGATATCTGATACTAAGCTGCTTTCATATGACTATTCATCACATTGTGTTTTGCATTTTAATCGCTTTGGGGGTTGTTTTGCTAAGCAGCCAGTATTTTAGCCAGGATCTAAAGACCTGTGCAAGTAGTCTCTTTGTTGGGAGATGGTAACTTTGTATTAGTGTTTCTTGAAGAGCAGCAGAGTACATGAAAATCAATTTGTGTAAATGGAGAGAATTTCAAAAGCTGTGTGATGTGGGATTTGTTGGTGAGATCTAGCTTTCCTTAAGGGAGTTCTAGGTGGGATGCTTTTCCACTGATTCTTTCAATCCATCCCCTGTCCAGTCTGTGATATTATTCACAGGTGGGTGAAATAAAAACTAGTCTCATTGGGGGAATGTAAACTCTAGTCTGGCCCCAAATCATTTCTCAGATCACTGCTCTTTTATTCATGTTTAACTCTTCATCTGCCTGGAGAACATCATTTGCATCTTGTTACCTTTCAGTATTGCCTTGTTTGAACAGTTTTATTTTAAGTGCCTCTATGGGTATTCCTCTGATGATGTAAGGCTTTTTTGACACTCAAGTCAATTCACATTCTTCAAGTTATACCTTTGTGGCACTAAAGTCATGAGTACAATAAAAAGTTTATTGATTTTACAACAATACAAAAGCCACAAACGACATTTAAGATTGTGTTATAAACCATAAAGAGCAGAACACAGTGCTAATACTTTAATTTTGAAAACTGAGTTAAATAATAGAGTTCAAGAGAACTGCCCTTCCCACTCTTGCCTTTTCCCAGCCAAAAGCAGGCAGTGATGAAGCTGGAGAGGCAAAACGTGTAGATAAGTTATGGCTTATTGGACAGGGAGCTGCTGTTTGATCGATGGGACACAAAAAGAGGAGACATTAAGCAATTATACGTAGGATTGAAAAGGAGAATGCCAAGAAGCAGTTAAGTGGAAGTTGGAAGTAAGGAGGCAAAGAAAGCACCAAGTGGAAGAATAAGGGTAAAATGCCAGTTCTGAGATGAGGAAGAAGCTGGGACAACCTGCCGTGGGGGCATAATCATGCTGCAGCAGTGAAGAGTCTGTGGGGCTTTGAGGAATTGGCAAACGGTGAGGAGGGAAGCGCACATACACAACACTCTGGTTTGTGCTGCAGGTCTTAGGCTTAAGGAGATTTAGCCAGACTGAATGTCTGGGGCTTCTATGGGGAAAAATGTCCCCTTCAGTTTCATTCTTCTCTGGCGAGTAGTGCTACCTTCTCCTTCCCTTCCTTATGGAAGCAAAAGTCCTCATAGAGGACATTCTTCTTTGCCTTTGGTCACAGCAGGCTGATGTGACTGGATGCTGTTGAAAGGCGGAGTAGAAAAATGACAAAATGGACCTGATAAGTAGGGAATGGGCCTCTTCCAGCTGTGCCGTGGGCAATCAGTCTGCCCTAGACAAAGCCACCAAGCTGTGCAAGGCAGTCTTCTTTGTACTCAGACACATGTAGCTGATACATCCTGCCATATGTAAAGGGTGTACATGTATAAACTGGTCCATTCCGCTTGCTAAATCGCTGAAGGAAAGTAGCAGGCCATCACTTCACAGATCTTAAAAGTAAGCACATACTTAGTTCTACATATCTTGGCAGCTTGTACCTGTAGTTTGCATTTGAGCATGCATGCTTGAGTACAGTAAGCAAACTGAAAATCGAAGGGAAAGGAGAATTGTCATTATTCAGTAAAAGAATGTGTCAGTTTTGCTATACATTTGTTGTACATTGCTGCTGTTAACTCTCCAGGGAGCCTTTGGCCATTGGGCAGTGTGAAAATGAAACACATACATAATATATCAAGCTGTCTATTGGTGACAAGGGAGCATAGTCATGTCGTTTGACAAGAAGACTCTACTTTTAGCTGTTTGCATACATTGAGATCAAAGCAAAGGCAAAAAAAGTCAACTTCATGAAAGCCTTCCAGGCAGTTTTCACTGAGGACAAATGAATATTTTCATTGATTAAAGAAATGTGCCAGGAACCCTATGAATCTGTATTGCCATCTCTGTTTCTTATCTGTTTTACTGTCATATGTGATGCCCTGTTGTTAGAATCTGAATGTCTCTTGCTTTTCTGAGTGTACTTGTTCCTATATTGAATATTACTATAACATTTTAATGAAATGTTATAGGGGACCTTCAGTTCAAGCTACCAAAGCTGCAGCTGGCACTAAAAAACATGACCTTAGTAAGTGGAAATACGCAGAGCTACGTGATACAATCAATACTTCTTGTGGTAAGTTGTTGTTCTCTCCTGGGTGAGGATAATTTGATTGTATGGCAGAACTTGTGATTTAATTTCTTTGGCACAATTCTGAAACCAATTTGTGAATACTTAAAGAGGCAATTCAATGCATGTTCAGAAAAACCCACAACTCCTTGCATACTCTAGTCAAAGTCCTGGGTACAAATCTAACAAAAGTGGATCACTTTTCTTAATGCTTCCTAATTTGTAGAGAAAATGCCTTATACCATCTTGTTTTGACTGATGCATATGGCACGGGAAAAGGCAATGCAAATGTTCAAAGCTACTCTGCACAGTGAAACCAACAGGTTCTTAATTACGTGTCATGAAAGTGGCACTGCTTCATTCAGACATAAGCTACAAATTCTGATTGCCAATCACATTTATTTTTTGTCATTATGTGTAAATATCGACAGCATGCATTATTCCTTGTGCCCAGTGCTACAACCCATGGAATAAGTTCCTGAAAGCCTTTTATCCTTCCAAATGCTATTAGCAGTATTTTGTAGACAAAAGGGCATAGGTGCTTAATTAATTGGCTTGTATTATTGGCCAAATTAAGGTGTGACATGAATCACAGCTTTGACTCTTGCACGCTTGCCTCCTGCTCCCCCACTAGATACTGGCTGATGAATGGGAGCAATCCAGAATGGGGCTGGATCTGAGGCGGAGTATTAATGCCTCCTCCCCTATGTTGTGCCCTTAATCCAAATTCTTTCTCTTCACTCTGTATCAGTGTCTACACTGTAAAGCGAGAGGACATGTAAGAACAAAGCTAGGAATGATGGCAGACCTCATTCTGACTGGGTGGATGGCACTTGTTGCTGGCAAGGAGTGCTAGAGCAAAATTCCCTCCTTGAGAGGTTCTTTCCAACCTGTCCACCTAAGAGGAAGGACCAAAATATATTTTGGATGGCATCCCCTTGTGCCTTATGGGGTACTTCTCTAGAGGTTCCCAACCTTGGGAGAGGGCTTTTCAGAGAACACTAGCGGCTATTTCGTGAAATGGGAGCTTAGCTTAGCCACCCCCTTGCACATGCAAAGAAGCTTGGTTTGAATCCCAGCTGTTTTGTGCATGTGCATTTAGTGGTCTCTCATGCCCACAGTCCCCTCTCAAATTATGTAACATTTTAAGGAAAGAAAAAATTAGATACTGTGGGCCATGTTGTATCAGTAAGTGCACTGAAATCAGGGAGGCCCCCATATCCACATTGCTATAGGCTGGCTCAGCCACGTGTGGATTGGATTTCGGGGTGTTAAGCAGAAAAAAAAATCAAAACAAGACACTGCAGATCCTGGGTCCTGTATGGCTGTGATTTCTGTATGTTTGCTTACTTGGGAGTAGGACGATCACATAGGCACTTGCAAGAGAAACTCCATGTGTTTCAGAAAGACAGGTTTCAAAAGAGGATGATCATTTTCAAGTGCCTTTGGATCTACCAGAGGATCTGGAGATGAAGACACATCAGAACAGCATTATTTTGAAAAGGCACCCAGAAAACATTGGTTGCAGTGGCGGTAATAGTAATATGTTCTGGCTGCTTTACTAGCAATCCTGAGGGAGTAAGTTATAATGTAATAATGTGCACTTACACTGACACCCTAAGCTCAGCGTAAGCCATTGCACAAGCAGAACATTCTTGAATTTGGCCTCACTTTTCTTGTATAGTGCTCTAGTGTAAGATGTAAATTAGCCCTTCTATTGTTTTAATGGGTTGAAATGTGCATCGTGGTATTACTGTCAGTTTACTGTAATCGAGTATTCTGTATATAAGTTGCTATAAAATCATTTTGACAATTCATAAGCATTTGTCTGTTGTCTTTCTTTCTTTGTTCCATCCTGCTGTTTGTGTTTGAGACAGATATTGAACTGTTGGCGGCTTGCAGAGAAGAGTTTCACAGGCGGCTAAAAGTTTACCATGCATGGAAGTCTAAAAATAAGAAGCGCAATACAGAAATGGAACAACGTGCTCCCAAATCTGTGACTGACTATGGTGAGGGCAAATGCTTTTTTCTGGAAATCAGAATAAGTGAAAGTAATAGCAAATATGGAAATGCATTTTAGAAGTCTCACCTGTGTGGTTATCCTGAAGAGCCTTACATTTACCACACCAAGAATTATAGAAAAAAATGCCTGTAAAATATTTTAAGTTGCAGCAAATACCAGCACGTTGCTGAAATTTGATTGCAGTATAAACAGCCCTGAAAGCACCGAGATACTGAGACAGGTTGTGTTATAGAGGGAATGGAAAATCTAGAGCCTGAGCCAGCTTGTATTTTAAATTCTAGCTAAAGTGGATGACGGTGCAATATGATCAACAGAATATTTCTATTTCAAAATGGGTTTTAATTTATTAACTGTGTAAACTCATTCCGGTTATTTATGTTATATCACAGTCCTGCTGATTTGAGATAACTTCAGCAGGATGAAACATTTATCCTGTCTTATACCTGCCACTAGTCAGACATTCTGTGCATAGAAAGAACTGTTCCAAGGACTTCATCAAAGGCAATGAATTTTATTGCTGATAGACTACATTGACTGTGCCTTTCCATTTTCAGCTTTAACATAACGGTCATGAAATACTCTAACCTGAAGTATACAGTGGCTGAGGAACACTTGAGCTTAAAGTCCCCTGAGTCATTGCTAAGCTTGTCTTCCCAAAAGATCCCAGTCTTAAATGTCTTCCAGGCTGTTGTTGCAAGTTAGAGATCTGTAGATAATATAGAGCATCATGTAATATAGAGCATCAGGTGTGAGTTCTACAGAGTTTAGAACTTCTCCAGCCATTAAGGGATGAGCATGCCTGTGTGAACTGCCTCTTCATTTTATTCAGATAATAATTTTTGTAGAGGAAAGCATCGACATCTGGTCTGACATGGCAGGCACAGATGACTTTATGCTGTCTCAAAGGGCTAAGGGGCTCTTTCCCAGTACCACACCAGCTGAAATATCTCTGATATGAAGGGCAACAACCTGAACACAAACACACTTTTATAAGAATGCTACAGTGTGTGGGATTCACCTTCCTGAGGCAGATTTTTGGCAGAAGAGTGTAACAGAAGTGCTGGGCCAGATGTCTCGGCATCTGGGGACAGGTGTATCAAGACAGGTTAGTTGCCCTCCCTTGCACATCTGAGAAGGGAATAATCTGATTTCTTCACGTCCCAAAAGAAGCAAGTGGACTCAGGTTATCTTGCACCCAACCAAACAGGAGGAAACCTTGTGTTATGCCTAATTCATTTCCTTTTGTGTAACCATCCCATAAACTGGTTCCTTCTGGCTAATGATACATGTCATTGAACTACTGAAAATGTATCTTTTCACGTTGATCAGATTGAAGTGTTACGCGGTATCTTCAGTATTCATTGTTTGTTTGCAGATTTTGCACCATTTTTGAACAACTCAAGTAAGTGGGGAAAAGGGTTTGTTTCAGCTAATTTTAAGGACTAGGAAAACATAGGTGCTGTTTTACTAACATAAGTGTTTTGCTACATGTGTTGAAAATCAAGGTTCAATAGTAATTTGTTGCCAAAACATCTAAAGGGGTTGCAGGGAAAGACAATGTTCACTAGAGACACCCATTATTGTAGGAATATGAGTATTACTAAAGGGAACAATTAGCTTGAATTATGAATTTGCACAGTTTCATTTCTAATCATGTGCTCCTGTAGGACACCTGTTGTAGCAAAACACAATTAACTAACACTCAGAGCAAAAACTAACATTAAAGGGCTCATTTTAGAAAGAGGAAATTATTTGTTGCAGGAAACTGCTTTGTTCAACATGCAGATGATCTTTGGGTGAGTGCAGCTGTGTGCCAAGATGAGAAAAAAGACCTTTAATTTCCAAGAAAAACCTTTTTAATGCATAGTTGTCTTTATGGTTCACCATTGCATGTGCAAATAAAGACCTTGGATAGCCAGAGCCAGTATCTGTTGCAAAGTATGTGGAGTTGATGAATAGCAACAGAAAATTTCCTTGGTTGGTCAGTGAATTTAAATTAAAATAAACAACTCTCAGAATTCTCCCCAGTAAAGAGGCACGAGCCTTTTCTGTCACTGTTTGCAGTGATGTTAACTAGTACGTGATAACAAAATTAACACTAAAGCCCCATTAGTGTGGAAAGGTCTTTTTGCTCATTTTCTTTTCATGGAGGCACAGTTTTTTTCTCTACTGATACTAATGATGGGAAAGCTTTCAGCAGATTCTGCTTTCTTCATTGGAAAAAGCAATCACATCTTTGTATGTATAGCGCAATGTTTATGAGGGCAAGAGGCGTATTTCTTCCTATTCTAGTTACCAGCATTATGCTAATATACATGGAGGGGAAGTAAATAAATTCATTGTGACAGCAGCAGCATCCAATTTTACTGCACCAAAATCTGAACCCAGATTTAGTATTTAATAGTTGGCTGACTCACAGCCAGAGGAATTCACTGTTAATTATTTCCTTTATATTAAATTACTGAACTGCATTTTCCACTGAGTTGACCGCAACAGACTTGAATTCTTAACATCTTTTTTTTTTAATATGAACAGTTATAAAAGAGTTCTTTTCCTGTGTGAACTCAGAAAAATAAGTTTATCTTGAAGGGACTTCTGAACCTGTATTCAGTTAAGACTCTAAGGGGATATTAGTACCAAAGAGCATATGCCTTCTAAGTGCACAGATGCCTATAATGCTATCATGACATTTTAAACTAGTTTGGAGGATTATTTCAATGCTGTTTTTGGTCACATTCTGGTCTGCAGAAATTGAACAAATGGCTTTCCTCTTCTCTGTCTTAGAATCTGGGATGGTAGCCAGTCGGAGACTATTTCTTAATATGTCGTCATCCTTCCACTTCAATTTGTTTCTACCTCAAGGTGTCAGGTGCTTACCTTGCTAAAGAGCTTGCACTGAAACTTTTTCAGTGGCGGCATCTCCACCCAATTTGCATCCTTGCTGGTGGCCTAGAAATACGTTTAGAGAGAAAGTTAGCTCTTCTGTTGCCATGGAAGTCCATGCTTGTAGTGTTACATGAATGATTGAGAAAGTTCTATTTTTGTCCAAGTCAACATGGCCCAAGAGTTTTCTCATGGTGTCCAAGCATGTCGCCTCCAGAATGATCCTGACTTAGAATTCCCATAAACTATTGCCATCAGTAAAAATCCACATAGATTCAGAAAACTGTATGGAAGGTGCAAGGTGAGATTCCCTTTATTCATCAGAACCCCCTGCCCTGGACTATACCTTCAAAGTTTTTCTACGTTTTTGCATTTTTCTACATTTTTTCTCAAGGTGATTGTATTGAAGGGTGATCTTTAGGTTTGGCTTCTAATCTAAACACTGGTTCTCTCTCATAGCTCAACACAACCCAACAAGTCAATTGTCTGCCAGGCAGCAGCAGGAGATTGAAGTGAGTCGGCAACAGCGTTACTTCCGTATCCCTTTCATCCGCCCAGCAGACCAATACAAGGATCCCCAGAACAAGAAGAAAGGTTGGTGGTATGCACACTTTGATGGACCATGGATTGCGCGTCAAATGGAACTTCATCCTGATAAGCCACCCATCTTGCTAGTGGCTGGTTGGTATTCTTTTAATTTATTATTTAAAATCAAAATGGAAATGTAGACTTTGAGTGGCAAAGCATACTGAATGCAACCTGAGACCTGAACTAGGCTCCAGGATAGTCAAGTTACTGTCTCACTTTACAGGCAATCTCCTAACATGCTAAAATTAGATAACCAAAGTAGTGAATAATATTTGTGCCAGTTTAGCCATCTCTGACTATGTACTGTATATATTCAAAATATACCTACTGAGATACACTGTACTTAATTCTGAGATTTATAAGACTGGATCCAGATTAATGTTTCCTCTATATCCTGTAACTGTGAATATTTTAAATTATTTTTGATCCTAGGTTGAAAAACCAATTACGTTCCTCAAAGGAAGGAATGGGGCTGCTTCCATGCAATTCACCATTTTCCCCTTTTTAAAATCTCGAAAAAGCTTGATGCTAGGGCTCTCTGAACTATGTGTCCCACAGTCTGTTACAGGGTCCACTGAATTGCATGAGCAAGTATTCCTTTTCATATGAGTTGGAAAAATATTTAATGTACCAATACTCTTGTCGGAGAAGTAAATAGAGAAGCACCTGTTGTGTCCCATGTGTGCCTTGAGTCATTGGGTTGGAAAAACTTATTAGTTTATAGGGATGTGAAAGAAACAGGTGTGTTGTTAAAAATGGATGAGTTTAATTATATTGGTGTCCTTGATTTCTGAAGATTTCAGTCTCTAATTGGAAGTAATTAAGAATAACTATACTATCTTACAGCTGTTAAAAATAATGCAGTACTAAATATATTTATACAGATGCACACTTTTGCTGCAAGATAATGTTCTTAATCTATATTTCCTGATTTTTCAAAAAAGGCTCACAGAGGGATGGTTTGTTTTTATAGAACCTATCCAATATAACTTAGCACACTTAATGAAAATCAAAATGAATAGCAATTTTCACTTAACAAAAATGGAATGTTCACATTTTCAAAAGAAGCATCATCATAAATGTCTATCTAGCTAAGTGTCCAGAGCTTAAAAGCATGTGAACCATTTCAGCCGTGTGGTCAAAACTAGCAGTTGCATTGCTGCTGGGCATGGGCCAGTTCATTTTTACTTGGCATTGCTGGATATGCAGCCAAATTTGCAAATGAGCTCCAATGAAAAGCCTGCCATGCAACATCAAAATGCTCTGACTGTGATGTCTGAGCCGACAATTTAATGCATAGAACCCACATGTAAACCAATCCTATGTTGTTGTTTTGGGTAAAAGGATAACTATAAAGTAGAATCGTATGCATGTGTTGATAGAAAGCTAACCTACAGTGCTGGCTGAGGAACTGTAGGATAGCTTTTTGCCTAAACTTACAGAGGAGTGCACCATCAACTTCTTTTTCCTAATGAAGTGCATTGGCAAACAAAACTAAAAGTTAAGGATGCTGATAGTAGAACTGTACGCTTATGTTTTTAGGTGTGCTTCCGATAGGGGTAAGCAAGTTGTGCCTCCCTAGTTGCTTTGGCCTACAACGCCTGACTGCCTTGACCATTGTGTATGCTGGCAAGGGCTGATGGGAATTGTAAGCCAAAACACATGGAGCAAGAAGACAACCCTGTAGTGATGACCTACAGTGTCCGTGCAATGTTTGTTTTCTTACGTGAGGGCAACATGGCCTACATGCTTTACAAGTGTGAGTCAGTATCCTTCGCAGCTATTTGCTAGAGCAGTGAGTGTTCACCCACAAGGAAATAAAAGATGATGGTTTATTAGGCAGAGCAGAGCAACTGCAACAGCTAAGAGTAGAAAACAAGCTGGGGCAGAGAGAGTCCTCAGGGAAGGGAAAATGGGGAGGGAATTCCCTAGAAAAGGATGACAGGTGCAGAAGAACTGCAAGACACTCTGCACCAGTGGAAGCAGAGAACCCTCAAACTGCTCCCAGTTACTCGAGGATGAGACTGGAGGGCAGTCTGCCATGGAAGAACTGCATGACATCCTGTGCAAGAGGCTAAAGGTCAATCAGGTAGTGGCAATGTACCAAGGCTTACAAGACCAAGTGGAGAAGAGTCTTTGTCGTGGGAGACTCCCTGTTGCATGGGGTAGAAGCACATCTATGACAGGAAGACCCATGGACTTGTCAGGTATGCTGTCTCCCTGGAGGGCAGATTGGTGATATAACTGGAAGACTGCCAAGGCTCATAAAGCCCACTGGCACATATCCTTTCCTTCTTATAGGTGTTGGAACAAATGGCACTGCCAAGCAGAGCTCTGAGGAAATCTCATCAGACTTGGAAGCTTTAGGGGAGAAGTCAAGAACTTTGAGGCTCTGATAGTTTTTCTTCAATTCCTCCAGTTCTTGGTAGAGGAATTAAACAGGGAAAGAATAGTCCAAATGTAAACCTCTCCATGTGAATATGCAGTTGGTGCCTATGTGACATATTTGAATTCTGGGACAAGGGCTATACTTCCTGTCACAAAGAGGAAGAGCAGACTCGCTTCTCAATCATCCCAGAGTGTAGCAAATGGAATAACAGGCTCAAGTTACAGGAAGGCAGGTTCCAGCTGAACATCAGGAAGGACTTCCTGCGCATTAGATCAGTGCGAGAATTGAACATATTACCTTGGGAGGTTGTGGACTCTCCCACATTCAAGATGCAACTGGACAACCGTTTGAGAGGGATGGTTTGACTTGGATTCCTGCACTAAACATGGTCTGGCCCCTTCCAACTCTATTAATTATATGATTCTATTTATGCAGTGATTGCTAATGAGAAAATGCCCATTTTAGAATTGCTTTCCTGGTGATAAGATCTCTATAATAAAACAGATATTGGCTTAGTTTTCTCCCTATCAGACTAAGGGTTCACTAGGAGATTTTCAAACCAACCATCATTTTCTGAATTTAGAAGTGATCTGGGCTGGTGAGAAGACTGTACAACATCCTAAAGAACAAGTTAAAATTGGGCTTAATGTTTGAAGACCTTCCTTGAAATATTGTTGTCTTGCCCTTCTTTGCCAGAGTAGAGGCATTACTACTCTCTGCTCTCAAAGCAACGTCTATGATTCAGAGGCACTTGGAGACGTTAACATTTCTGCTTTCCAATCGCAGGATCTTGTGTTGCATCATATACTGCTCCTGAAGTTACCAGAATTTCAGGCATATGTTATTGAGGTTGTCTGCCATCAGAAGAGATCAAATAGATACAGAATCCCCTCCTGTTGATCTCAGGCTATATACCGAAGATGGACGTGATGCCAATTTTTATTGCAGCTTTGTTCCCAAATTTGTGAATGTGTAGTAAAACCACTGTTACCCTCGAGTGTCGTGGAACACATTACCCAAGATGCACTTTGGGAATCTGTCTTTTTTCCATTTCAGGCAAGGATGACATGGAGATGTGTGAGCTGAATCTTGAAGAGACTGGCTTGACTCGTAAGCGTGGTGCTGAAATTTTGCCGCGGCAGTTTGAAGAGATTTGGGAGCGCTGTGGAGGCATCCAGTACCTTCAGAAGGCAATTGAAAGCAAGCAAGCTCGACCTACTTATGCAACTGCTATGCTGCAGAACCTGTTGAAATAAATAGTCCCTATTCACATTCATGCGGTGTTTTGAGAGCCTCTCCTACTGCAACAAAGGGAGCATGTTCCTCTGAGTAACAGAGGACACTTAAGCATTCCATAATCGTATAGAGAAGTTTAATATAAAGTACACAGATTTTATGAATGTGAGGGTTTTAGTTTGTATTTCTCATGTTTGTGTAGTGAGTTCAGCTAGTTCTGTGGATCTAAGCATTTGTTTCAGTCAAGCATGTGGTTTGCTTTGGTTCATACGCTGACTCTTCCATATAGCGTCTGTTGTAACACTAACAATACTGTAATGTAAAATTACACACTACAGGGATTTAAGTGCATAACTGTGATGAGTGGTGTTTTCTCCTCTTACAGCATCCTTTCCTTGTAATATCTGGTATGTTTGTTTCTTCCAGATAATGTAGCATAGAGAGCACACTGCATCTTCTAACTGGAATTGTGGAGGCCTTAATCTTAACTTCTTTTGTACAGAAGTTAAAGCAGACTTTTATAAGAAACTTTTATGTGTGGATTCTGAAAACCACTCAACATCTATATAGGGATTTATGAAAAAAACATTTTGGGAAAAATGTCTTAGGTAGACTGCAGGGGTTCTACCGAAAACAGGGCAATTGTGACTGAAGTACTAAACATTAGAGATCCATTTTAGTACACATTTCAGCACTTGTGTTAGTCTCTGTGTGTTGCTTTTTAAACAATGGTTTATTTAAAAAAAAACCCACAAATTTCTTTAGTAGGCAATTTGTTTTTATCTTTCTCTCAGAATTTCCCTGAAAGTCCTTTCTTAGATGGGCCAAGTTAAATATTTCACAAATACTACTCAAGAGAGAGTTTTCCGAATAACATTTAAAAGTAAAAGCAAAAATGAAGTGGGTTCCATTTTTTTATGACAGCCAAGCCTAACTGGAGTATTGGAAGTGGAATTTTGTAGTTCCTTTGTACTTCACTAAAATGCACATGAATTAGGTGGCTTCTGTCAGAATATTTTAGACACTTGACAAGTCTCGCAGCAAGGGAAGGTCTAATTATGATACACCCCTTCAAATGACTGAACTTCGTAGTGTTAAAGTAATACACTTTTTCTTCTAATCTTACAGATCTTTTTGTAGCTAGTCTCCCGAATTCAGCCTTTAAGTTTTTTTTTTTTGCCACAGTACCCCAATGGTAATTAAAATTCTTATGTGTAAAAATTACTTGTTTTACACAGATCTAAGTTGCCTTTTATTGATGTTGCTGGATAGCCCTATTGCTGGCTAATATCAACAGATTAAACCTTGATATTACCTTAGTGTTAAGAGTTTTGAGAAATAAAAAAGCAATAATTACAGGCTTCTCTTGGGGAAGCTCTCCTTTTATTCTGTGAAAAAGATAATTACATTTCCTGGCTCTGATTTTTAGATCTTCAAATACACTTTCTTAACAGCATTACCACTCCCTTCTGTTACAGCATGGCTAGCAGAAATATTCTCCATCTTGTAGCAACGGTAAAAGCCAAGTACAAAATGCTCCTAACTGTTGGCCGTGGCAGGCAGCCACAACCACTCCAGTTTCAATATTAAGCCATGTTTGAAAACTCCTTAGGCTAGTGTTATCTCTTTCCATCCTCAACTTACCGAATGATTCTCCTGATCAGTGTGCACCAGGCAACTGTGGACCGGTGGTAGGCATGGTTAGTTGCTCCTGAGTTAAATTCAATCTGTCCCTTCCTCAGCAGTTGATGGCTGGTATCGAAGCTATCTTTGCTGATGCTCCATCAGAGGCTGCATCTGCCATGGTGTTCAAGCAGTGAAGACTGTGGCTTCTCTCTAGCGACTTCTTGGAAGCACTTCTGCACACTCAATGACGGCTTTTGGCTTTCTGTCAATCCGGCTCCCTAGCTGAAGCCTATTTTGCTGCCCTTTATGCTATTCCAGAGGCCCCCGGACCCCCAGGAATGACTTTTTAGCCCATAAGGGCAGCAGAGAACAGTGTAAATGCTGGCACTGTGCACAGAATCCCACTTAGTTTGAGTTAATTTGTGCATCCCTGGCTTCTGGCTGTAGAGACTTGGCAACAGAAAACATGCACCTGGTGATACTTTTTTTTGTACATTTAGGGCTTGATTCAGAGGACAACCTGTGCCTAGAATCCTGCCCTGGCACTCAGGGAATTCTTTAATCAAGGCAATGTATTGTGTAAGATGATTCCATTCTGGTATGCGTGCATTAATTACAGAGAGAGCTTGTCAAGTTGCCCTAGAGCAGGGGTGGGGCGGTCACAAGTGATGATGGAGCAGGGCTGCAAGCTAGATACTGTAATGGCCAGAGGGTCAAGTGGACATGCCCCACACTGGCAGTGGCCTTGGCTAGGATTGGCAACCCCACCCTCACCTGCACACACCTTTGTCCCCACACCCAGCTGCACACAGTCACAGCCACATAGCCCCTTTCCCACCACTTTATATCTACCTCTCGCATTTCTGAGATCCTATGGAATCCTTTCTCTGCATGTAAACTGCTGCTCCCCCAGCAAGAGAGTGCACCTGTGAGAGGGAGCCAGTATGGGGGGCTGCTCTTGCTTGCCACCCTCCCCAGGAAATGGTGCCACCCAGCTGTGGAGAGTGCCATTTCGGGGGCATGGTGGTGTGTGGGGAAGTCATCCCTTCCCCTCTCAATCCTGCTCCAAATGTGCTGAACAGCTGAGGGCTGCAGAATGGGAATTGGGGCTCTTAGTGACAGTAGGATCGGCTCCAAAATAGATGCATGTTGAGCGCATATTTCGAATCCTTAAAGGGTTTTCCTGTCTGCCAGCTTCTCAGATGTTTGCTTATGTTTTTATGCCTTAACTCATCTACATGCCTTTCATTTGTTTCAGAGCTTTTGTAGCCCAGATTAAGTTAGTCATAACTAGCTTTTTTCTTTGGTTTCAGTGTGACTGGGTGCCAAAATAGGGGTGTTATAAGGAACTTGTTGGTGTTCTCCCAACAGTGTGTGCATTTGCTTTACATTGGAAGGTAGATATTGGGGCTACAAGTTTAACTGGAGTGGTTGTGGATGGGAAAGAATTTGGTTAATCTCTCCCTCTCCCCCCCCTTTCCTAAGCGGGCTTTCTTCCAGCTTTGGAAAAATGCTGCATCCTCCCTTTTGCTGCTTGGAATGTAGTTTGGAGGACAATTTTGGTTGGAAAATTGACTTTCAGAATGAAGCGTTCAGCAGCTTGTCCGACCATTTCTGCTCTTTCACAGCTCAGAACATCTGCCTTTCAGTGTAAAAGAATAAACAATATTGAGAGACTGTTCCATAACTGCATCTTGCCTAGGTTGGCCCTTGAATCACAGTGAATTCTAGCTGAATGGAAGCTATGACCCCAAGTTCATGTGTTGTTTGACCTTTTGTATACCAAGGCACTTTACTAGTAGACTGGCTTGTTCTAGATTTGATGGATTTTGTGTGTATTATGTCACTTGGGCACATAACCACCTGTAAGGTGCTAAAGTTTAAGATCATGGGAAGGGGTAATCAATAAGAAACTGATTGAACTATGATCCCTGCGTGTCTCAGTTTTCTTATTAAGAGAGAGGCATGTTCTGAAGTGCTACCTGTATGTGTTCCAATATCTTCTGTATCTTCTCAGATTGGCTTTTGGGACAAATAGCATGCATAATTGGAAACCTTGCTTCAGCCTTGTGTGAGTGTGTGTGTACAACCTCTGAACAAGGGAGAGCTAAGATTTATACATTTATGAAGCATTCATAATTGGTGCAATCCATCCGGATCTGGAAATCTTGAGCCTCTGAACAAAATGTATCCTAGAAAGTGGTCAGTTAGATAAACCAATACTTGCCTTTGGTGGTGGCATGTATTCAGCAGTTAGTTGGGCTGGTGAATACAGAATCTTACCCTCTATATGTTCCAGCTTGATGTGTATACTACCAAGAAAATAATAGAATAAGTTTCTTTCTCAGGAAAAGGTATGTGGAGCTATCTGTTGCAGATAAAAAAGGTTTCCTGCTTTTTCCTTACTCATGATTTTTCTGATGTGGAAACCCCAGGAAGACTGATGTACAAATGCATGTAATCACTTGATTGTGCTTGAGTATGACACATTTGGTCTGAGAGAAAGTTAATTAGTATCGAAGTTCTCCCTGTACTGCTGATTTAGGGTGGCTGTTGTACATGTTTAGGCCATCATGTTCCGGTTGCAGTCACTGGGTAATGGAAATACAGATGTGAACCTACCTATCCTCAGGATGTAGCAGGCCAGGTCATGGGACTGACAACACAAACATCCATGCAAGTTGCACTTCAGAAAATCGCAGTGTCATTAACATTCCATTGGAAATTTGCTCATCTTCTGTAGTTGTATCTATTTTGTCTCTGGCTTATTTCTCCCTAAACTGTTCAAACTAGTTTGTCAAATAACCTTAATTATGTAATGAAAATTGCAACAAAATAAATTAATTCTGTTGATCTCCTTGCAAAATTACTTATTTAAGAAAGAATGAATCTTGAAAGTTCTGTTTGTTTTTGCGATTTGATGTATCAGCTACAGCAAATAAAGGGAGACCATTTGATATGAAAGGAATACTGATTTCTTAAAAACTTTTCAGAATTAGTTTACAGTAGTGTAACAAAACTGGAAATGAAACATTTTTGCACTAATAGGATTGATAGAAGAGTTGTCCTCTTTTTCCAAACTATGTTTGTCTCAAATATTCTAAAACAAGTTGTAACACAGATTTTTCATAACCCAGCTAAAGATGGTTCTAAGCAAATGGTCTTTACAAAACACCAAACTATATTCTTTAAATATATTATAAAATAATTTTCCTATTACCCGTAACTCTTCTCCAATCAGTGTTTCACTATTTTGTCAAATGTAAGATACAAAATTAAAAAATGTGCTCATGGCGTGCAACATATAGATATTATATATAGATAGATTAGATAGATACTTGGCCCACTTCTCTTGAAAACACAGCATTCAAGGTGGATACTTCAGACTCTGAATCTGAACGGGAAGGAGAGGTGGGGCTGGAATTTGGTAGCTGAAATACCAAGACACTAGAGCTTTGAGATCAGCCAAGTGGCTGGTGAGACTACCCCTGGTTCAGGAGGAGGTCCTGTGGAACAGGGAGGGATGGCATCCCATTGTTTGACACTAACTCAGGAGAGCTAACCAATTGAGCAATGTCAGGTGTTTCCACTCTCTAGTTCAAAAGCAGGGTGGAATTACCTTTATTTGATGGGGAAGGGAGGAGTCATCAGCATGGATCAACTCCTAGCATGGGTAGGACTCAATCTTCTATTAGTGGGCTCATTAATTTGAAGGGTACTTCTTGTTGATGGCCTTTGCATTACTCACTTTTCATCACAGAACCAGTCCTGGCTGGCCAGCTATAACACACTGAAACACTATTTAGAAACCTCTGTCTTGTTCTACTGGGAAGGGTAAAGGAATAAGGTTGGAGGAAGGGGAGAAAACGGCTCTCCACAGACACAAACTTACCACACACCCTCCAGTTAAATAATTTTATTATTTAATTGAAATACAAAACATTCTCATCCAGCAAATATTTGGTAATTTATATTGGATAATGATAAATTATGATCAAGAACACTTGTTTCATTATTAAAACCATCATGTAAAAATGACTTCTGTTGCTTGACTAATAAAAACTGTTATGAATAACCACATACAAAAAATAGCTCTGACATGAAAATATTTTAATACAATGAGAAATCTAACTTACACAACTTCCAGTAGCCCCTGGTCTGTGTAAGATGGGGGTGTGTGTGTATACATATATATATATATATGAATGTTCTGTAAGTGTTACCTAGCCTGAGAAATAAGACCTTGCCTTCCATGTACACTTCCTGATGATTTCAAGAAGAGATCTTCATATATACATTAAGGATGTTCTACTAACCCTGTAAACACAACCTTTATTTTAACATTGGGCATATGACTATGAGCTTTTCTATATGGAGCTATTACTTGTTTTGTGTTTCATCACATAATTTTATCCTTTCCTGCTTTTCTGATACTTAACCTGTAGGTGGCACTGTGTTGTAGCAGAATAGCGCAAATACAGAAAAAGGCAAATACCTTTTCTTTTACCTTCAGAAATAATATCCCCTTCCCCCATTCCAACCTCCTCCCCCAAGCCCCAGGAAAGAAGTATTTAAAAACAGAAGTGAAACTGGAAGATCACATTATATATAGAACCCATAAACAACCACGAGTAAGGAATTATGAGTGTACAATTAATGCTTTGTGAAGAAAAGCCCCATGTGTAATGCAGTATCTACAAACCATATGTGAATGTAACTTGGTAGGCAATTTTCTTGACACCATAGAAGAATAAATAGATGAAGGTTAGGACAACTTTCAAACATATTGGCTTTGATTAGTAAACATGTACAAAAAGCAATTAACCACTTTAATGCTCAGGTAAGGTGTAATGCCTAAATGCACACAGAAAGGGGATGGTGCAGGATACCCTCAACTGTACCTGGAGAAGAAATGCACTTGATCAAGTAAACCACCTGCCACGTAATAAGGAACTGATACCAAATCTTAGTAAAACACTGCCACTTACAACTGTGGTTAAGCACATCTGCTTGAAAGTAACTATGGCTTTGGACAATCTATTCAAACTCAGGACATGGGGGAGAAGAAGTGCACATGAACGATGTTCTCATTTTGTTTTTTCGAAATGCCCAAGATTGAGCATATTCCCTGTGTTGGTATATGCCTGGGTTATGCATGTGGTCAGTCGAACACACAACTCTTGAGAGCCACCTGCACGCTCTGAGTTTCTGAAACATCATTTTATTGAAACGGGATGTCTCCTGTTGTGCTGTATGCAATGAAGCTTATGCAAAAGCAGTTACTCAGTTTTAGATCCAGCACAGAAATGTAGCACTTGTTTTAAAACATAACCTGTATGTTGCTAGCTGAGAAGTCTTGTAGAGTAACTAATCAATATTTTAAATGTTCAGTGTGTCTGTCTAGTGAAAACAGAAAAATCTATTGAAATTAGATTCAATTTCTGTTGAAATTGTTGGATGGTAATAAGCAGATCCTTCTAAGCTACAGCCTATGTGTACCGGCTGATCCTCCAAAAAGGAAAAATAAGGGCCAGAGTAAAGACCCTTTTTCCAGTCCAAGGCCTGACTCAATTTCAGAGGAGCTCTCAGGGACTGAGAGAGGCTAAAGGCCAAGGGGGCAAGACCAAAAAGAAAAAGAGCAAGAGAAAAGCAGCTGAAGGCTTTTACTGCCCATAACCAGTTAAGCCTTAAAGAAGCCCCTCCACACTTTTGAGTGGGGGAAATGCATCAAAACAGCTGGGCAGCCTCCCAAGGCTGCCTGGGGAACACCAGACGGCCAGCTTTAGTCCAGGGCTCTGTGGTTCCCAACCCTGCTTCAGGGGAAAATAGCCACTCCCGATAAATATTTTAATTTTATTGTATCTTTAAAATGTGTGGCTGGATGCTATAGCTGGCAGGGGCTAGGGCTAAAACTTGTCAAACTAGAAGCACTAGTCAAAAACTTTGTAAATAATTCCTGTTGTCTTATAATTCTCCAGTCCTTACACTTAATATTGTTGCTACTGCATTACTGACTCCTGCCCCAGTAATTAATTAGGAAGTGTGTCAACCAGTTTATGGCTCTTCTTTTGGAATCAAATACAACTGGTAGTAGCATTTCCAGGTCCGACTTCTGCATCCACATCTAAGCTTAAGAATAACAAAAATATTTCTCATATAAACACTGTACAATTATTAAATACATTTAGCACTGTATTCATAATACAGATATGTAATGAAGTTCAACAGTTCTGAGGAAAACTAGGTGCCGCCACCGCCTTTTTTAAAAAGCAAAAATAAACTGGTTAAAGTGTTCTTTCTCTTTATGGGGGGGAAATAGCCTTGTGAAGCTGTTGTAGACATCCGTGTCCTCTTCCCCTCCAGCAGCTCAGCCACTGGCAAGCAAGCTGGATTAGTGCAAGAGGTCTTGCTGAAACCTGTGCAGACAAAGTCCATGGGAAGGTTTTAATCAGCACTGATTTAAAAGCCATTTAGAAAACTCACCCCCACCACAGAATATCAAGAGACAATTTCTGAGGTGAAGTTTCTGCTCCTAGCTTCAGGTGTCTCTTGGAATGCTGCAATTTCCCACAACATACTTTTGGGGAGGGGGGAGTTTCCATTTGGAGGCTCCTCTCACATACAAACTCACAGAAGATTATTCTGCCCAAACCCAGCTGTCTGGGGAATGTTCTGAGAATTCTTTCTCAGGCTTTCTGAGAACCCATCATACCAGAAAAAGATCTGGGGTTTTTGATTTTGTTTTTTGTTTTGGAATGGGCAACCACCCAAGTAGAGTGTGGGAATGCTGTGGATGTAAGTTATCTTTACTTATGAGAGTGTATGAGAGATGATTAGCTATCTTTACTTCAGTAACACTTTTGACAAAGTGTCCTATGATATCCTGATTAGCAAACTAGCAAAAATAGAAAACACTGTTAGGTGGATCCAACAATTGGCTACGAAAATGGACTGAAAGGGTGTTCATCAATGGCAACTTCTCAAGCTGGTGAAAGCTTGCAAGAGGGGCACCACAGGGTTCTGTCCTGGGCCCAGTACTCCTCAACATTGCTGTTAAGGGTATAGATAAGGAAGAGCAGGGAACAGTTATCACATCTGCAGGTGACACAAAGCTGGATGAGATAGCCACCACCCTGGAAGACAGAGAAAAGATCCAGGGTGATCTTGATAGGATAGAATGCTTGCCTGGAAACAACAGAATGGAATTCAATAGGGATAGATGCCAAGTCCTGCACCTGGGGGGGGGGGGGGGGGAGCAAAAGCAGTGCTGTAAGATTTTAGGTTGTAAGCCATCCTGAGGCTTTTTGTGACAGGACGGTGCGCAGAGAGAGAGAGAGAGGGAGAGAGATGCTTAGCCCAACAATACTGCAAGGGAGAGGGATCTTGGAGTTGTTGTAGATCACAAGTCAGCAATGTAAGGTGGCTGCAAAAAGGGCAATTGCTATTTTTAGGCAGCATTAATAGAAGTATCACTTCCACATCACAGGAAGTACTATACGCAATACTACTCAGACCTCAGCTAAAGTACTGTGTCCAATACTAGGCACCAAAGTTTCAGAAATGCAGGCAAGCTGGAAAGGGTGCGAAGGAGGGCTACAAGGATGATCCAGGGATTGGAAACAAAGCCCTGTGAGGAGAGATTGCGTGAAGTGGGCACATTCAGCCTTGAGAGGAGAAGAGTGAGGGGAGATATGACAGCACTCTACAAATGCCTGAAAGGCTGTCACAAAGAGGGAGGGCAAACTCTGCTCTTGATCATCCCAGAGTACAGGTCACAGAATAATGGATTTAAATGGCAGGAAGTCAGATTTTGGCTAGATACCAGGAAAAAATTCTTGACTGTCAACACAGTATGGCAATGGAACCAATTACATAAGGGCCTGTGGGCTTTTCCACACTAGAGGCATTCAAGCAGTGACTGGACAGTGATCTCTGTGGGTGTAGAGGAGAATTTGCAGAAGACTATTGTATACCGAGGAGATAGGTGGTGTAACACAATTGTCTTCTGATTCCTACCTTGACTGGGCCTCACCTTTGGGGACTCTGTTGAGGCCACCCGGCGAGCCGCTTGCTAATTAGGATGATACAGCATTTGGAATGCAGGAAAGTAAACAGCGGAGCTTATCTCCATGAGAGCCGGGAGCAGCAGATGTGGCTAGTTAACTGTTTTGACTCTTAGAGTTAGAGAGAGAAGCCTCAGGACCCCACCGGAGCGAGTGCCAGGGTGAGACCTAGCCGAGCAAGGAGGGTGATACACTGGCCGAGAACTAGGGGCTTTTTCCTTGTTGTTCGCAAGTGGGGTGGGGGGTGGGGGTCCCAACAGCTGATAGAGGGAAAACCAGCTTATTTGGTATTGTATTTCCTTTTTCATGTTGTTATATCTGTTTGCCTGTTTTAGAATAAAAATTCTTAGACTTTAATCCACCTGTGTGCACATTGCTTCTGGATCCGAAAAGAACCTTTTGCCCTTGGCAAAACAGTGGGATGGTGTAACTTGGTGTCCTGCACCAGGAGGGGGTTGGACTCAATAGACTTCTTGCCCTCTTCCAACTCTACTATTCTTTGGGTCTATGGTGAAGTCCTTCCCCAACCTTGCTTCCTTTGCATGATAATAGGCTGCCCTGAAAGGACTAAGTTTACTCTCTCTGGTGCTCCTTTCTTTAGTCAACTTTTTTAGTCAACTTTTTATCTAGCCTTGGATTTCAAAGGGATAATTTGCCTGCATAACAGCCTTCTGTATTTAGACTGAGAAATAGCAAATTGGATCCAAACTTAGACCTGTTGATTGAGATTAATGGGACTTAACTAAGTCTTGACTGATTCAAGTCCCATTGGTTTCAATGACTTTACTCTAAAGTAAGCCCAGTTCAATGTACATTCCATGACAATGGCAAATAGCTATAACTGAAGCGTTATTTCTGACTTTCAAAGGCAATATATGCTGAAGAAAGATTTCCAGACATTCTAAAGAATTCATACAGGTATTTTCATCTATATATCTATCTACATCTACAATCTATAACTATCATCTAAACTAACCTTTATATTCTTTATCTTCTGAATCTGAGACTTCAGTCACTAACTCGTCAGTCTTTGCTTTGCATCTGGTGGCCTACATAGAAAACAAGAATATGTGCTTGCTATACAAGTGGCCAAACAGAGAAGCTAGAACAGATGTTGCCAAAGTTCTATCAGATGATCTTCACTAAGTGCCGCATTCTGGCATGAAACTGTGTTTCATGCGTGCTATGGGAGATGTGTGCTATGGGTTGTTAGAGACAGTGGAGATTAGTAATTTTTAGTCCTGGAACACTATAGGCTGGTAAGTACAAGACTGATTGTTACTATGGGTAATGTTACAACTCAAAGAAGACAAATTTCGAAATGGAATGAGGATTATGTGCATGCATTTTACCTCCATTCTCTGTTCTGTGTTCATTATTTTGTGATGTTCCTTGGTCACTGCTCTCGGAAGAATTGATACAGGCACTTACACTACATGGGGCACGGCAAAAATTACTGTTGGGTTCATCGTGATCAAAAACAGGATTAATTCTTACAGCACTCTCTGCATTGCACTGGCTGGGAGGAGGACTTCTAGAAGGCAGAACATGTTTGTTTATGGTGAGATTTCTTGTTGGCAGTTTTGAGAGGCCAAAATTTGAAGGGAAAAGGGTGACATGAAGGGTTGCGCTCTTACTCCAGATTAGTCTTGCTTTTGCATTTCCTTCGAAACTTAATTATTAAAGTGATGAGAAGAAAAATTAGGCACAATAAGCCAAGCGTCACAGCTTTGGAGATGTTGGATCGGGTGGGTGGTGGAGCGTATTTCGCACAACGCTCTCCTCTGTTTCTAAGTACTGGGCATCTAAAACATGGAGGGAGAGGAAAGCAAAGCAGTGTGTGTCAAAAGACAGATGGGAAAACGCACTCTGCCTGCATCCGTGAACTCAGGAGAATCGCAACGGAGCAGGCCCCCGTATCGGCTCAGTGGTCCAAAGGAATGGGCAGGAAGGCACTTCCCTGCCTCTGAAGCTTGCAGGTAACTCGGGCTTTTAACCCACTGGTGAGAGGCAGTCTATATTAACTGCAGCTTTCTAATCCTGTAAGCTTTTCAAAAACCTCAGAATGACTGCATAAGGAAGCCCACTTGGAGACTGCTAGCTACAAGGAAGCACATACAGAAGGTGCCCAGACAGCCTCAGCGGGGGCTTCTTCTTGGTCATCCTTGTGCCAGGTGAATTGCTTTTTTTGTAATGCAACTTAGCTTGACTGCACCTTTAAAAATTATCTGCAACTATTTTCATGCTGGGTTTAAGCCAGCCCTCTCTGCCTGGCCCCCTCCAAATATGTTAGATTGCATTTTTATCTTGCCTGGGCATTCTGGGCCTTGCAGTGCAACACATCTGTGGCACGCCCGTCTGGGCACGGTTTGCTCATTTTTTCATCGATTGCCTTTTACATGTTTATTTCTCACGGTGCCCTGCTCTAATTCTTTTTTAATCAGGTGCCTTTAAAATAGTGTGTGTAAATGAGCTAACAAAGGATCTCTTTAGAAGCGGCTCCTGCACTCTCACAAAAAATGGTGAAGAAGGGGAGGGGAAGAGGGAGAGGCTGAGCTGCTGATGACAGTCATCTCCTCACTCCCCCGGGGTGCAGCCAGTGGGATCGGCTCCCCCTCTTCCCGTCCACTCAAAAGCAATTCCTGAGAGCAAATGCAGCCTGGAGCATTTCCACAACTGGGATATGCATCTCAAAATGAAAAAATGCAGCCTATAAAAAGTTAACTGGTCTGAAGAAATCCAGGACATAATGGCAGCAAATGTGCAAGGACAGCCCGAGCCGGCGTTCTGTGACGGAGCAGTGAGTCACGCATTGCGACGTTCCAGTTGGGTCATCACTGTCAGGACAGGCAGAGCTCCTCGGTGGCACTGCTCTGCCTGGCGATGAGCAGCACTGTGAAGAGATGCCCTCTGCTGCTCAGCTGGGCTCCGCGATATCTGTCTTTGTGGTCTTCTCCCTGTCCGGACTCTTGCCTGTTCTTGATGCTGCATTGCCAGGACTCTGCTCCTGCTGTCCTCTGACCTCACCTTGCTCCCCACCCTGCTTGGGCTTGCTGGACGTTGCCTCTGGCCTGCTGCCTCTGGACGTTGCCTCTGGCCTGCTACCAGCCCACCGGCCTGCTACCATCCCACTACACCTCCAGCCCCTCCAGCAGCCCTGATCCTGGTGCTCCAGCTGTAGTTGCCGTAGTTCTGGTGCCAGTGGGGTAGTTTTGATAAACTGTGGTAGGTGGTTGCCTGGCCAATAAGCTTGCCCTTGGGCTTGCTTTTGTGAAAACGTGGATGCGTCTGCTTCCCACACATGCATGGTGAGGTCTCAGATACTTATTTATTTAAACCTTTTAGAGGCTGTCCCATTACTGGCATCTTGGGATGGTTTACAACAGGCACAAATAAAATAAAAATGGCATAGCATCCAGGGATTAGATATTAAAACCACAATTAAAGCCAATTAACAATTAAAATAATGGGAAAATAAAAAGGATTTTGCCTGGAGCCAAAAAGAAAAAAGCATTGGCACCAGGCCGACCTCTCTGGGGAGCATATTCCACAGTTGAGGTGCCACCGCAGAGAAGGCCCTTCTCTGGGTAACCACCCTCCTGATCTCTTTCAAGAAGGGCTCCCAAAGAAGGACCTCCGCCTCTGCTCTCAAGGGGTGGGAGGGCACATACAGAAGAAGGCGCTTCTTCAGGTATCCAGGACCCAAGCCTCATGCAACTCTGTGTGCTCCTTTGGACGTATAGCAGGTCCTGCAGGGAAAAGAACCTGTAGCAGGACTTCCCCAGATGTGATTCAGGTTAGATGAGATGAGGTGGACTGTCCCTCTCAAAGTCCTGTAAGAATACTGTCTGCTTGACCCCATCCATAATTCGTGTGAGTGTAGCTAGTTTTACATCTAGGCAATTGGTACCACATCTGCTGTGGTGACTGAAGGATTGCCAGTCTGTATCTCTGTCGGAATCCCGGTCATATATATTCCTGAAATATGTGAAATCTAACCAAAGCATCTGATCTACCATACACTGTGCAAGTATCTATAATGTTCAAAACCCACCTTCCCTTCACAAGGTTTGGCTAAAGCCCCTTCCGCATTCTCCTTGGCTGTACAAGATGAATTCTGGCTTATTACCAATATTTGTGTAGGGTGCAGCACCATGTCAAAGCAAAGAATTAGGCTGACCTAAGAATGCAATGTACCAGAGGTCCACCCAGGCTGTTACTCTGATAGCCAGGACTTGCTCGGGTTTCAGCCTTTCACCGCTTGCTACCTGAAAGCTTTTGATGGGAAAAGCTAGGCTGTGAATGGGGGAGGTCCCCCGGATGTTGGCCTGCAAGCCCCATCAGCCCTAGCCAGCATCGCCAATGGGGAAGGATGCTGAGAGAATGGGTCCAACAGCTTCTAGAGATCTGTAACCCCAGCCCATTCTTGGGATTTGAAGGGGCAGTTTCTTGCATGGAAGGCATGTGCTCTGCTGCTGAGCTGCTTCCTCCCCAGCCTTGTCAAATCCAGAGAAGTGGCTGTCTTGTTCATGTAATGCTGCTTGGATATGCCATGAAATGGACCACCTGCCAAATTCTGCAGAACCATTAATACTCATAATTACCTACCTACAGACTGCCCCTCTTCCTGGGACTAATTCACATTTGCCGCCGTTAGTGCACAGTTGTGGTTCAATCTCACACAGACTACGGCAGGGCTGTCCGTCCATTCTTACATAACCGGGTTTGCAAAGACAATCCGCCTCTTTTGTCCAGTCATTCTTTATGCACTGGGCAAATTCATCGCACGCCATGAACTTGCAAGGGTCCGCTTGATCAGCTGTAATAGAAGAGGAAAAGCTCTTTAAATGGGCTCACTGAGGCGGCGCTACACGTACTTGGCAAAGACATCCACTGGCTGTGGAGGAAGAAGGGTTTAGGAAGGTCACCAAATGTCCATCATTCAAGTATGTGTCCGAAACAGCAGAGCCCTTTCTTCTTACTTTCACTAGCTGCAATGATATATCTTTCTCAGCAATCAGCTGCATTTCCAATGTAAAATATGTACAAGCTAAATGCTCAATGCCATCCCAAGGTGGCTTTCATAAAAGTGTTAAAATACAACTATACTTCAAATGAAATGACTGCAAAATGATGGAAACAGTATATAATCATGGGAATGGGTCAAAGCTTTATTATTAATCACAGTAGCAATACTTGTTATACTTCTTAGCAGGGTCAGGACAAGGGCTTGGATTCTGAGTCTGCCTCCCACAAATGGAAGGGCTCCTGCAACCCATGGAGAGCTGCTGGTGCAGTGAAGCATTTCCAGAATAGGAGAAGAGACAGTCTTTGCCCTCCTGCTATACCTCCCTATTTCTCTCCCCCACCGTCCCACCACACACACACTGAAAGATCTGCCCTGGAGGTGTGGCAGACCCTCCAGAGCAGCATGGAGGTGGCTCCAGGACCTGCAGAGGGAGGGGGAGACGGTGCAAATCCTCTCCATTTCCCACCAGCTCACGTATCCTGTGTGGAACTCCACTTCATTGGCACTGGTAGTGACCAGCACTGGACCCAATCCTCCATTTCCATGGGACAAATGGAGAATACGGCTGTACATGACCAAGGGTGGTGTCTCCACACAAGGCTTCAGCTGTGCCATCACCTTGCCTCACTCACAGGAATGGGGGCAGGGGCTGTCCAAATGTCTTCTCCTTGCCTTCTACCTGTAACAGGTTTCTCAGGACTCCTTCCTTATTACAAACATTCTTCAAGGAAAGAGAGAGAGATGCACGATGTCCTTTTCTTAATAACACTAAGAGTTCTATATCTAGAAGCCAGCAAAGTTGCTGCTGGAAATATTCACCCCATATCTAGTTTCTCTCTTCATAATGTCAAACTTATTCTATGCCCTGATATCATTAACGAGCAATAATGACGTTCATGTGGTACAGAAAGGTACATTGTAATAATGCCATGCAAACAGAGTAAATTGCATAAGTCTCCAGAGAGAGGGCAGAACTTAGTATGGACTTGCCCTTTCTTTGTAGCATGTTCCACCCTAGTTGGGCCAAAAGGCCAAGCAGATACAATGGGCAACACTTGCTTCTTAAGCGCGAGGCAAGGAATTGTTGCTTATTCTGCCAGACAGAATAAAGCCGCAATATCCCCTACCAATTTCATGTTCATATTCTTGGTCATCTTTATCTTAGCACATTCAAGAATGCGCATATTCATACACGTTTGGGCTGCATACAGTCTGCCCCCATCCAGTGAATTGCTTTTATGCACTCTTTTAAACTGTGCAGAAAGCTTTTGCTGTGGGATTGTATAGAAATGAAACAATGATAGTAAAAATAATGGAGGTAGTAACAACGTGAAAGCAAAAAGCAAAACAGTGGTAAAAAGCAAAAATGATCTCTTGAATCAGGACTTATGTCTCAGAAAACTGGTTAGTTTGTCATGCTGTCACTGGAGGATTGCAATGTTTTTGCACTATTTGACAAATTCAGTAAAATACAAGTTCACAGCCCCCTTTCCCTGAATCTATTGCATATCTGTCACCATTAGTACAGAGAGAAAAGTCAAATTTTAAGTTTTTAACAAAAATCAATACAGGTGCCATGTGGGGGCAGGGCCTGGCATTAGTAACACTTGCACGACATGAGGGAGTTATGGAAACTTACAAGGGAACATGAGTAAAAACAAACGTGACATAGCACAAAGTCTCAGTTCCCTTTTAGGCTGCTCTCTGGAACTGCCTTCTAAAGGCCTGCAGTGGTGCTCAACACCCAACAAAAACTCATTTGGACTTTCCTCAAGTCTGGGCACCAGCACTGAAGAGCATCAAAACTGGACTCGAGTCTATTGAGCAGGATGAGGATGAGAGGAAATCCTAAAGGAGAAACAAGTGCGTAAAGGAAGCAGGGAAGAGTGCCGGCTCTCTTGGCTACAGGACCTCATGCAAGAGATCATGCAAAGCCTTGCACAATCAGGAGCCCAGCCCTCGGCCCTGGCTCCCCTTTCTCGTGCAAGAAAAGCACTTTCTGCCCATGGAAGAGTCCCCTGGGTCCAACCCATCTCTCGTCGCTTTTTGTTGACCTGTCAACAGCATAAAGGTGGTGGCTTATGTGTAACACCTTCAAGGGCCTTTGGAGCTTACAGATGAAAGCTTTCCTCTCCTATGCAAATATGCAGGAAGAAGAAAGCAGATCTGCTGAAGAGTTGTCTCCCAGCTCAGAATTCTTGGATGGGCCATTGAATGCTGCCATCCGACTAGACTTCAGCGCAATCCATTTGGGCCTTTCCTGTTTGGTTGGGTTTATTCTACTGCCTGCTGCAGCATGAAAGCTTTGTTAACATTCTGGCTAACAAATATCCTGGTTAGAAACAGGATACCTTTTAGAACCAGACAGACAAGACCCATTCAATGGTGTAAGCTATGGGACCTGAAGTGGACCGGCTTTCAGGGATGCTGCCGGCACAACGCTTTTCATTGCGAGGTTGGCAATAGCAGCAGAATCGGGACACTGCCATGTCAAGCATAATTGGTAGCATAATTTGGAGGCATAATTTCTTTCAGCTCTACCTAGAAGTGGGTTACAAGAGCCTTTGCTCTCTGAAGGTCATGATGAGATAAGTGTCTTTGCTTAGTGAAAAAGGACTTGACGCTTTCGTTCCCATGTCAGGACAAAATGCAAAAATACCCTTAGGCTTAAGGCAGGATCCTGATCTGCTCAGGAAACCATGTTTGTTTGTTTGTTTAAAGGTTTTATATGCTGTCCAACACTAAAGTCTCTGGACAGCTTACAAAAAACCCCAAAACCAACCATATACAACAAACAACACACAACATACTGCTTCCTGTAAACAGTGATAAAATCAAAGCTAAAACCAATTAACTGTTAAAATATTGGGGGGGAAATGGTCTTCACCTGATGCCGAAGAGAATAAAGTGACGGTACCAGGTGAGGCTCCCTGGGGAGCATACTGGTCTTGCCCCCCCCCCATGTACACCTTAGAGATGCTAATGCACCTGTTCTGAAAGTTCTTCTGAAGGTGGGGGCGGGGGGTGCATCTCAGATGTGCTAATGTTTACATGTCTGGAAAATTTTTCCTTTTGGGTTGCCTTACTCCATCCAGCCCTTCTGGTTTACTCTCATGTGCCTGGAACAGACTGCCTAGGTGATCCCCCACCCCTCCAAATGATGCATGTAACTGATGGATGGAAAAGTGTCTTGTACAAACTCCATCTTCGTAGTCCCTCCAGGGACCGCCTGCGTGGAGCGTGCATTTCCGGTATGCCTGAATAAGCGATAAGTGTCCTTTTGATTGCCTGCCCCCAGCATACCTACTAGTAGTACACATACAACTTCAGGCACAAAGTTCATCTAACCTATCCGTCATGCCATCTTTTGCTGTTTCTCACTCGATCAGTTTCTGCCTGCACTTGTTTAAGGCTCTCCATTCCCTGAGCTGGCTGTCAGTCTCTCTGCCCTTCCCTGGACTTTTATTCTGCAGATACAGCCAGTTTTCTATCATTAAAACATACACTCAGCTTCCTACTTCATTGAAGCAGATAATCTCTATTTAATATGTGCTTATTTCACAGCGGGGCAGTGGATGCCCCGTAGTGTCACACTCTTGAAATGTAAAGCTCAAACAGAAGTAAGGCGAACTTGGAGTTGCATCGCTGCCTCAAGTGCCAAAATAACTTGGCTGGCTTGGAGGACCGAGCAGCTTGAAGCGGGAGCGGAGCCACCTCAGGCTGCAGGTGCCCTGGGCCAGCCCTGCCTGCAGCAGCTCAGCAACCTTGGAAGATCGCCGTTTCCGAAACCAGGCTGGGGTTCCTCAAGCCACACCTTCCCTCCACCTTCGCTCTGCAAAAAGGGGTGCTTACCTATGAGAAATGCTGTTGTGATCCCTCCAGGGGTGCACAACACGAGCCTTTCACAACACATTTCACCAATGCTAATAGAACAGGTTTTTCTAGATTTGGGCCAAGGAAACATCTTTTTCAGGAAAAGTGTGCATTTCCAAGCATACATCTACCTTTTTGCCTATGCCTTCACTCTAAGGGCTGCTTCCCATTTTTACATTTTGACATGTCTAAATGAGTGCAAATAGGTGAGCTTTAAATCAGTCTAGGATGCCAGCTGTTTTGGTCAAGATGCTAATCTTCCCAGCTGCTGATTTCTGCAAAGAGAATCCGCCATTTAATCAGAACTGTGCAGTTGCGTCTGCTTGCTGACACAAACCATGTGTGCGGTGCACCCCGAGAGCTACAGACTTGGCACGGTGGCGCCCACAAGCAGCTCCACCTGAAGCCACCGCCCTTGGAGCCCACGAAGTGCCTTGCTGGTGCCTGGCCTTTAAAGGCGTTCCTTAAAATATCCAAAGCAAAAGCACTGCCCTCTAGTCAGTCATCTGCTGTCATTTCCTGCTGCCCTGCAATGCTTCCTGGGACTCAAGAGACATTCCTAGGAAATAATGATGAGAGGAGGCCAGGGACCGCATGAAAAAAGAAAGAAGATGTAAGGACAGGCCTGACTGTGGGTGCTGGGTAAGCCAGGATGCCTCGCGATTGCACTGAAACATGGAAGGAGGGCTTGGGGTGAACTGTGGGGGGGGGGCTGTGGCTGGGGTGGAGAAAATGGCAGATGGGATGCCTTTGGGGCTGGGGCTATGCAAATGGGCGTGTGTGGTGGGTGTATGTTGAGGAGCACAGCATGTGTAAATGGCTGGTATCAATATTGGCCGTATTCCAAGCAGCCTGAGGACCAGTTCATAGGCCGGGGGGAGGGGGCGGTTGGGGGAGCCTGAGTTCCTGGGACATACCCGAATGACCTGGGCTAGCTGGTGTGAACGACTGATGGAGATCTTCCTGAGGAAATGCCACACATCACCTGGATAGATTCCTATTTGTTCCAGAAATCAGGCCAAGCAACCCTGCAAGGAATGGCCACCCTTGTCCTGAGCAGGCACAATCACTTAACTGGAGTGAAGAAGAGCATCAGACACATGGAGATTACCCCAACGACAGCAGCCAGCAAGCACAAAGAGCACCCTTTCCCCCATAGAAAACAGACATGATCGTGTGGCAGGCAGCAGATAGTGAAGGCCATCAAGAGCCACCAAGCACCCCTAACAGAAAGGACAGAGACAACAGAAATATTGCCACTCACACAGGAGCATATTCAGGCAAAGAGCACCAGAGGCCAAAAAATGGAAGTGGGAAAGCTCTGGGCACAGACCTGGCACCTGTCATGAGCTTGGCCCTTCCCTACTTGTTCATTGGCTCCCAAACACCAGATCGTCTCTTTGCAGTGCTTTTATGTCGAAGCTGGTTGTTCCTTATGACATTGCTCTGGCCTCAAATGATGTAACGTAAATCTCACTGCCCATTTCTGAATGATCTAACCTTATGCAATATGTACTATTGTAATATTTTACACTGTGTAAGCCATCCTGAGTGCTTGTCAGAAGGACAGGATAATAAAGAGTGTTGAAGCCAAACTGCGAGCCTCTCCCCGAAATCCTTCCCTTTCAGTTCCACCCTCCAGAGGGCTCCTACTGGTGAAGGACCAGCAGCACGACCTACGCAAGCCCTCTGCCTGGGCAGCTCATCTCTCCTGACGCCAAGGACCAGGCAAGGCAACAGCTCTCCCTCCTCCCCTTCTGTGATGTCTCCCATCTCTTCCAAACCATCTTTGGAAGAGCTGGTTGGCCTGGGAACCTGTGGGCAGCGACCTTGAGGGCGCTTCAAAAGCCTCTCCCATCCATCCCCAAGTCTTCAGTGCCCTTTTCTCCAGAATCCAAGGCTTGATGACTGGGATGCCTACCAAGAATGGTGGTCCAGTTCATTCACTATAGCATCCAGTTTGGAACAGCAACTACTTGCACCCTCCTGCCTTCACAAGTGACTGCTGTTGAGAGTCCACTGTACAGGACAAGCGGCAACAGGTAGTAGCCTTGGACTTCCTCTCTAGAAATAGTGAGTAAGATGAAGATGCAACTGGAATTTTTGCTACCCAAACAACATCAGGTTAAGAGTTAGTTCCTGGTCTATATTCTTTCTGAACAAGCATTTTTTGGTTTGTGAACACGTGCATCCGTGATAACATAAGCCTAGAGCAGAATAAGTTAGACCCCAACAAAAGATCCCAAACTATCTGGGCTACTCAGGAAGACACGCACCTCCTTTCGAGGTGCAATGTTCCCTGACAGCCCGGTTCTTGGGCAAGTCACTTGCCTTGCAGCCTCAGCGGTTTGCCTTTGCGTGAAGTTGGTGTCTGTGACTGGGCATGGCCACCACAGCAGCCACTTGGCATCAATGCACAGGCATTCTGGAAATCCCAGCTGGCCAGCTGGCCTGAAGGATGAAGACTCTCAGAAGCAGCGACTGTGTCCACAAGTGGCAGACACCCTTCTGGGGCCCCCGTCTGCAAAGGGCAGCCAACATCACCCCCGTTTACCTCAGAGTGAGTGCCATTTACGGTGGTCCCTTTCCCTTGACCCCAGTTTTTACATCACCTGGTTCAATATCCAGTGAATAGCTGTCGATTTCAAGGTTAAGACGTTGAGCTGCCGCATCGCAAAAATCCTCCAACACACAATGGACGGCTTCTGTGATGTTATACGGCACCGACTTGGCAAACTTCATTTTGCTGTTGACAATCACGCTTCCATTGCGGAAATTGAGTATTTCCAGTTGCTTAAATCCTGTAAGATTAGACTGTAGGTAGGGAAGCAGCTGCAAAAAAGAAAAATGAGTCTTATTGTAACCCCCCTTTCACTACCCACATGCCATTAATCCCACTTATATTCACTTCTCATTTTGGGGAACATAAATCAACTATGGTTTCACTGACTTTATTAGCAGACTTTACATCTGCGACCAAGTTAAGCTGCTCACTTAGTCTTCTGCGGCAGTCTCACTAGTTAGACCTTTTTCAATAATCTATTAAGATAGATAGAGTGCAGTTTTCCTTCTAATTAAATTCAGAGACTGCAATTCAGTTTAAAGACAAATCAATGGGGCTTAGGCACGCTTAAACGTGAGCTGCAGCTGTTGGTGAGGCAACCTGATGATTTCAGGTTGGCTTTGACCACCATTGGTCATGAAAGGGAAAGGAGGGAGCCCCGATGTTTACATAATTCCTCCTGCCCAGATTGCCATTTCTGTTTAATACAGTCTTGTGAGAGGTTTAATGTCCTTCCAGAACAATGGGATGCCACCCTTCAATTTCACAGGCAAGTTGCATCCATTCAATTCCAAAGGTTGCTTTAGAACCATGTTAATCCTAGTGCCCTGCTGTTGCATAGAAGACTGCTTCCATCTGTCCAATAGGACCCCCCCCCCCCACATTTTGTTATGCTCAATGATAACTCACGATGCATTTTCGAAGACCTGGATCCAATGGGCAATTCCACTCGCAGAATGGCTTCTGTTAGTGGAACGGATTCCTCTGCCGCAGCCAACCAGTGTGTCCCCCAAATCTACCCAAGCAGGTTGGGTACCCCCTTGGGCAGAGTTCTGGACAGTGCAGATGGCTGTAGAATGGCAAGTCCCCTCATGCTAGCAGAGTTCCACTAGTGCAAAGTCACATTCAAGCCCTTGGACTGATGGTGCATCCCGCATAAGAACCGAAGTCACAAGTACAGGCAGTGACATGGTTTCTTGGCCAAACTAGACCCTGTGATGTGGACATGTGTTTCTGTGTCATCTCCATATGAAGTATCAGTGGAGGCTATTATTTTGACACTGCTTGTAGTGGACAGTGGTGCTGAGCCCTCCTCGCTCCTTATCCCAGTGGGTTGCACCAACCACTTTTCTCCCTTCCTGGATCAATGTTGGTATCACAGCTGGGAAGAGGAAAAGTGGCTGGAGGCTCTGACTTCAGGGCAGGGTGTGTAGGGGAGACACCATGACCCTCTCTTGAAGACCACTCCGGCTACATGACCTCCACCCCATTCAGTCCATGACTGCAGCAGACGCATGACAGAGAGTCTTATTATTTCTAGCACTTGTACAGTGGGTGGCACAGGAGAGGTTGGGCCATATGATGTGGGAGGGGACATATTTCCTTGGATCAATGCTCCCTTAGGCGGGGAAGCATCTCTCTCTCATCAAACCTTTACTAATGGCACTTTTGCAAGGGTTAATTCTAACTCTTCCCCCACAGCAAACCCCTGCAGGGATGAGAATAATGATGCTCCCTTTTCAGTGTGCTGGAAGACAAAGCTAGCGAAAGAAGACAGGAAACGTGACACCTCCCGAACCACAGGCATGTTGCAATGATCTTCCCTAGTCCTCTGAGTCGTGCTTGAAAGAGCAGAAGGTTGGCTGTGTGAGCCATCAGTGTGAAGAGTGCTAGCTCCCCAGTCGTTTCCTCATCATGCCTCACACCTCAGGCATTGTGGGGCCAGGTGAGATACGGCTCTTTGTATGGCTAGCTCTTGTATTGGACCACTGATATATGAATGCCCTCTATGGAGCAAGAGGGTCCACCAAGCTAGAAGCCCATCCAAAGGGCAAGGTGTAAACTGGTATTTTTGAGTATGATGCCAAGTGTAGGCACTTGTCTCAACACTCTGGTCTTCATATCTACCCAAGGACCTCTAGTCTGACTGCTTGAGTGTTTTCCTTGCAACAGCAGCGTGTTGCTATGCTACTTTGGTCTGTCATCGTTTGCTTAGGTAATTGAATGAAGGCTACAATTATACACTTTTTCTCCATGAAGAATAAGGCTGTTTGCACACAACAGAGTAAATGCAAAGACTGGACTAGAAGAGGAATAAATACAATTTTTGCTTTCAGTCTGATTCGATGTATGTTTTGTGTTTGCATTTTTCATTTGGGGATGGCAGTAACCACATACTCGAGATAAGAATTCTTCCAAAATGCTGGCAATGCAGTGAAGACAGACCTTTGTCACTTACCAACTGCATGAATTGCTGTTCAAGAGCTTTGTATTCTGCAGAGCTCCGATTGAAGAGGTCATCGGAAAAGCGCATGTTGGTCACTCTCAAACTGAAGAACACCACCAACTCTTTTCCTTTGGCTGCAGTTGTCATGGAGCTGGTAGTTATGTACTTCAGAGGAGGAACTGGAGTCACATCCGGAGTCTCTGGCAATGCGTAGTAACCACTTCCACCCTCATCTAGGGCTGCCGGGCTCATCACATCCATCACGCCTACCTCAGTGGCAATGTCCTGCACCCCTATTTCAAACCCAGTACTGTCTGGTGCTTCTGCCCACACAGAGCTTGTCACTTCGAAAGGCTGATCGACAATGGAGGGCCCACTGGTAGTCACTGCTGACAATACAATGATCTCCTTTGGTGGCCCCAACATGTCATCCTCAGGAAGCGAGGTGGGAAGCTCAGGGGGACCAATGAAGGGTGGCATAGTGCTCCAAGCGGCTAAAATGTCATCTCCTGAAGATTCCAGGTCTGTAGCCTTTGCGTCTGAAATGGAAACAAAGTTAATGCTCAGTCACCCTTCAGAAAGCCTGCTCACTAATGTGTGGGGGTGGGGGGTGGGGGGTGGAGGGAATTCACTGATCATGCTGAACATGAATGCTCAGGAAGGAAATCTAAATTAGCTAAACCTGAAGAACCTGGTGTCAATTTCTCGGGGAGAGAGTCTTCTCTTGCGCTGAACGGAGTCGGTTTCTTTCTTGTCTCCCCTTCCCCTCCCATCTTTTTTCTGGGAATACTGAAGCTCTGATTCCTTGGGTCTGGTGGGGGGCTAGATGCACCATTTTCAATTTCAGCAGTGCTGGTATTGCATCAGTTTTCCGCCCTCTCCAAGTGCAAAGCGGTTTTCCCCACACCATTTCCCTCTGCCAACATGATCTTCCTTCTGAAGCAGCTTTTCAGTCCGCAAGCTCCTGCTCTGTTGTTCCAACCGCAAGCAGATCTTTTAAGAAGGACAGGAGGTTTGCTGTGTAAAGGTATCAACTGACTTGATGCAAGAACATCAGGAGGGCAACTTGCTCACTTCCCCGCCTGCTCCAGCATTCCTACCTTCTCAGTTCTCCAACCCTGCTTAACTCCCTCTTTCAGCACCAGAAAGCAGTGGTGCCTTTCTTGCAAAGCCCAGCTCTGTGGTGTAAATCAGACCTTGCTGTAGGGAAGAAAATTCTGGAAAGGGAGGGAAAAACAGTGTCAACTGGCCTTCCTAACCCCAGTTTTGGGAACAGATTCTGGCTGGGTTGTGCTGGGTCTTCCCAGGAAAAAGCATCAGAGTTTAACGTTCAGAAATGGATCTGCTGGGAACAAGATGATCTGCCTTAGCAGCTCTTGTCTTGGATTCTGTGTGACAGCAGGATTTTATTTTATTTATTTATTAAAACATTTCTATGCCGCCCCTTGCCGAAGCCTCGGGGAGGCTCACAGCATAGAATAAAATACACAATAAATTAAAACAATAACAATTAAAATATATACATTAGAATAAAATAAGCCACCCTGGCCAAATAAAATTCAATAGTATTAACATTTAAAATGCTGCTTAAATAAAAAGGTCTTCGCCTGGCGCCGAAAAACAAATAACGACGGCGCCAGGCAGACCTCTCTGGGGAGCGCATTCCACTTAGGCGCCACCGCAGAGAAAGCCCTCCTCCGAGTAACCACCCTCCTGATTTCTTTCACGGAGGGTTCCCAGAGAAGGGCCTCTCCTGCCGATCTCAGGGGGCGACTGGGCATATATGGACGTAAGCGCTCCTTCAGGTAACCAGGACCCAAGCCGTTTAGGGCTTTATAGGTCATCACCAACACCTTGAATTGGGCTCGGACTTCAGGATGTCAAGGGATGAAAAGGGAAAGGCACGCTGCGTGGCTTGAGCGAGGCTTTCATTTTGTTCTTGTTGGCTAGTAGAAATAATTTTGGCTACTAAGCCTGCATCTAGCTTCCGTGCCTCTGACAACAGCACAATATAGATAATACACATAGCAATAGGAAATGTAGAAGCAGAATTATTTATTAGAGCAATTATGTTCCACCTTTCCACAACCACACTATGGCTAAGAATAATTAAAAACATAATCAAAACAGTAAAATAAAAATAATCAGCAGCTAATTAAAGTGTCAGGAAATATTAGCAGCAGCAAATAAATATGCATTTGGTCCAAGGCCATTGCGTAATCTCCTAAATCCAAGGCAACAAGCTTTCAAGTGAGCCACCCATGCGGCAGGGAGGGGGGAGCGTCACATTCCTCGCAAGGGTGGTCAACAGAGCTGATGCCACTCCTGAGAAGACCCAGTCCCATCTAGCCCCCCTCCCCCCCAGTACTTCAGTTAGAGATGATATATGGAGGAGGGCTTCCAATGAAAATGCCAACTTTTACATTGTTTTCGTTGTCTGGATAATGACCCTATTTGTTGGCCTCCAATCACATCACGCAGCCCACAGGTGACACCTGTATGTTTGGTGTGACATCTGCAAGCAGGAGTCTATGAATGACTGAGTGTGTGCAGGATCTAACATGGTGGGGGACTCTAAAGGACAAGCTGGTGGAAGGCCCATGTTCATAGAGTTGCAGATACCCATCGAGGCCCCTTTTCAAGCACACTGGGTTCATGTCGGGAGGAGCAGTGGGTTGCATGACTTCCCCAGGAAGGCCAGCAGGCACGTTCCAACTCGCCCCTCTGCAGAGAGGCTAAATGCGTGGAGGTGGCAAAAGGAACAGCCCTTTGGTCATCCTTCCACAGGCTTGATCATCTCTGCAGAAATGGTCTCGTTGCAGAACACCAGTGATAACTCTAACGATCGCTTTGGCAATCAGAGGGTTAACGTAGTTCACAGGACTCCTCACAGGCTCATCACCTGTTCTGCGAAATGTGCCAGGTAAATGTGCAAGTATTGGGTGCGGAAAGAAGCATACCTGAAGACCTGAAACTCTCCATCTGAGTGAAGCACAAAGAAGATGCCAGAAAAAGGAGTTTGGAGCACAGTATAAAGGAAAGGGGGTGATAAGTTACTATAAGAATAATTTGCCTGAGTAGTATTGTGTTCTCCAAGTAGCTATGAACATTTATTGCTCAGAATCTTCATTTTTAATAGCACTACAACTTGCATAAGTAATTGGTTTGACAAACTGTCACACCTTTTATAGATGACAATTAAGTGCAAATTGGATTACAATGATTTGCCTTTGATTTGAACATCACAAAAGTAAGGCTGAATATCTCCTTTTTTGTCAATTCGCTGTTCATGTATTTCTGTTATTTTACACGTACACAGTTCCAGTATTTGCTTGATAATTTGCCAATAAATCATGATTTAGAGCAGGCTGGTTGCAAGATGGGTTTTCTTTTTGTTGTTACTACGTAAATATATTTGCATGAAGTTTGAGGATTCATAGTCCAATGAATCGACAAGCAAATGAATGGAGTAATTTACATTTGCTCAGAGGGTAAACACTAAGCGCAATCAATTGGTCAGTATGCACGTGGGTCTTGCAAGCCCAGTAAGTCAGTGTTTACCATCACTTCCCATTGTACAAGTCACTTATTCTGTTGTTATGCTGTCATAAGAAATATGTCAAGTTACAATTCATTTCAAGAAAATCCAAGTAACTTAACATGAACGACAATATTTTATTCTCATGGATAAAAATTGTAAGTAAGCTTGATTTGAGATATGGCAAGAGTTTCAAAGCCATTTTACGTTACATCAAAATGGGCTGCTTCCTTTAAAAATTGAGATGACAGAATGAATAAAAATGGCTTGCAAGAACTCAAAGATGCTGTCTTCAAAATCAGGCACATTGGTATAAGAGCATTCCAGGTTTTATCTTTTATACAGAGAGGAAATCAGGACCCCTAGGACTTGCTCCCAAGTAAATGCACAACTTGAATGAGTGATACAAAGCTGTAGGGGCATTTCACTAAACTGCTTCTCCTAAAATGGCTGATACAATTTCATGATCGGGTTTGGTTGTATTGCTAGCTCTATTCCTAGCTCCAGGGCACTTTCTTTATGGCATTGGTTATTGCTCCTGGGAGCAGGGGGGCAGGGGGGGGGGGCTCAGCAGTCCACAATCATGACTTTTAGGCTGCATATACCTCAGACCTTCCTTGCTGTCCACCAGTGGGGAGGAAGAGGTGAGAACTGGTGTTCAGATCACTGGAGGTGGAGAAGTAGGCATCCCTTGGGGAAACCTCACCTCAGACTGCAACTCATGGCCCTTGGCAGCCTGAATGCACCTGGCTGCCTTCCCCTCTGTGGCGTTTGCAACACAGACCCTGCGCAGAACTGGACCTGGGTGAACAGCCTGAGTAAACAGCAGAGTGGAGCTGGAAAGCAGGCTGCCTGCTCAGCTGGAGATACACTGGACGACCAGGCACGTTTAGGGTCAGGCAGAGGTATGGGGAGAGGAATCTTGCCCTCTTTTACACTGTAGAAAGCACAAAAGGCAGGGAGTTTCTCTGAAGTGGAATTTGACCCTTAGCCTAAAGGAGTTCAGCAGTGCTGACCCAGAAGCGCGACTGTATATGTCCGAAGCCAGGTGTTTCTCCCCACCACCACCATGCCCCTCATGAGGAATCCTCCCAGCTCCTGGCCCACCTCTCCAAAGTACAACTTTTGAACTAAGTTCCTTCAGTAAGAACTATACTGCAGGAGTCTGGTGGCAGTAAAGCTGGCAAATGCTAGAGAAAGAGGGCTTGGTCAGAACCCACGAGATACAGTCTAAAAGGGGATGGCCAGCTTCTCTTAAGCAGTGCAGTCACCAGGTAAAATTATCCTGGAGAGGCTGTGGAAGGGGGTTGCATTTCTGGGGGTGGGTGGGTGAATGGAAGAGAGGTTGGTTTTCTTTAGATGGCCACAAGGGTTCAGAGATGGAAACTCGTGGGGAGAGGGTGCGCTACTTCTTGCATGGGTGCTGAAGCCCTCAGTGGGCTGGTTCATGGTATTCAAAGATGAAAACATATTGCACTCAAAAGGAGCAGATTTCAATGTATGATGGATAGTGCATCTATATTAAAATACTTTCTCTAGCCTAGTAAAGAATGTCATGCTAGGATAAAATGTGATGTGATCCACATTTTTGCAGCTGTATTTTTCAGTGATGAGAATGCAGTAACTTTCTTTTTTTGCTTACTTGTATTTTAACTAGTTTAATCAGCTTATAGAATTAGTGATTCCTAATGAAAGGATAAGGGATGTGGTGGCGCAGTGGTTTAAACCGCTGTGCTGCTGGGCTGGTTGATCGAAAGGTCGCCGGTTTGAATCTGCACAACAGAGTGAGTTCCCATTGCTCCGTCCCAGCTCCTGCCAACCTTGCAGTTCGAAAGCATGCAAATGCAAGTAGATAAAAAGGTACCACTTTGGTGGGAAGGTAACAGTGGTCCGTGCACTTTGGTGTTTAGTCATGCCGGCCACATGACCACAGAGACTGTCTGTGAACAAGCACTGGTTCCCTCGGCTAGGAAACGGAGATGAGCAGTGGCCCCATGACTG